TTACTATCTAAATATAAACCTACTCTCTAAACTTACTATATATTTTTCTCTTTCTTTTAATATTATAATATAGATCTTAAGGAAATTTAGTTATAACTATTTAATTAAATACTTTTATAACTAAGATAATTAGTTTTATCTTATTTATAATAGGGGGATTAAAAGAGATACTACTACTAGATATATAAGGATTTATTAAAGTTAGTAAGAATACCTTCTATAGTAATTCTATAAAGTAATTATATCTTTAATATTAATAAGGGGTCTATAGATAGCTACTATTTTTTTTAAGATAGATAGATTAGCTAGCTTATTATCTTTATAAATAATCTTTTATAGAACCTAGTTCTAAAAAGGAAGTATATATTAACTTATAATAAGATAAAGATATTAGAAATATCTAGCTTATATCTATATAGAATAGAGATAAGTAGTACTTATTACTATTTATTAGAGTAAATACTTAATAATACCTTTAGAATATTTAAAATATCCTACTAGATATTAATAAATATTAATAGCTTATAAATAAAAGAATTTAAGCTTTATAAATAATATTAATTTATAATCTTAGATAGTTTATAATCTACTTTTTAAATAAACTTATTATTAATATTAATCTAGATATTAAAAATCTAAATAACTCTTTTTATAAATTTAGAAAATAATTAAGAAGATTTATTTCTAAATCTATAGCTATTAGAAGTAACTTTATAAATAGTTTCTAATTAACTAAAGAATACTAAAAGAAGATTAGAAATTAAAACTTTCTTATTAGTATTATTAACTTTAATAATATTAATAAAGAAAGAGAAATATATTAAACTATATTTATTCTTAACTAATAGATATCTATTATTTATTATTATAATACTTTTATCTATAGAAGATAACTCTATTTTACTATATTTATAACTATATTCTAAATATTCCTAATAAACTAGAGATAATTATATAACTTCCTAGGAGTTTATTATCTAATTCTAAATTAGAAGTATAATTAGATCTATAGTCTTTTATTAATATTTTATATCTAGTAAGTTTTAAGAAGCTTTTATAGATTAAAACCTATATAGCTTCTTAAGAATAGTATACTATTCTATTAAACTAGATCTTCTTAATCTTTTATTATACTATTAATATAATTATATATTAGAAACTAGTATTACTAAGTAAATATCTTAGAGTTCTTAGTATAGATATTCTTACTAATAATAGAAGTATATTTAAATAAATTAGAATAAATTAATATAAAAATAATAACTAATAGAGTTATTAAGTAGATAAAAAAAAGAAAGTATATCTATTTAATACTCTTTATAAGTATTAGCTTTAGTAGTAAGAAATCTATTTAAAAGGCTTATTTAATTATTAGAGGAATATATTCTATTAAGCTTAAGAAATCTTATTAAAGAATAGAGAAGTAAAGAACTTATTATATATATCTAGCTAAAAAGAATCTCTAATTATTATTACTATTATTTATATTAAAAGGTAAGTAAATAGCTCTTATTTTTATAATCTATCTATATAATATCTTCTTAGAAAATAATTTAATTAACTATTTTATATATTAAATCTAAGTATTTAGTTTTTATTTATATAATAATATTATATAGAAATAGAAAGAATATAATAAATCTAATAATTTAGTTATAACTACTAGTAAAAAAGAAAAAATTATATCTATTTCTAAGATTAATTTTAGATTTAATCCTAATAATTATTATATAATTAAGATTCTAGGAACTCTTTATCTTTAGAACTCTATTAAGACTATAGATTTTTAGTAATAATTAGATAAAGAATCTAAATAATATAAATAAAGCTTAAGTATTTATAGTTTATATAGTTTTAGATCTAGAAGCTTAATATAACTTAATATATCTTCTTTTTCTCTATCTTCTAAGTTTTTATTCTTAATAAAAGAAATACTTTTATTACTACTTTCTACCCCTTATAAAATATATTATCTCTCTATATCTACTCTAAGAATATCTTAAGTATTTAGTTAATTTACTATTATAATAGATATTATAAGAGATAATATACTATTTAAAATTAATCTACTATCTTCTAATAGAACTAGAATTAGAAATACTCTTATTAATATTAAATAGTAAATAATAAGAAAAATATAGAGATAATCTAAAGAGTTACTTATTAATAATCTATTATATAAATATAGAGATAATCTTATCTAGACTTTTATTATATAAAAGTTCTAGAAATTTATATATTAAACTAAACTTCTCTATCTAATTAATAAGTTAGTTTTTATTATTCTTAGAATAAATAATTATTAAACTATATATATATATATAATTATAACCCTAGTTAGTTTTATAAGTTCTATAGTATAGAATAATATTAATATAGCTCTATTTAAAAGTATTATCCTAAAAAAAAGTTTAATAAAGCTATTATAAGCTAAATATTATATATAATATAATATATAATCTTAAAGATAGAAATAGAAAGAAAAGATTAGTTTTTAGAATTTTAATAGAATTTTTTAAAAAGATAAAAAGAATAGAAACTATTTAATTAAATAGATCTCTATATAAAGATAGAATTTAAAAGTTATTTAGATATCTATATTAGTTCTAAGATTTAGATATAATAGAGATATAAAGATATATATATTATATCTAGAGAGCTATAAGTTAGAATCTACTTATTAATTTAGCTAGATTAAATAAATTAATTATTTTTCTATATCTATAGTAAAAAAATATACTTTTTACCCCTTTTTATTTTTACTTTTAAAAATCCCTTTTTATAAAAGATATATCTTTTATAACTTTATAGTAACTATAATTAGTTAATTAACTAGTTATAAATATAATCTATTTAATTAAATAAGAATATATATAAAACTTAAAACCTCCTTTTTATAGCTATTATAGAAGGTTATTAGATTTTAATATAGTTAGTAATCTGTATTTTAAGCTCACTAACAGCTGTAGTATTATTCGTTTTTCCCCCAATACAGTAGTCTATTTCTTCATACCCTCGATGGAGAATCGGGCGGTGGCATCATAGGTTTCCACCTCTTGCTGGCCGCGCTTTTACGGTCCGGGCCGGGTTTTCTCCAGGCGTCCCCGGATCCATTTGATCCTTGCTCACCATACGCCATTAAGAGAATCATGGTTGATGTTTTGTCTCCGACGGACGGTGTTGAGCATAGTAGCATCATTGCAAGCAACCAAGAGTTTCAGACCCATCTTTTGCGGCACGGAGCTTCTGTTATCAACGGCCGTCTCCATGACGTGCAGATAGCCCCAGAAACGAGGCTGGTCGAGCACATGCTCTGGGGGTTTGAAATTCTCTGGGAATTGAACTCTGAAAGTCTAGAGTATGGCGCAATCGTGTTGGAGGGGGTACGTGACACCATCGATTTTATGGTAAATGGAGAACTTCGTGCGAGCTACGACGTGGCCAAGCGGGTGAAGACGATGCAGATGCCGGTGCATCCTTGGGCCGGGCCTCCTAGATACGCCCTAAGGCGAGAGACAGTGTATCGTAAATGGCGGAAGTGGCTCGATGAGAGGAGGAAGCTGATGGACCAGGGTCTAGAGTTTGATCCAAAACGGCCTGTACAGATCATCTTTCTGTGACCATTCCTTGTGAATCGCTCCCATGGAACAGGATGCAGGTATCAGAATCACTGTCTGGGTATATCAGATTCCCGGCAAATTCTATCTCACGGCTTGTCAACTTCGGATGAGCCTGAAACCCCGTGGCATGGATAGATTGTACCTGGCGTGACTTGAGCGCCGGGGTTGATCTACTTAAGAAATTTATCGGGACCACAAGAGCGCAACATACCTAGATAGATATCTGGATCTCTATCTGTCTTCTACGCTGTTCTAAACATAGTGAATTGATTTATTTTTGGATGAATTGAGCTCTAAGGCTGGCGTCAGTCCAGAATATATTCCGACTATCAACATTCTTATAAGCTACAGACTGCTCATGCACACCTATAGGTGTGTCTTTGGATTGGTCCCGTTCGTGCAGCCAAAAGCTATCTTGTGAGTAGGCACTAAGAGGAAAGGGACAGTTTGACGGGAAGCCATTTCGGATCATCAGGCGTAACAGTCCACCAAACAATGCCCAAGGTTCCAGGATACCACATCTCCGTCATGTACCAATTCGATTCAGTTTCTCCCTTTGGCAATAAGTGCCCATCGACAGTTTCCCACTCATCATTGATGCTGTAACTGGAGTATGGAGGAAAGTCCTGGTGGCCGATATATATGCTGCTGCCGCCTTCTGGAGTTCCGGTATATATGAACAAGTATGTACCATCGGGGATCTCTTGCTTCGTGGAGCCCAGGTCTGGTTCCACGAAAATGTTAGGCTGGGACGTGGACCAATCCGCAACTAAATGCAATGAAGAAGGTATCGTTAGCAGTGCCATAAGACTCTCCGTAATTTCCAAGTAGAAGTGGCGTACCGCTGATGTTGGCCTTCGTTTCCATAGGTTCCCACACGTCTCCTACGTAAATGGCACGTTGTTGACCAACCCAAGCACGCCATTCCGCTGTCTCACTTGCAATTATCAGCTGTTGGCTTTGAGCAGCAGCGATACCTGCTAGGAGAGCACAGGTGCCAATAATTTGGTTGAAAATCGATCGCATATTGAGGATAGGTATTGCGGACTGAGAATTGGAAGGGTTAACGGGCAGTGGCAATGCCAAAAGGCTTTTTGGTAACGTGGAAATTGGCCTCTTTTTATAAATATTTATACATGTAGTAATAAGCAAATGTCTTCCGCGGGATGCATCGGACTTCAAGTTGGACTTCTCCTTACCAATGTAGCAAATGATCTTAGGCTGCCTATAGACATCAGGAAGGAGAAGCCAAGTAAGCGTCGCAGTATGTAACCTCTACCTGGGAGGGATCGCGACGCATTGCGAGATATGGAATGTCGATGACTTAAATCGGCCGCTCCATGAAAACAGTGAGAGCAGAAAAGGAAGCCCGAAACTGGTTCATCCCATGCTGATACGATGTCCCCAACCCCATTGGTTAGAACCCCGGGCTGTATGCTTCCCCAACCGACCCTCTTTGCCTAATGGGTTTCACCCCATGCCCATAATCCTAGAGGGGCGATATCCGATGCATACAGTAGGCCGTGAAGAACCTTTCCCGTAAATAAAATTGGTATTACGGCCTTGGAGGGCTGTAGTTATTTACTGACAATAACTTTTAAGGCCGGCTCTTAAATCCAACGGCCGAAGCGCAAGGACTACGAACTTACTGACTTGGAAGTGTGATCAAATTGTGATCAAATTTATCGCCATTGCCTTTACATAACGTGCCCAGTTGATGTCAGAGCCATACTATCGTGGACTGAAAGGTTGGTAAGCAGACAAAAAAGCTCGGTATCATTTTCGGCGGTTAATATATATCGAATAGAATTCAAGTGCTCTTCGCCCGGTATAGGGAGGTCTTTCAGCCACAAATTTACGAAGCATAGACTGTTAAACATCCGTCAAATCTCATAGAATAGATGCTTTCGAAACGGTAATCGTTAATCTTCGACCTCTGGGATACTAGAAGGCCCCTATGGGTCATGAAATCCGATATCATCCCGAGATGAAGAAAGTGGAAGAAAGGTTTCTCCCATAGAGAATCGAGGAGATATGAATTTCTAAACTAGTGATTAAGGACATGATATGTTGGATTGAAACTAATGTGGCCAATGATACATGCTTATTTGGGTCAATAATGTGTATGTTTTCATTTGATGTTGTATGCATTGTGTTGTTATGCAATTATTAGATCATTCCTAATGCTGAACAACGGGTGGCGTATTATTTAACCTGTCGTCTCTGGATAAAATGCCCCTCTTCTTCTTTAATGAAGATTAGCGTTCATGTGACGTGCTCTTAAATAATACCGTACTGACACATTGCAGAGTGTGGCAGGCTAGTTTTAATATATAAGCATTTCGGGTCTTTAGGTAGTCATGAGGGCCTATCAGAGGAATGTGGGCTAAACATTAATCAAAAGTTCTTTGTCAGTGTGTGGCCCAAAGACGGTGGCGTTTGACTTTCCGCGGAGTACTTTCCACCTACAAATATGTTAAATCAGCTGTCGGGTGAGATAAGATTCTTGAACTGGATTCTCACAAGTAGAATGCTACCGCTTAGATGAAGTCTACATAGCCTAGGCAAATTGAAACGCTTGATAAGAATCATTTAAATGTCGATTCGTTCTGTCTTATTTTACAATAGAGTAACCTTGAATCAAACAACTTAATACGTACTCAGAGACACGGAACCATTCGTGGGTGTATTGACGCCCTCGGAACCGTCCCGGCGTTCTTGATCAAGTCACTGCCGAAAGATCTTTCGTCAGCAGATTGTGTTTTACCTGTCAACGTGACCACTGAGATCGTCAGCCTGCCTCGGACTTTACACATGATTATTGTTTCAGTTAGCTAAGCCCAAATGTCCTTTGGTGGCGCACTCTCGGATTCCGGTGATGATGTGAGGGGTTTGACTCAGCGATCTCACACCTATTTAAACAAGCAGGAGGTCCTCAGTATTTCAAGATTCCACACGGCCTCTAGTCAATCTCGTGCAATAAATACTAGGTACTAGACATTTTCTTGCCCAAAGTGCTCTCTACAAACCGACAACATGCAGCTCTCTACTCTCTTTGTCAAGGCAGCCCTCCTCTTCTCCCTCCAGACCGTTCTGGCAAACCCCGTCCCCGAGGTCAGCAATGACATCGCCCTTCGTGAAGGCCTTGAAAATGAAGTGCTTGCCTCTGAAGTGGTTCTGGAGAACCTCGCTCTCACCGCCGACCAGCAAAAGGCCCTCGCACTGCATAATAAATTTCGGGCTGAGAAGTCCATCCCAGCTCTCAAATGGGATGCGGGTCTCCATGCTAGTGCTTTGAAGTACGCAAAGAAGCTCGCTGCAAAGAACGGCGGCCTCCAGCATTCTCAATCGGGAGAGAACTTGTCCAAGGCTCCGTAAGATCTGCCCTTTGTCCTAGTAGCCTCGAATCGCACCAATACTGATGCTTGCCTCTTTTCCACAGTAAATCGAACACCCCTCTTACTACCGGTACAAGTTATTGGTGAGTATCTTTAGCTAATTAAACAATGAAGAACTCGGGGCTAACCGTGGCTCCTCTAGGACCAATGAGAAGAAGAATTATCATGGCGAGAAGATTCCCCAGGGCAACTTTGCATCATATGGTCACTATAGTAAGAGGACATTTCTCTATTATGGCACGAGACTGTATTGTCTAACCTATTATTGCAATCTAGCTCAGGTCATGTGGAAGAACACTCACAAGGTTGGAATCGCTTCCGCTAGAGGTGCCAATGGCTACGACTACATCGTTGCTCACTACTCGCCTGCTGGAAATGTGGTTGGCCAAAAGCCTTGGTAAATACGTATCTCGGGATGTGGTCATAGCCAGGGCTTTGACCATACATAGTAGGTGGTTGTCGCCGAGCATACGGATGATCTTCGATGGTCAATTGAATGGTGGCTGGCTATATGGTACAGCTCTTAACTCACATACTGAAAATTTCAACAAAACTCATCGCTAGTATAGTTTCGTGACAAGAGGCAATTTATTCCTCTCGTCGTGGAGATCTCTTTACCCTATCATGTTATTGTAGGGTACCAATGATTACTCCATCTGGACTTTTCCAAGTTCTTATGGGACGAGATGTTTGATAAAAATCGCAAGTCTTTGGGCAAAAGTGTCTACTCTTGGAAAAAACTTTCTGTAGAGGACTCTTCACCCCTCGCGGCCTACCCCAAAGTTAGAATTTCACTTTACTTGTTCTATGGGTTAATCAAAGCCACTTCACAGCCTCAAACATAAGCCGACAGTGCAGTGTTACTTGCAGCAGGTCTATGGACAGCTCAAGAGTGTCTCTGCCATTCTTGGCCACTTATTGCTATGGGCTTTCGGTCGGTTATTCGGTCATCACATGTATTTTGCGCGGCGAATAGGTAATAAAAGGGCAATGACCTATAATACACCGATTCCTATAAGGCGAGTGAAGCCTTGTGAAAGAACATAGCCTTAGTGTCATCCATTCGACGAGCCGCTCGTCCTGACGGCAAGTGAGACATCGGTATGAAGGTTCATGAAAGTTTCCTGTCTAACTACATCTTGGGTTAGGAAAAGCTAGTTTCTAAGCTTCCAAATTCGTCATTGTCCGGCTCTAACAGCTTCCATTGCTGTTAGGTAAACTTTATTCTCTTTTCTTTTAGGGACGTACATACATCGATTCAGAGCCGTGCCTACTCGTTTGAGTTGGGTGCCCCGACAGCCTCTGCAACACTTTTTCGAGAAAACTCTTCCTCGGATGGATTTCCAATTTCAAGGCCAGATTCCAACCTGCTAACTTCAAACCGCCATGGATTCTTACAGCACTCATTCCAACAGCAGGCGGCCACGCGGACCAACTGCCCCATCAAGATGCGCCGTCTGCTTCAAAGAGTCTAGATTACATCCTTGCGGTGGTTGTAAGGTGGTACATTACTGCAGCGCTGAACATTCTTTAGCCCACCGATCAAGCCATAAGGTCAGCTGCATAACCATTAAAAAGACCCGAGAAAGATTAGAGCACGAAAAGTCCAAACTTCGAGCCCGAACCGACTCATCATTTGAAGCCCAATCCAGCTCAGAAGATATCTTCCAGACAGGCTTGGGAAAGTTTTGGGGCATCGTCGAGACTCGAAATTATATGAGGGCGCGCTTCGCCGCTGCTAGCGCACTACTTCAAGTTGATACGAAAGATGCGGTAGAGAGTGCTCTCGAGCATTTCAACGAAATGATTAGGTTGGGTCGAAGTGACGACCAGGGCGTTCGTGATATCATCCCACACCTACTACTTCGACTTGGGCGGGAGCAGGAGTGCTACCACTTCCTGAAGTGGTGGGCTACTGCTGAAAACCCGCGGGATGTTGCAACACCATATCTATATCTTCCCGAAGCTGACCCTCTCGAATCTGTGGAAGTATTTTCCTCAAATGAAACCAGTGTTGGCCATCTGGTGGCCTTAACGCTTTTGAAAATGCGTCTTTTTCTAGATATGGACGCATGCTCTACTTTTGTCACTGATCTTGATCCCCCATTTGATCCCTTCGACCCCTACGCCAACAAAGATAGACCGCAGCCTGGGCATTGCGTTCGAAATAAAATAAGAGAGATGAATATGTCCTACTTGAAACAAACTACTCGGATGTTGCGGGATCAATTTCTCACACTCTACAACCAGGCCCACGATGCGAACCCCTACATCTGGAGAGCTTTGGTTGATGGAAAGATTCCATCGCCCCCGCGGTTTTATAGAAGAGGCTCAAAAGAAGAGGCAGATTGGATCATTTACCAGTGCCATCATGCCTGGATTGAGTCTGGAGAGGCAATGATGCTGATCGATGCACACACCGTTGCTTCCACCACTATGAATCAGGACGAAGCCGCCGCTGCCAGTGGAAGAGACACATCATCCGCATCGTCAAGAAATCGACCATTCCAAATATGGAGCAAGGCGCGAGGAACAGGAAAAGCCTTTCCATCCAAGTTCCAGTCTATCTATTCTCCTAGCAACCTCTTCAGGCCGACAGTTAAGGCTTGTAGCGACATTGCCCGGTTTGTTCATCACAAAGACCCAACAAAGGTGTTGGTATTCGTCGGCGGTGCCTGTTCCAACAACGGACAGCAGGAACCCCGAGCTGGATGGGCAGTAGTTTTCGGACCCCCAACTTATAAAGGAAAAAATAACGACTCTTATTTTGTGTCAGGTCGACTTGAGGACAAAGGTCCGTTTGGGGACAGCTACACAGGGACCACTAAGCGAGCTGAATTACGTGCGGCCATTGCTGCCCTTCGTCTCTGCGACTGGCAAGCCGAGGGCTACGCCAACCTTGTCATCGCAACCGACTCGACATATGTGGTGGGCGGTGCCACAGAGTGGACAAAAATTTGGGCGCAGTATAAGTGGACAACCTGTAGCGGCGGCCATGTCAAACACAGAGATCTTTGGCAGCTGGTCCTGGGCGAGGTGGAGAGATGGGCTAACAAGGGCGTTTTCGTTGAGTTTTGGAAAATCCAAACAGGGCAAAACGAGGAAGCCGACCGAGCTGCCAATCGCATGGTGCAGACCGCATCTGCGGTAGGAGAGTTTGAAGATGTCCCGCTTAACTCTGGACAGTCCCGTACTTCTCGCCAACTGCCTGACTCCTGCAGCCAAAAGGGAACTCTTGTTGAGAACATGGAGAAACCGGCGACTCGGTACTCCGAGGGCACAAGATCCGCGGAGGCCACTGAAGCTGTCGTCTGGGTTGGGGGATTCACGCTTTGAAACTATAGTGATCACTAGGTATTCTATAGAGGAGAAGCTTTAGATCAAGTAGTGTTAGCCATGAGTAGCCTCCTGAGAGACAGTACGATAACATTATGTAGATAAAAAGCCTTATAAAGAGGTGGGAGAGCGTGAGACCTGCTCTTCTTCCACAATCTTTTCTCGAATCCGACATGAAGAAAACAGAATTATGTGAAAAGCCAAAGAAAGAAGAATAATCCAGCAGTCAAACCCGAAACAGTCGTAATATCTCCTCCCTCGAAGCTCGGTTCCAGCTCGCATAACATCATCACAAGCACCCATTAATAGGCAAATAGTCATCTTTTCAGCTCCCTCGGGTTTCCAGTACATTGTCGAAAAAGCTGAGTGGGGAGTAGAAGCCAGAAGTGAAATCTGGCGAGTCCCTTGTTAGTTGTGATCGGAATGAGGGGGTGTGTTTCTTACATTGATTGTTGAACGCTGCGCCAAATCCATTCACAGGTATTGCGTCAATGTCTGTCAAGAAGTCGTAAGAAAGTGGTCCGTCACCTTTCTCAGCAGACACTTCTGAATTTCCAAGGACAATGCTCAGAGCCTTCGCTACTTTTCCAGCCTCCGCAGATCCTGTACTCCTTTGGAGCCAGATCTTATGGGAGATGGTTAGTTGTTGCCGAATCTCTTCAGCTCTCGGTAACCGGGCTGCCCGTCTTGCAATCTGGGGCACTTCGAATTTATCGATATCCTGAAGGTAGAGGCAGAGCACGCTCGTAGCAAGGAGAACATCCTGGTTTAAAATGTGGGTGACCTTCCATCTAAGCTGACACAGACGGCCAAATGGTTGAGACTCCTCGTGGAGCATCTCTTGAAATGATAGAATCTTGAGTGCAGAGTCCAAACAGATTCGAACTGAGTCTCTGTCCCGCTCTTTAGAATGCGGAGGTTGGCCGCTAACCAGAGACCTTCGGTATAGGAGGATACGTGCTTTGTGATATGTCGTTTCTACACTTACACGCTGTACCAGAAGGTTTGGGCTATCCGTGATGGGATGTGGTGTAGTTCCCCAGCGTAGCACGGGCGGAATAGCACGGTTACGCACGTCTTCGAGGACATCTTCGACCTTGGTGACCTCTTCGTATGAAGGAGGACTGATGTCCGTGTTGATGTCGCAAATCAAGCCGAGAGGTGAGATCAGTCTCCATCTTGTGATTAGAGCGAGCACCGGCGTCCATTCTGTTTCTGATCTGGACGGTGGCATCTCAGTTGTGTGCTCGTCGAAATCACAGTCGCGCAAGTTACGGGGCTCCTTTAGATCGGCATGGGTATTTGTGGCATTTCTAGGCAGCCCCGTCTCCAAGGAAAGACTGAGATCTAGTTGAAGGATAACAATCCACATGCGTCTACGCATTTCAGCCTCGAATGGGGATATTCCGGGGAAGTGATCTGGATCTCGGTGGAGGCCCATTCGGGTTGCAAGCTGAAGTATCATGCCGATCAAAAGCCAGCCATCGGTAACGCCGTCCTTCATTAGTACAAACTCTCCAGTAAGGATCGTTATCAGAGTTTCCAAGATATATGGCCCCCCCATGGTGTACCTAGCCAGGATAAGACACTGGACGGCCTTTTCCCGGAAGGCATCTTTCATGGCAAGATACTCGGCCTTGAGTGACTCAGCTTGTCCATCGTTGATGTCGATGGTGAAAGTCTGCAGCTGTGCAGCAATGTATAGCAGGGAGAACATGAGACCAATCCAGGAGATGGAGGTTGCAGTCGGATCTTCCCAGAAGGCTTCGTACTGGCCAAATGTTAGATTGTTCATGATCGGCTAAGTAAGAACTCACCTCGCGGAGAAACTTCTTGCTATGAATGATATCTACAGTACACAGTTAATGTCTTAGTAAGAAGTATGAAGGGTCGAATGTACAAACAAGGAGTGACAATATAAGAATCGAAGTGAAGGGCCATGAGCCGGTCAACGACCGGACGGGGAGGACAAGCAGCTAGTATTTCTTCTCGAGTTGCATGTCGGTTCGGGCCATAGAACAAGTGTGAGCCGGGCAGAGCCCTGCTATCAGTCACCAAGTCCTCCTTGAGTCCCCTGACTTTGGTGAGAATGGCCTCCCAATGGGCGCTCTGAACATAACTGGCGCCAGACTCGCGCAGATTGAGGGTACCGGGGTCGGCTGGAGATTCAGCGTCATCTTGGCAGTTCCTTGGCCTCCGGATCTCAGGCAACTCATCTTCGAATGATGGCAAGCTCGTCCTCGGTGATTTCGGAGCTCCGGTTGATGGAGTTGGGAGTGGTTGGCCTTCCATCAGCGTCACCACAAGGCTCTCCAACTCTGTTATTCTAAGTTGGAGGCTGGCGGACTGTCGTGGAGCAACAGGCCGTTGAGCCTCGAGGGTAGAAGACGGCGTCGCATAATGGCAAGAGTTGGTGATGGCACGCCTTGAACAAGTGCCGCATGGATGCTGTCGGTCGCACCTCAATCTAGCAGAGTCAATCAGGGACAACCTTGAGATGGGTTTGTACTACATACTTTCGGTGTCTGCATGGGTCGCAAGACAGCTGGGCTTTGTCTCTGCGCCGATTTGGCGGCGGACGCGGACGGTGACTTTGGTCGGGCATGGCGGCTGAATTGAGCTCAATCTCGTGTGCGGCAATCCGAGTGTGCCCAAAGTAGGAGTTTGCCTTGCTCCGCTTTCAAACAACTCACTTCTCCTTCAAGAAGAGGACAAGGAGGTCTGGCGATGCAAACCTGGAGTTAGCAACGACCCTCCGCCCGACCATCCGATCCTCCGCGTCGACCCTCCGCTTTAGATTTCGAGATCCCTACTAATATGTCCGATCCACTCTTTGTATCTGCTACTCAAAAGTATGAGAGTTTACTGTGGAGATTGAAGTAGATATACCATTCTTTTGATATAGTCAGCTAGCAACAACCAATCCCCATGATCTTCCTTTCACCTCCTCCTCTCACCCTCCGTGTCCGCTCACTGTCCGAGCTGCCCTTTCATTGAGCAATCTCCAGTTGCGCTCCGTATTTACGAAGGAAATTGAAGATTTGACGGCTCGCGCTAATAATCCTCTCTCCTCCATCATGGCTCCTTTACGTGACCCTCCTCATCCTGGCCCTCCTTCGAAATATATAGCAGTCAAAGGCTAGCACCGGTGACCGGACTTGACCATCTCTTATTATCACACCATCCTCGGTAATTGACCATGGCAAGCGATTTGGAGTCCGCCCGTGAGAAACAGGCCGTATCAGAAGACAACCGCCATGACCAATCCAGCGACCCTGAACAAACAGCAACGGAACAGGAGACGAAGGACAATGTCGTCGATTGGGATGGGCCAGACGATCCCCAAAATCCGATGAACTGGCCGAAATGGAAGCGCCTGATCCAAGTCGCCTTTGGCAGCCTTTTCTTGCTCACTGCGTAAGACAGTTCCTGACATCCTGTAATGAAGGAAAGCCCGTATTAACCATGATAACATTCATTTAGCAACCTCGCCGCGACAATGTTTGCTCCTGGAGCTGCCACGCTTGCGAAAGATTTCCATATAACGAGTTCGACCATTACAAGCCTCACCGTGTCCATCTACCTTTGCGGCTTCGCCATTGGGCCCATGGTAATTGCGCCACTCTCCGAACTGTACGGACGGCTTATCATCTACCATGTCTGCAACGTCATGTACATTGGTTTTACAGTCGGCTGTGCTCTAGGTAAAAACACCGGCATGTTTCTCGCCTTTCGATTCCTTGCTGGATGTGCTTCCTCAGGCCCGTTGACAGTCGGCGGAGGAACTGTCGCCGATGTCGTCCCGCCAGCTCAGCGTGGGAGTGCAATGTCTCTATTCTACGTGGGACCGCTTCTCGGACCGGTAATTCGCATTAACATACCCAAATAAACTATCATGGCACTGATGCTGACGATTCTTCAAGGTGTTGGGGCCAATAGCTGGTGGCTTTGTGTCCGAATCAATTGGTTGGCGATGGACCTTTTGGATCATCACAATCCTGGTGAGTAGTGTGTACACTTAGCGATCCTCCAGTTGCTGACGGTTCAATCTTAGGCTGCTGTATCATTTGTCGCTTCAGTTTTCTTCCTCCGTGAGACCAATGCTGCTGTACTTCTATCGCGGAAGGCTGCTCGTCTCAGAAAAGAAACCGGCAACCTTGCTCTAGTCTCAAAGATGGAACGCAACCTGACTCCACGCCAGCTATTCATCCTTGCTATTTCTCGACCAACAAAGCTTTTATTCTTGTCACCAATCGTCCTCCTCCTTTCTCTCTTGTGCGCCTTCTTTTTCGGCCTCATGTTCCTTCTGTTTACCTCCTTTCCTACTGTTTTTGAAGAACAATACCACTTCTCCGCCGGGGTGTCTGGCCTATCGTATCTCGGCCTCGGAATTGGAACAGCCTCCTCTCTCGTAGCTTATGCGCTCCTCAGCGACAGGATGCACAAGGCAATGGGAGATTCACCCAAACCCGAAGGACGCCTGAAGCCACTCATGTGGGCCTTTCCCACCGTACCCATCGGCATGTTCTGGTATGGTTGGGCTGCAGAGAAGCAGACTCACTGGATCGTGCCCATCATCGCCACCACCGTCTTCGGCTTCGGCTATCTTTTGGTCCTGATGCCAACTCAGCTCTACCTGGTCGATGCTTTTGGCGCTGAGGCTGCCGCCTCCGCATTGGCTGCCAACACGATCCTCCGCTGTCTCTTCGCGGCGTTCCTTCCGCTGGCAGGGCCGTCTTTGTATGCCCGCCTTGGACTTGGGTGGGGGAATAGCGTTCTGGGTTTCATCAGCTTGGTGTTTCTTCCGGTGCCGCTCCTCTTTTATCGGTACGGGGAGTGGTTGAGGGAGCGTTTTGTTGTGAAGCTATAAAACTCTATCCCAGTGCTGAGATATGGTATGAAACTTGCAGCCTTTAACGAGGAGGCTGCTACAGCTTTCTGCTATCTCATTCCACGCATTACCAGGTGTCGGTGATATTTTTTTATGTCTCTACTGAGACGAAACCATCAGCTATCTTTCTTTCCAAATATTGTACGGCTCGGGCGATATCTTTCACTCATTTGTCCACTTACTCATTGATTTAAGCCATAAGAATTCATCAAAGCAGACGGACAGTTTGCAAAGAGAGCGCGTTCTATTCGATAGATTACATCCACTAAATGAAACTGATTGAATTAACATACATATGCTGAGCTCGGATTCTTCATTCTACTATCACCAGCTAGCAGCGTCTCACTCTCAGCTAGCAGACTCGTCAATTAAAGCCAATAGCTTGAAGCATTCTTATGTCCATTGATATAACATGAGAATAAAGTCTTTGCCTAAATTGATTACCCGTCTTTCATTCAGACACTGGCTCAACTTTCCCCGTTGTGAGATTGTATATGAAGCCTCTGGTCCGTTCCGCAAGCTCCTTTCGGACTAGAGCTGAGCTCTTGACAAGCTGAACATCCTCCCGAACGCTCTGCTCCAAACTCGCGCTATTATTTGAATCATTAGATATGGTTTTAAATATCAAGAAATTCTGAAACCTACTTTTCAAACCCGGGAAGCCTAAGGGCCCCGATAGTTTCATCGGCAGCTGGAGCCCGCTCATTCAAGGCTTGGCGAACGTCGGCGTTTGAGAAGAGCTCCGCTGAGCAATCTATTCAAGGCCAGTAAGCAATTGTAAATTTTAATATGACTGAAGGATTAGTCAAGTTACCTGTATGGTGTATAATCATGACATCTGTAAAATTGAGGATGTGGTCAAGGAAAAGCAGATTGTTGAATTGGGCAGCTATCCGGCCCGCAGCACCGCGAGTCACTACCGCATCTACTTCAAGGTTAGTCTTTGTTTAGATGACAATTGAGAATGATAGGGTCATACCCCATTTTTCGAGGCCTAGTATATCCCATGGGTCAATACGCGGATCGCAACATGACACTAACAAGGTTCTGGTCAGCGATGATTTTCCCTACAACACACCAAACATCTTTACCAATAAATATTTTGGGCATAGGAAGGCTCTTCTCAGCCGGAAGTTGGGCGATTTCGCCTAATGATAAGATAGGCTCGAAGGTTTCCATCCTTTTCCTGCTCGCTATTAGCTTGAAGGTATTGTATGCCAGAGTCAGCGGTACCTACGCATTACGCTTGAGGAGTTCTTCGACACTTGGAGAGGCATCCATCTTTAGTCTTTTGAAAGAGAAGTACTTTTTCTTAGATAATAGTGTTGTTATTGGTGTAATTTGTTCAATGCTGTCGAGGTAGTTTCATGCCACAGTAGATGGAAACTCTGCATGCTTTATAGGAGCCAAGTTCAACTGTATAAGTCTCAAGGCTGCCGGTGGATTACCGAAATTCCAACATCTCCGCGGAATTCAGACTCCCTACTGGTCATATCTGCCTCATTTTGGGGATATTCGCAGCGTCTTGCTGATGGAGCGGAATCTCGGAGCCTTGTCAGACGGAAGACGGACTAGCGGAATGCGCCGTTGTATAAGCATACCGCGATCCTAGTCACCGGGCTCTGGGTTTGGCTAGCCAACTACGGGGAGTTTGGTTTAGTGACCCGTTCCATTTATCTAGCCAGTCAGGATCCCGAGTAGAGAGCCACGATGGACCCAAATCGTACCTAGATAGGACGAGCACTAACATGAGAGCATGTCAGGTTTCCGCACCCGCATCCGCACCCGCACAAATTAATCATCCACCCTATACAGGGCAAGCAAGTATTTACTTGTCGGGGTTTCCTAATGCTCTGCTATACGTGGCTCGTCTATGCAGTCCTTTTAAGCCCCTTTGCCCCCAGAGGCTTATTAGCCTGTCGACCAATCGATATATACAGCCCCTGGCTTGGATTGTATACGATATGATGAATGGGGAGAAAACACACCGTGTATTTGACCGCCAATCGTTGGGGCTGGTTTATATCAAACGTTTGGTAGTAAATTTCCTGAAAACTCTCAAGTATCCCCGTTAGGTGACGCTTCAATATTCATGAAGACTTTCATAATACCTCAACTCTCGTCCTATATAAGAACTTGAGATGTATATATAGGCTTGAGAATCATACTTCTAGAGTCCTACGTCCCACACCCACTGGCGCCAATCTTGGAACAGTATGTTTGAATATATTATCGGGATCGTACTTCTCCTTGAGCGTCATTAGAGTTGAGTAATGTTGGCCGTAGACCCTCTTCAGGTTTACTTCATGAGAGCCCAAGGCGATGTATGAGCTTTCTAGGATATTATCAGTGTCCTCAACCTCGAGATCGGCCTTGATTCGTGAGCCCCACTCCAAGCGTTCATTGGCCAGACAACTTTCTGGAATAGCAGTGTTTATTTCAAGTTCGAGCCTCAAAGACCGAATCTTGTGCCGAGGCTTGACTGGATCGCAAAGTGTCACATGAGAAGATGAATCCAACCCCAGGTGCATTCGGGCAATGTCTGGCCAGAACAGCGATCGTTCTTTCCGTGAGTTGCCTGAGATTGAGTGTGACCAATCGACCATATGAAGGCCATGTCACAAGATTGTCTCTTTCTTTCAGCACTTCTGCGAGTGTAGTTTCTTGCGTGGCTTTCATGACACAAGTACCCGCCTTTGCAAAACTCTCGATCCAGGCATATCCTTCTTCTTTATTCTCGCCGTGCCAAGTAAGCATTACTCCGAATACGGTCCCCATCTTGGGAATCTGCGTGATTGTCGGCTGCAGTTGAAGGCAGTCCGAGAGCTCTTGTGTCGCCAGCAGATGCTCGTAGTGCTGATTATAAGTTGTAATGGTACCTTCGAGATTACTAGATTCGTAGAGGATAATAGAACTAAGCATCTGAGAGGAATAGTACCTCCTAGTGAGCAAAGAATCCACTCCAGTTCTACCATTAATATCATCACGCACCTTGTCGAGCGGGTAGACTTTGATTGTGAGCTCAGTAATAATACCCAGTGACCCGCCGCCACCTCGGATACCAACAAGCAGCTCCTCGCTAGCTGTCTGAATTTCTCCTCGAGCGTTGACAGTCTTGGCGCCCAGGATCTGATCAACCCCCAAGCCGTAGCCTGATGACAACGGGCCATAGCCGCCGAGCGTGCTCCATCCGGTGTACCCTAAGGATGCGACATTCCCCCTTTGGTCACTTCATTTAGCATTTTTGCCATCTGCGCTGTGGTTAATGGTACTCACACGGGCGTAGCCAACCCTTCTTCGCCTAGAGCTCTGGCGAGGTCACCATGAAGAATACCTCCTCCTACCGTCGCGCTGCCTTTATCTTCGGAGACAGTGACTTGGTTCATGTCTCGCATATCAATAACAAGCGCCCCATCGACGCGGGTGCGTGCTGCACAATCATAGCCTCCAGATCGTACAGTGAAGCCTGCTTTATTACGGAGGCAAAATTGCATCACTGAGGCGACGTCATCTGCTGTTCGCGGCCTAACAACCGCTGGCGTCCGAACCGGCTTGTGGATGAAACATTGTGCGATCTCATTGAATTCCACTGAGTCTGGTCGATAGATCTTAGCCGTAGTATGAGATAGGTCAGTCTCCAGCTTGGAGAGTAAGGCCACAGAATCCAGAGTCATGGAGGGCAGATGAAGAGGTCGGATACCACTAACAAGAGAAGAGATGGCAGAATTTTGGCCTTGAGCGACCGCCCACGAGATCCCTGCCTGCAAGCAAAAGTCACACCAAAGAAAATTCAAAGGTCGGCACAATTCCTTTAACAGGTGGTGCACGCCGTGCATTATAAAGAGCCACCCAAGGCATTTGACCTAAGGCTTAAGCCCCTGATCAATGACAGGTAGCTGAAGAGCTACTACGCAGGTAAATATTGGGAAACAGCCGGACTCAATGCAGGCTTGGGGCCGGAATGACTCATAAGAATGGTCCAGAGCACTTAGCACCAGGCGTAAAGAGGTGAATAATAATAACGTAGACGCGTACCTATCCCTGTCCGGGGAAATCGTTGTGTGACAACTAATGGCAAATCTAGTAATTCATGACGAGTAGCTCCACCTGCCAAGTGGCCGATTTTATCACAAGATGCCCAGACGTCTCGTTAAAGGGGAGGTGTGTTCAGATGGATATATGCTCGGCGTGAATCTCTTCCACCTCGTACCATGCTGGACATTGCCGCTGACTCGTGTTCCTTCTCCAAGCCCTATTCTTGTACTCCAAACATTATGGATCAAGTTATCATAACCGCCCTGCCTCTAGTCAATCTTATGGCAGCCTCTCATCTTGCAGGTAATATCTTCCATCCCTACTGTTTAGCTGTACTAACTTCTACTTAACAATTGTTGAAGGCTATCACTTTGCTTCCGAGACTGTTATCATGCCGAATACGCTCTCCACCGCCAATACAGTAACTATTCTCACAGAATTCTATCGCACCCTGGATGTTGGTCGGAAATATGCCCCCGTTATGGTGGCTGCTACAACAGCAGGATTTCTACTACAATCTTGGTGGAATGGTATGCTGCCTTATGTATCATGCCCATCAACTCAATAAACGCTAACATGTATGTTTACCTCTCTCTAGGCAGCGGAACCTATACCTTTGTCTTTAACATCATGGCTGGGACTTCGATGGGTCTTCTTATGCCCTATACGTACTTTGGAGTCGTGCCATACAATGATAAACTCTTGACCGAGTATAAGGGGGGGGCTACGAGGACAAGTGTATGTGTGTACGTTCGTGTGTTTGAGAGAGACAGTGGGCTTGTATTTGGCTTGCCTAGCTATCTATCCCTTACCCTGTTTTCCTCCTCCCCTCCCCAGTTATGTATAAGAGTTCTTCTAACCCAGGTAACCTCGGTAGCTGTCTTTATGCTAGAGGCAGTGGCGGTTGTGATTGCCTATCTGTAACGAATTATATTTTGATATTAGATAAGTTAGCTAAGGGCTATACTTATCCTTTAGCAGACTCCCCGTTATAAAATACTCCTCTTTAAAGTAGTTATTTCAGCTGAGGATATTACTATCTAGCTTAAATAGTTTAATAGCTTATTTTATACTAAGCTTTAAAAGCTCTTTAATCTCTAGTTTATCTATAGCCTTAGTAGATCCTATAAGCTTAGGATTATTTATATTAGCCTTTAGTTAAATTATAATATCTTTAGTATCCAGCTAGCTGGACTGAATATATAGGGCTACTACTAGTACCTATTATTAGTTTACTTTCTTCTTCTCTATTATATTTCTTCTTAGATTAAGGTATATATATATATATATATATAAGTTTCTTTTATCTTTATAATAGGAAGCTAACTATACTGATAATTACTCTCTAAGTTTAGAGACTTAAGTTAATAAAGGTAATAATATATAAAGTCCTGATAAGGAGTTAACTGATATAGCAGTAAAGGTAGTATTATATAGTAATAAAGATAGTAATAGTACTTAATTTATCTTAGAGTAATAAAGATAGTAATAGTACTTAGATTATTTAAGATAATAAAGATAGTAATTTATAAATTATTAATATAGATTTAAACTATATAGTTTATTTAGAACTAGGCTAGTAATAATAGTCTTTATAGATAAAAATTAGTATCTTAAGGTTTATAAAAGGAGTTATACTAGTAAAAGAGTTATTACTAGGTATAACCTTTAGTATTAATAAACCTTATATATAATATAAGTATAGTTATTTTAATATTAAACCTTAGATATAGCTAGATATAAGGCTTATAGCTATAAGGCTGAAGTTTATTATATTATAATACCTGGGTATAGTATTAAGTTATTAAATTACTAGTATCTGGGAATTTCCCCTTTTTTTTTTTTTTTTTTTTTTTTTTTTTTTTTTTTTCAGCAGCTGTACAGCTCCCTCACTTACCACTTGACCGAGTATAAGATCATGCGCGAAGCTAAAAAGCAAGATGCTAGCTATCACGGTAACCTACAGGAGGTTCAAGGGCTCGTTCTAGAATGGAGGAAGCGCGATTTCCATCGTATGATACTTGTTAAGTTGTCCGCCCTTTTCGGGTTCCTTGCTATGTTTAGGCTCTAGTAATCAGTAATGAGAACTCCAAAGTAAATCGTTTGACGTCCCTTGTACTTCGTGTGCTCACCTAGCATACTGAATTCAGCTAAGCTACTGCAATTCCTCGAGCCAAAATAGAGCATTGCAGCTCAAAGCTAGCAAGATCACCTAGAATGTAACAGAGTAGTACACGGAAGAAGGACACCAAGCGTCATTTCCCACTCTCCTCAGGCATATCAGGCTCTACAAACACTGGAGGCGTCCAGCGGGGAATGGCGAGCTCGTTCGGACTTTGCCAAGCCGGGCTCTATCGCATCGATCCCCTAGATATGGGTCGAAACGGCAGATACCCCTGCCAGTTTCCAAAGGAAAGAGACACCGAAAGTCCGAAATCCAATCAGAAAGTGAGAGCGACCATTACCACGTCAATGTATTCTACCTAATGCGTGAATACTACACGGATTCCGCGGGTTACTTGAATTCAGCCAATGATTCCTGAAACACACCAATTAATTGTCGGCTTGCCTTGGGACTTCTAAATTCACGGTCGTTCCGTATTGTTGGTCATGATGCCCGCCAACGAAAACACCATCCGTGAGCCAGCCGCTCCCTTATCCTCTCCACCAAATCGTCCTTGATACCTTACTAATTAAACATGGACAACTAGACAGTAAATTATTTAGGCAATTCAAGGCAAATTTATGAACTGCTAAGCCTTGGGCTTCTTGATTAAAGTCACCGACATCTACTAAAATCAACCTTTTGCTTTCCTGTTTCATCCCTATCCCTTGTCTCCTCGCGGCCAATCCTCTTAATAGCGTCAATATGACGGAGCAAGCAATCATCTTGGTCAGTCAATTCTGCATATTAGTGATGATAGCTTTTATCTAACAATATTAAGATCACTGGCGTATCGGGCCACATAGGCTGCCGCGTGCTGGCGGAAGCCCTGGCAAGTGGTCACCGAGTCCGGGCCGTACTGCGGAAAGAGTCTCAAATGGCCAAGATCAAAGCAGTAGCATCAGTCCAGCCTTATCTGTCTCAACTCGAGCTTGTTTTGATACCCGACGTCACTGTACCAGGTGCCTTCGATACGGTTGCCGATGGACTCTGGGCTATCATCCACGTTGCCTCCCCTACATTTTCTGGATTTGGGGAGGTCAATGTCTCGGAGTTTTGTTCTACATCATGGTGTGTCACTCAGAGCGTGCTACACTTTGCTGCAAACACGCCATCGGTGAAGAGGGTAGTAATCACCTCCTCTATCAGTGCTATCATACCCTTCTTTGATACAGCACAGCATGATTCGCAGGGTTTCTATACCAGTCAGGTCCACCGTTCCCTTTCCTACTAGACTCTCAATTGACAATCCTTCTACAGGTCGATCTCCAATCTCCATCGACGGGATCGAGTCATGGCCAGACCACGCACCCGAAAATGTGGCATATGTGTTGTCCAAGATCTTCGTGGCGGGTTGCGTCCGCAAATATGTCCAGTCAACCCAACCGAAACTACACTTCTCCGTTGTTAGCGTCCTTCCAGGGACTACTGTTGGGCCAAACGAGTTGGCCTCCACCCCCAAAGAGCTTCTAGTCGGCTCAAATATGGTTGTCATGGGGCCACTGCTGGGCATCAAGTTTGCGCCTATTCCCTCCGTTGTATCCCACGTTGACGATGTTGCATATGCACACCTCAAGGCTCTGGACCTGGATATTTCACCAGGAGAGATTTCGAGCCTTTTGCCGGTCTTCAATTCGAAGGCGGATCCGACGCCATTCAAATGGGATGATGCAGCAGATATCGTCCAGGAAAAATTTCCTGAAGCAACAAACTCCGGCATGTTCCCATTTGGTGGGACTGTTCCTGTAACTCGGGTTTTAGCTGACTCTACAGAGGACGAAAAGACGCTCGGCAGGGAATTCAAGGGATACAGGGAAGCTGTCGTTGACGTCGTTGGGCAGTATTTAACGCTAGCCGCGAAATAATGTATTCCTTTCTGGCAGTGGCAACTTAGATAAAATAAAGTCGTCCGTAAACTCGTGAGAACTAGAAAGAGCTATACACTTGTAGAGCACCAGGTATAAGCATTTTATGTCTCAAGGGATGAAACAACAGGCCTCATTGTTCCTGCCTCCTGCTTTCATCAGCATCTAACACTAATGGTAACATATCGGGGCATAAGTGTGAATCCGTGGGCTCTCTTACTAGATATTTTGCATTTCACTCATGCGAAAGCGAAGGTAGACAGGATTGTTAAACACGCCCCAAATTCTGGAGCTTCAAGGGGAACAGAGGAAGATATAGTAGGTGATTGACTGCTATGGAGATTTAATAGAATCAATAATACTTGCTAACACTTATGTTTCCCCCCACACATTATGTTCGTCTCGCACAGCGAAATTGGTGTTTGTAATCTTGGAGATATAAGTACTTGCGGCACGTGAAGTCCGATCATCCTGCATTACGCCCAGAACGTCGGCCACGTTTAGTGTAGCGGCGATATTGATCATTTATTGAGCGAATTCTTTCCGTGGATGGGTCGCTGCCGGTGCTGCGCTTTCTTACCGTGTTGTTTGTGGAAATTGAGCTTCTTAATCGATATCGTGGACTAGCCGCGGGTTGTATAGTTCTAGCAGCGAAAGCCCTACCCGTAGGGCTCTCGTGAAGACAGGTAGTATTGTACCCTTCGAATTCAAATTGATTCAAGGCGTTCATCCAATCATGGCGATTGCAGTACGCAGTTCGACCGCCAACACTTGCCAGAACTTTGCACAAATAGTATCGCCATTGCGTGTCATACACCCGATTGCTGCGGATACATCCATGTGGGAGTTTTAGAATCCAATCCAATGGGGTTCTGCCGTGGTCATCACAACCATCAGGGTCTGCGCCATGCTGAATTAGAACTTGGGCCAGATGTGGCGGAAGAACGTGGAGTGGCTTCACCCCGCACGCCGCCTCAGGATGAGCCCAAATAGCCTTAAGACGAATAACAGTATTGGTCTCTTGCTTATTCTTTAACAACAGCATGAATAGCTCATGCAGTATCGAGATTGGGACGCGGATATCCTCCCTGGTCTCATGATTCGCCTCCAATTTCCATATTCGTTCTATTAACGTGGCAAAGATGCAAGGGTCTTGTCGAATTCTAAAGCCATTCTCAAGCAGTAGACGCATCATGCGGATATATCTGCTAGGCAACGCTCCGGAGCTGCCCAGAAAGAATAGATCGCTAAGCAATGGAAAGGGAATTGTTATGGATGGGCTGAAGTCTCTGACTTTGTTGGGATTATCGGTTACCCATTCTTTGAGACAAAGAAGCAAGCCATTTGAGACGACACATTTCAAAAACAATTCATCGGTACTTTTCAGAGCATAGGCTGACTCGTCAAGCAAGAGTCTGAATGTTCTCCATGGTAGGCTTCTGATATATGCCAGCTGGCTGTTCCCCGTGGTTAGTTCAAACTGTTCCCCGTGGTACCGCAATTCTGCCCTTGTACTCGTATCTAGAATACTCTCCGAGGCTATCGAGCACAAATACTTGAAATGAAAACAATGGCCGTTCTCCACCACAATGCTGGAAAGCTCCCCGAGGACATCTCTCTTGAATGAGAACCCCGTGATAAATTCTAGGACCGTCTGGTGCATTACTTGCACAGTATCGTCATTGATTTCAACGAGGCCCCCGCCCCAAATCGTGATATCACCCTTCTGCCATTCTCGTACTTGTGCCCGATTCGGGTTTCGCCAGGAAACAACGTGATCTCTCTCCCACTTAGCTTTACTTTCTTGATGGGTGCAACAATACGCAATAGTAACGGCGCTCCATGCATAATCGACCGAGACACCCAAGTCACGACGGCGTATCATGAGTTCCAGGAGTGCATATGTATTTGGGCGAATAGTATGAGCGATGCGCTCAACAATGAGCTTGTAAAACTCGTAAAGATTGCCAGGGAGCCTCTTTAGCGTATCTTCCATCTGTCGTAAGGAAACAGGCGCATTGGTGTGGGAGCTGGCATCGATCATCTCCTTGACTGCGAGGCGGACCCATAGAAATACACCATTGGCCCTTGAAATTATCTCATTGACAAGTCGAGAAACAGACGAATTATCCAGGCTCAGACCGACTAAACTTCCAGCAGCATAAGTTGCAATGTCGTGAGTCGTGTAGTCTTGAAGTCTAAAGCCTGGCTCGTTTGAGAAATGTGCCTCGAGCGATTCCCAAGGTCTGCTTGAGAAACACACTTTAATCCGATTCAGTTTTGGGTCCTTTACAAGTCCTTTCAGGAACTTGCTTATCATATCAAGGTGACCGTCAAATTCGTCGAGTGCGTCGAAGAACAAGACGATGTCCATCCTTATCGCATCTTGGTTGAGGATCTGGTGCAAAGTTGTCTCAAGCTGATGTAGTAGCCCTCCTCGAGAATTCCGAAACGTCTGGGTCACTGTGGATAAGAACCTAGTATTGGGTGCATTTGCATGTTGTCGGAACTTTCTAGCCATATTTTTCAACTCGGACCCAGCCTCTTGAAGGCTTTGATCTATCCGACGCAGCGTCTCTTCTAACTGACGCATCTCTTCTTTCCGACGCAACATCTCTTCGGGGCTAAACGTCTCTTCGGGGCTCAACGTCTCTTCGGGGCTCTCAAGACGATGCATCTTAGTCAGTACATCTTTCCGCTCGGATATCAACTGCGATGCCTGCATTTTCAGTTGACGGAATGTACCCCAGCGTTTCTGAAATAGAGTATCGTGAGATGATATCAGTTGAACAACGAGGCTCCGTAAAAGCCCCTCGAAGGATTTCTGGAGAGCTGTGCCTCGGTAGTGGAAGAAAAAACTGGCAACAATCTCCTCGATGTTCGAGGAACTTCGCCTCCAGTCATGTAAAAGGTCGCGAGTATATTTATTCTTCCATATATATTTCATCAGCGTAGATTTTCCGGAACCAGGCTTCCCATTCACCCAGAAAAGGCCTGTCCCTTCCTGTAGCCAACTCGAGAAAGAAGTGGTGTCAAAAACCCAGTCGAAGGTATTTTGAAAAGGGTCCTCAATTTGGCTAGCACGGAAGTCTAATTCGGCTGGACAGAGGTCGTGCAATTCTAATAATCTCTTAGTCTTTGTTTTGGAGGTATCGCAGGATAATATAAGAAAATACCTTGAATAGTCAAAAGCATGGAATCTAGATCCTTGAGGGTGATACGGTCCTCTTCAAATAAGGCAGGGAGCTCAAGATACGATTCTAGAATTTTAGACCTGCCCCCCGGTTTCTCGGTATTATGAACTGATGACCCAGAATTTGATTCCTGGGAACACAACTCAGAAATAGTCTGTATGATGGTGGGTAAGTCCTTGTGTCCCCTAGAGAACTTAACGATATTGGAATGATTTTCATTGATGGGAATAGTCATGACTTTTGTGTCTCCGACTTTGTGGCCGCATGTTGCAGAATCTGGGTTCACTAGAACTTCGAGACGCCCATTTTTGGTCCATTTGTCATTTTCCAGTTGCTGGCAATGGGCATATTAGTGACAAACTCGTTACAGAGATTTGATGCAGGCTACCTACGACGGTTCTTGTCTCTTTAGTTTCATAAGCCCAGTATATTCGGGCATTTTGAAGAATCGAGAGTCCCTCAAAGCCCTTATTTAATCGTCTGAGATATGCACTGCCATTTTCTCGGGAAAGATCCTGGCTTAGAGATTCATTAGCTTGTCCCTTGGCCATTGTCATTAAATGAGACTGGTGCATCCCAAGACTAGGAACTCCAAACATGATAGCGCCTTTGAACTTATTTAGGATACTCATAACGCTCTCCACTCCAGCCATTCGGACGATAGCATCTTTCAACACTATTCCGCCTAGACTGTGAGCTAGAAACACAATCGGCTTCGAGGAGTCGAGGTTCCATCCCCCAGCTTTTAGTTGGTGGATAAAGCTAACTGCGATATCGCTTATGGTCTGAAATGACTCGCTGCCATGAAGCTCGGACTTATAGCCATATATTATTGTTCGGACTCCTAACACTGATCTTGGGAGCTCATCTCTAATCCACATAAAGCTCTTATCGTCTCCATGTGGTTGCCATGATCCAAAAGGATGGCTTGCTAAACCAGATATGGCAATACAGCTAGTCACTTTTAATAATTAATAAGAAGAAAAGCCCAAGAAATACATACTCTGTGTGGTGGTCTTCTGATTTTACGTCATTGAGAGCTGTCAGGCCTTGAAAATGCGTGTCGAGAATCAGGCACTGTCCTGGCTCCTCTGCAAAGGGAAATTCCCATTCGTCAAGGTGGGATGTAGAGCTTAGGCAGTCTGGTACAACTTGGAAACGGATAGTCGCGACTTTGGAAGGTAGCGATTCCCACTTGTTGCAGGTTTTGGCGAGCGAGCAGACCTCAACCCGTTCCTCGGGGATGTTCACGACTTCGCTGAGCAGCTGGGACACATCTGATCGATCACCAACACGGTTCGGCAAGCCTCTCAACCGGAATACCCTTCTACTTAATTCCGGGCGAGTTGCCATGTCGAGCTGCCTCCTTACGTAGGAGAAAAAGAATGAAGTTCAACAACAATGAAAGCTGCCAGGGAACGACAACCCAACTCAATGAATGACTGCCTCCTTGATTGAAGTGTGTGAAGGATTAATTCTACCTCAAAGGAAGATTCAGCCCATTCAAACCTGAACACAGCTGCGCCTCACGTGCAAATGCAGCCCAACTGTCAGGTGACGTAGCCTCGGGCCAATGAGGCGTATCAAATCTGATTACGTGCACTGCCTCCATTAATGCACATTGGCGATAATAAAACACAACATTCCCTCGGGCCAGCAATCGCTATGAACATGGTTTAGCCATCTCCCGTCAAGACGAGCGGTCGCTACAAGCTGAGCTGGGCTACGCAGTTACTGGCTGCAATAGTCAGATCGCGACCAGATATCGCCCGCTCTCTACCTAGGCAGCAACCATCGGGCTCTTCTTCAGTGCCCAACCTCACCTCGTCATATTTACCTCGTCAATCAAAGAAAAGCAGATTATGGATCCAACTCCGTCGCCCTTTCTTGCCCTCCCTGCCGAGATTCGGAAACGAATTTATCGGTTTGCTCACTTGCTGCGCACATGTCCGATTCTCATCGTCCCGCGCTCAAGAGCCGTGGCAGACTCCCCGGCTAGTTATCCAGGTCCATATTGCAGATCTGAGGAATCTGCATCAGAAGGGGCTTTGGAATGTCATATGTTGCTTGGGCAGAGAAGATGCACGTGTCCCGCACTTCCAAAGCAGCTGCTTCTCGTCAACAAGGCTCTCTACAAAGAGACGCTGGAGATTCTATACGGCGAAAACACATTCGCCATCTGTGCACATGAAAGCGAAGATTTCGAGGCCTTCAGAATGCTTTCAAGCGACGCTCTGCACACTTTACGCAGGCTTGTGGTCCGGTGGAATAGCGTGCCATTCCTCCACGCTCGTGACTACAACAATGGCGCTTGTGTGATTTGTCGAGCACCTGCGTCTCTGCCGCATTCCGAATCTATGTTCTCAGAGTGGACGCTTGTCTGCAAGCTTTTGGCACGGAGTCTTGCGCCAGTTCACCTCAAGCTGGATCTTATCATTAACGTCCAGGACATGACCACCATACACCGGATATTTGCATCATCATATTGCCTTCCACGTCTTCTAGATTACAATATCTGGATGGGAAGGTCACTTGCTGATTCAACAATCACTTCAATTGCACGCCTGACCGCACAATACCTCTTATCAAAATCGAGCCCGGAATCTGAAGGAGAGCCAAGAATAGCCCAAACTCGCTTAGCACTCCTGCCACTAGAGATTCGTCGTCGTATTCTCATGTTCATGAACCTCAGGTACAACGGGCCTTTCTTGACAAAAGGCAAGGAAATATGCGTCAAGGATGGGAAATTCGCCCCGTCGCTCAGTCCCGAGTGCATCCATGGAAACTGCATAAAATGCTCGACTAGGGCAGTTCGTTGCCTCTGCCGATCCGGCTTGGAGTGGCAGTCGTTCTCTCCCCATTGCCAGTGCCGAGTCTTGCCCGTCGAACTCTTCCGTGTAAGCTGGCAAATGTACACGGACGGGGCTACAGTCCTATACTCTACGAATACCTTTACATTTTCAGGATCTTTTCTAAATACCTTGAGAATGTTACAGTCGTTTAGACCCGAAACTCTGCAGCTCTTCCGTCGGATCCGGTTCGAATTTGATTTTGAGCAAACCAAGGCCTGGGCTCGGCAGGAAACAGCTTTCCTCTCTCTACTCTCGTTCATTGGCAGACACTTTGATACCTCTCAGCTTCTTCTTATCATAGACACCAGCAACGATTATTATCCATGTCTGGAAAGGGACTTCGGCGAGCCAACATTGAGAAATCTATATGATGCCTATATAAGCATCATCCGTTGGGTCAAGTTCAGCCTGCCTGGACTGGCCGACCTTCACGTCGACCTCGGCATGTTCTTCGGTCTAGAGACCGTCTTTGAGAAACACGTCATGGGTCCGCAGTATGATAGCAAGAGAGGGAACCGATATGCGAAGGCTGGCCACAGCTACGAAATGATTAGTCCTATGATTTCTAATTGGAAGCAAGTGAGCGAGATACCATCCTGGCACCGGCCTTTCTAAAGTCTCGGAAGAAAGCATAGGGCAGATTTCCTGTTGTTCCATATCTCTAGGCCCCAAAAAATGATACTCTTACTAGTTTCTTTAGGCATAGGTCATTCTCGATGATTCAGCGACCTGTCGGGATTTTTTAAGAAGGTGGTATATAGACCGTGCAGTTGCAAGATCTATTTCCACGTACAGAGAATTCCTAGTATAAATTGATTAAATACACTGCGTAAAATTTTAAAGCTGGCCTCATGAATAAGCGTGCTATACATCAAAAACTATGAGTCTAACTAGCTCAATCAGATGTCATCTTCAAATTTGCCCGCACCAGCGCGATGTCGTATACTAGGTATGTGTTGTGAAGCGATAGTGCCGGAACCATCCACAATCCACTAGTAAGGGGATCCTTAGTACTGCAAAAGCTCCTCATGGGCGACGTGTTCGACCGAGGCTGACGAGCTGACCCGAGATGACTCGAACGTAATGTCTCGGAGGGATAGACGGCATTGCGTACGAAAATGCTTGCGAACAGATCAGCATCAGCGGCAGCGTCCTCGATGAGCTCATCGCCGAGCAGATACTCTCTCGTCGGAGCGAGCTGCTCCCGAAAACCATTGCCGAGATGCGGCGGTGAAGAGATCGCGTTGCCAGCTGGGTCGAGGACAACAGCGATATCGTAGACTGGGTGAGACCGGAGGCCGGTGTCATGTGCTTCATCAAGATGGAGAAGGAGCCGACGGGCGGGACTGGGGCATTCTACAAACGCCTACTGGAAAAGCATGGCGTTTACGTTGGTCGGGGCACTTGGTTTGAGAGGGACGATTCCTTCTTCCGGCTGGGGTACGGATGGCCGACCTGGGAAGAGCTTCATGTCGGCTTGGAGAAGATTGCACAAGCGCTACGGGAATAAGGAAGGCTGAGATCGTGTTGGGGCAGAGGATTGAAGAGATGACTAGATTGACTGCTTCGCTGACCTGTCCAGGCCTTCCAAAGGGTTGTTTCTAATAACTAGTATGGTTATATAGTCTTCTCTTCCTCCTTAATGACAGAGGCTCAGTAAAGTACTAAAAGGCCATAGTATAGTACCTTTGTTTCTTTATTGCAATCAAGGTTACGGGTCCAGGGTTGTGGTGGGAGGCAGCGATGAAGTCGGACCTCATCCTTAGATGTGATTCCCCAGAAAATGATAGAAGATGTGATTGCTGCGAAGGGTATATTTTCTTAGGTACCGACCCCATCACTGCTACGCTTGCAATCAAGTGCTGACTGAGGCAAAGCAGACAACCCTGCTATAAGCGAGGCGCGGAACTGTCAACATCCGGCGGTCTATGACAACACACATCTGCCGAACTTGCCAGGCTGGGATAACGGAACACATGGGATCAAGCCTGAGCCAGCCTCTGATGGCGATGCAATTCGTCTTTACAGGGTAGAAGCAGTGCTTCCATCTACGAATCCTGAACGGGTAAATTTGGCATGTCATGATGAATTTCGAAACAAGTGGACTCTATTTAGGTTCGTCCAGCGCAGGGGTCGCACTCAAGGATCATCCACTGCGCAAGAACCAAAATCTTATTTGGGGGCTAAACAGCGATCAAACAATCAGCGGGGTTTGGAAAATAGGCGGTCACTATCCTTGGAATGCGGTCAGACTGGTATTCTGGGAGGGTGTCTAACAGAGCACATGACGATTGACTGATTTGGTGCTCGAGTAATAACACTTGGAAAGAAAGTACACGAGCGTAAAGAAGTAAATAGATCACCTGACTCTCGGCGGTATTCAGAATCTGCCGGGGCTCGCCGAAAGGCAATTGTGATTACGAGGCTGCTCAACGTCATGGCTGGGTCTGGTCCCGGCAATGAGCCCATCCGACACGAAGGCTCCATCGGCCGCCAGTCAATCAGACACTGGAGAGATGGGGAGAAGCGTCTTCCTGGTCAGCCACTCCAGCACAGACTCAACTTGGTGGTGGAAGGCTGAGCAACGGCACCATTCCCTGAAATCTCTAGTGTGGCGTCGTTTCCATCGCGGCGGTGCCCAACCAAGTCACAGTTGATCTTACCAAATACAGTGAAGCACGAGTGACGTTTTTCCGTGCTTAGCTGACCCCCCTGCAACTAAAAAAAGAGCTGCTGCAGGGGCGCGGCCGCCTGTAACAGCGAGGATTCTGGGAGTGGTGGGGGAACTAGGAAGAAACTCAACGGCCACCAGGGAGATGAGAGATGGCATTAGCGCTTGTAACAGTGCCTTCCCAGGAGGATGCTACGCCTGAAGCATGTCGGAGCTGGTTGAAGTCTTCGTCCGCGGAGGAGAAGTGTCCGGGACTCAGGGGTCCCCACCATCCGCTCACATCCATGGAGAGGCGAGGGGCATCGCCAGCTGACTCGGAAAATAATGCATTTCCTGGGTACGAGCCCAGGTGTTGATTTGGCAGCCCGAACAAGAAATCTTCACGATTGTCTTAGGGCTAGAGGTAGGGATCAATAGTTTCCAGTAGCCGGAGTGATGAAGCCAAGTGCGTTTTCCAAGGCTAAGGCATAGTGCCAAATGAACAGGTTAATCTCTTTAACAATCTACATGCGTAGCTCAGTGGGAACAATCGCCAATTCAATCCCCATTGAGGCTTTTCAGTGAGCAAGAGATCGCCGAGCACAACGCCGTGGGGCCGAATGGACATCTCGTAGGGGCCTGCTAGTGCCAGTCACCTTGCCCAGAATCGCATGGCATTGCGTCAAGCCCGGTGCCCTGTCTAAATCGAGGACCTGCAGTGCCTCGTCTGGTCCGGGGTGGTGTGGCTCGGCGGCGATGGGCGAGTGACAGTCTGCCGTCAGCCCAGCGACAACACGAGCGACACTATGAAGGAGCTAGCAGATTCTAACGGTCGTCATTGTTATTATAAGATCGGCCGTCCCTCCATTCTTGCGGCACTCATTCCCCTCGATTGCGTTTTCGTTTTCGTGCGAAGAGATTCCGTCCATCATGTCAAGTCAACTGCCTCCCGAGGTCCCTGCTGGGTGGTCCGCCCAATGGAGTGCCAGACACCAGACCTGGTAAGTCCTGCATATACTATTCTCTCGCGATATCTATCTAACTTTGTGCGCCGCAGGGTATATGTCGACCTCAAGTCGCTTAATATTCAGTGGATGTGCCCGACCGAGCCCCCGCCAGGCCATGTCATCACTCCTCCCGTCAGCCCGACAACACCGTCCAGAGGCGAGCCGTCAGTCCCCGCGGGATGGAAACCGAAGTGGCATCAATCGTACGGAGCGTGGTACTATGTGAACTCGCAGACTGGGAAATCCCAATGGAATCGCCCGCAATATGCCGCCATCCCCGCCAACGCCTACAGCCCGATCGACCACAGCCACAAGCCAGTCGACTGGGATGAGTGCGCTCCCTCGCCTCTGGTTACTAAGTTCCCAAAGTCGCTGCATCTCTCTCTGAACCTGGATCGCCAGCCAATGTCTGGATTCGAGCATCTGTATGCGCCCTGTGTCCTTGATAAAGTGAGGTTCCAACACATGACTGACATCTTTCCCAGCTTCAGCGGCAGCGTCAATCCCAACCCAGCTCCTTTGACTCCAGGATTCTTCTCTCCCCCTCCTCCGAGGGCGGCACCTCCTTCGCCTCCCCGCTTGTGTATTGATACCAAGCATGCCCAAGGGAGGCAGCGCCCCGTCTCACCAGCTCACGCGTTCATCCCAGCCTTCCGACCGAGGGCCATCAGTGACTGTCCGCCAGTCCTACCGGATATCCCCCTCTCCCAGATCGAGGCACCTCATCCCTCGCCTCTCAACCCCTACACCCAGGCCAGGCACTCCTTCCTTGCGCCTCCTGGTCCAGCACCGAATGTCGCCCACCACCAGGCTCGACACTCCATGTCAAACTTCCCAACGAGCTCTCGCCCGTACGGCGGAGGATACGGCAGCGCCTATGCTCCTCCCCCTCCGCCTCGCCCCAAGCCACAGCCACAGCTCAAGGCCGCCCTAGGTGTGCCAATCCAAGAGGTAAACGCCAATCGCGGACACCACAGATGGGCCTCGACGCCCGAAATCGTCCTACGGAAGCCTCTCACCCCGAAGATCGAAATGGCCACCGAGCTCCCGGCCGCTGAGATCCCAGTCCTCCAGGAAAAGGAAGTCCTCGCGCCCACCATCATCGTCGCGCCAATGCCTACGCCGCCGCTAGACCCGACGCCGCCTCTGGATCCAACACCCAAACAACCTGCCAGGGCACCTCTCGGCGACATCCGGCAGCTGCTGAGGACCAAGACGGTCGGGTACACCCAGCGGTCGTGGCCGGTGGGCGCCCAGGACAGAGGGTACTACCCCACGCGCGTCGTCGAGGAGGCGGAGGAGGATGGGTACGAGAGCGATTCGAGCTACTGTACGGATTACGCGGAGGATGAGCCTGAGCGGTCGCCTGTTGTCAGCTTCACTCCTGTTTTGAATAAGCCTACCGGGCGTGAGTCCTGGGAGCTGGCTTATTAGCAGGTGTGAGGACTAATGATTGATGGTTTTATTCTTCTTCTCTACATATTTTCATTTTTGTATTTGTTTTTTTTTGTCAACCTTCCCTCGTTTTTTGGTCAGCGAAAAGGCATAGCGATGGCTTTCATGGAAGGAGTTGGGATGCATTGCACTGGAGCATAGTATGGCATAGAAATGAACGGCTCCTCGATGATATCTTTACGGCTTGGGGGTAGTTCATTTATAATTAGACTAGTCTCTCTATTCTTTCGCGTAATAACTACCGATGATACAAACACTTCGTGCGTCGATTGCTGTGTGACGTTTTTCTTTGCAGCACTGTACGTGAAGACAGAGCCGTGAAACAAACCTCGAGCAAGATGACTTGAATTAACTTGGACAACTGATCGAGCTAGGGGTTGCTGTCAAAAAATCGTCTCCTCTGCTTCATACGATGAGGCGGTCTATGCACCGACCACCACATATCATCCAGTCCATCGTCGGCTTCCTCCTTCCCTTGTAAGATATCAGTATCCTCGTTCTCCAGCGATGGACTGTCTAGGATTGTAGCCCCCCGAACAAATCTGGTCAAGTTCCTCATCGAGGTAATTTGCCGTTCTGCTACCCCCCACAGTGCCTCTACAAGCACTTCAGCGGCGGCTTTGAAGACTGGTTTAAACCACGTCTGCTCCCCGCCATCAATTGGCTCGATGCCTTCATCGTCGACTGGTCCCTGCTCATCCTCTGCCGCCACTACCAGAAGGAATGGTGCCCCAGGCCGCCAGCGTGGACTATCTATCCCTGGTTGTGAAGAGGGCCGCATCTGAAGTACTGACGCTATTGAATCCGTAGAGGCACAAAGAAACAACGGCAGATGAAGGCCTGGTGGAAAGCCATCCGACTCCCGCAAGGCACGATATTTTGCTCGTAGTCTCTCCACAGGATCAGTAGCATTTAGGCGATCAGAATCTCCCTCCACCCCGTCTCTAAATCCGTCTCCTACGTCGACCCAGCGGATCTCGAACGTGCTGCGAGCCTCGGCGATTTCGTCCGCCAAATGACCTCGTTCCACGGCCGCGTCAAACGGTAGTTCAACGATCCTCTCAATGCGACTCTTGAACTCCTCGAAGTCCAGGTTCGCTCCCCCAACCCGGAAAGCGACAAACCCCCACGGCCGCCCTCGGTAATGTCTCTTCCACGCCTTGAGCCAATCGGGTGTCGGAAGCGTCGGTCGAGGGGACGGAGACGCCTGTTGTTCGAGCCGCTGCTGCTCCTGCCAGACGACACGGGCCAGTTCGTGGACGCCGTCTTCGCCGAGGATATCCCGGAAGCCAGCCTGCATCTTGGCCCGCTCGTCATCAGGCAGGGCCTCGGTGTCTTCGGCCGTAGCGTGGACGAACCGATGGAAGTTCCATCCGGGCGGCCAGTAGGAGCTTGACGCGTCAGAGTAGGATGAAAATTGGCTTACGGGGCGCGGTACCTGGTTTTGGCGTGGGCTCGGCATTGTTTGACTGGTTGCGTTGGTTCTACAGAATGAGAAAATGGGGAGAAGCCAATGGAACATGAGTGCGGAGAAGCACTCTAACTACAGCCGTACCCAACATTAGGTGCGCAAAGATTCGGTATATTTTTCTTCAGCAGCACCGCTCCCAGCCAGCTATCCATTATCCCATAGACAATATCCCGCTACAATTATGGGCTTAACATGCTGTATGTATGCATTTCCATTGGCTGAGCCTATTTCTTTAGCTACCTGGGCCTGCGTTGCCTAAACTAGCCTGCATCCTTGTGCTGCAAAGGTCAATAGGGTCTGTTGGGAGGAATGGATGACTCGTCTCAAGGGCAGTCAGCCAGGTTGGGTCCCAATGACATCTGGGAGGTCTGTCACTCGCTCGTCTAAAAGAGCCGGGTTAGGCCTCTACCAATCGATAACAATCCTGTCGCAACAGCTGACTGAGGCCTGACTCACAGCCGTCGCTTGTTCCAACATATTACTTAATTAGGCCACTTTTCGCAAGATCAAAACTTAAAAAAGTGGCAATATAGGCCCACACGTGATGTACTGAGTATACATATGTCTGGATATGTCTTATGGATATGTAAGACATATTATACCCATTCCCACCAACAGGAAGGTAATCAAGTAATTCAGCCATCCAAATACTTACCGATCTTTCAAAATGAATCGTGATGTGTAATTACCTAGGTATCTAGGAGTTGTTTTCCGTCTCATCCAAGTGATCACAAGTCACAACATACGAACGCTAGCATTCTTGAAGGGAGGAGAATTCTTAAGGCCAGCGAATTGATTTATTGGAAGACCTGGTTTCGATATAGGTACCCATAGCATTTAAGTTTTAGGTGTTTCATAACAAAGACGTTATCAACACGCATCCTTCTATGACTGGAGGAACGAGCAATAATAACACCAAAGAGGGTCCAGCTAGCATTGACCAACTCGTATCATGGCAGGAGATGACGTATGTACTCATTCATCAATATAACCAGAGAAATCTCTTCGCCAATTTTGATTCTTCCTAGTCCTGTCATCATCTTGTTGTCTTGGTCGACTACGCCGGCACTCACCCGTTATCTCATTCTTTCATTAAATTCTTGTTTTCATCCCATCTAGACCAATCGCTGGAACGAATTACAAACTATTTCTCTTAATCCGGCTATTCCCCGTCAGTATCAGTATATTCAGCAATGTCTCAACTTCTGCGGACTTTTAAGGCTTGAGAACTAACTTAAGTTTACCTCAGTTGGCCATACCGTATACACGGCATAGGTTATGGCCGCCGAGAAGATACTACAGGATGCCGCCATGGGTCGGCCAAGTACCCATCCTGTGTCGCCCGCCTTCATCATGTACGCAGATGATGTTTGGGGGAGTGATGAGGTTGTCTTGTTCAAAACATCACACCAGAGCCATGCGGCTAGTGATGCGAAGAACCATACGTGGGACCATGCGGTCCTAATGAAATACTTTTTTGTTGACGAGCAGCACGAAGTCGATTGTGTGAGAGATACCTGCTACCCAGAATGGTCCGGGATGGGGTGCGTTCGCGTCAATTTTATCAATCTGCCGACTACCGCTAAGCGAATGTAACAGGCCTGTCACCGAAGACGATTGCGGACGTCCTTGTCCGAATAATGGAGATGGTTGCGGGTATGCATACACACTTCAGCTTAATCTCAACCTCTTAACCTCGCAGCTGACATTTGGCAACAGAAACGGCAAACCTTTTAGAAGATAAGGGCGACTTAACTTGAGATCCATGCTACGAAACTCACGACATGCAATAAAATTATCCTTGTTGGACTGTGTTTAGGCGCTAGGTATTTCGGCTGAAGACATTTTTGTATCTACGAACCAATACCCCCTTCCTTTTTAATACATGGTGAACAATTATGAGTCTACATCTCAGATAGCCTTCCCTATTCTTAGATACCGCTGAAGCGGCGTGAACAAGTCTCCTTCCAGCCCTAAACACGGTCGCCCTTAAAATAATAACGATTTATGATGCCCTCTTGCGTCCTTGCTAGCGTACTTCCACTTCGATAAAGGCAATGTGGCAAGCAGTCCTTTGACAGCTGGGAATTAAAAAGTCATCATAGGGAAAGGGGACGGTACCTCAGGTTCTTGCAACACCATAGGAGCCATTTCATTATCATTAAATACTGTTAAACAAATGCAGAGACTTTATCAAATGACCAAAATATGTCCTCTCCGTGCATCGTGACATCATGTCCTACTTCTCTCAAGTTCTCAACAAAGTCTCGCAGGCAATCGTTCCCCGACAGCCTTGCTAGGTCCCCTGTTTTCATGGCCTCACCTTCATGTCCTACAGGAAACCACTCAGCAGTGCAATAAGTTTCGCGAAGAGGGTCAGCGCCATTGGAGAGAAGCCACTTGACTGTATCCTTCGCTCGCCCGCCAACAGCGTGGTGGATCGGTGTCCATCCGTAGAAATCGGCGACATCCAACAAGCATGCCATAGACCCGGGATCGCTTTGCGTGCTAGTTCGCAATTTATACAAGCTAGCTAGCGCTTCCAGGGTCATCGCATTGTTCATCGATGCGGCTATGTGGAGTGGATTTTGTCCTTGATTAGTTACACATTGGTCGAAACGAGTTGATGCTCCTAGCCGATGCATTTGGTAGACATCTTGGGCAGTCCCATATGCTGCACACCTATGCAAGGAAGTCCAGCCAACAGAGTCTTTCGCATCGCCGTCAAATACCAAGTATTCCTCAAACATTGGGTAATACACCGTATTACTTGTACACTTACTAACGTTAAACAAATAATGGAGGATGGACCATCCTCTGCCTGAGATATATGCGAGGTCTGCATTATATTGTAAAAGAATGCGAGCTATATTCGGTTTATCGAGTGCCAGTGCCATTTGAGTCGGACTTCTGTGGCAACTTTTAGTAAAGGGTTATCTATACATTCTCATGACCACTCACGTATTGTATATTCCACATGGAACGTTTGAATCTGCGCCTTCTCGTAACAAAAGTTGGACAAGCTCTTCAGATCCTGCCTGGATGGCAATCTTCAACACAATTAGCTCACAGGAACTGGAAACTAGATATCCAGAACTTACACCAAGAAGACTCATATTACTAATAGTCATGTCATTTGGCCTGGCAGCTCCTGCTACCAGAAGCTTTCTGACACGTGTGCTATCGCCAATTTCACATGCTTTCACTACTTCTGCATCGTCTGGGATCAAGTTTCGGATTGATATGTTCCATGGTATTATCGATTGAGCTGAAGGCCAATATAAATGCGCAACGATGGGATATCCAAATATTCTCACTCGAAGACTTAACGAACAGCGATACTTCTTTCTACTTATTTGATGATATTGTATGTTGAAGCCTTCGTTATAGGACCATGTTTTGAACAATGAGGCCTTCGGCGAGTAGGGAATGGCTGTTGTGCTATTGGGAGTTGCTGCTAGCAAGTGGCAGTGCTGGGATGCAAACTCATGCCTTAGATCCAATAATCTTTTGGAAGTTAAACTCTGTTGCTCGGCAAATTCTCTGATGGCCGAGTTCATTGAAGTGTTTGCGTGGCTATAGTGAATACGAAGAATCAGCAACTATGCAAAACAAGCCAGAAATTAGAACCATTACATCAGGTATATTAGAAATGTTGCATTGAGGAAGTCGACTGTACGCTGTAGTTGCCCTTCAATATCACTGATGAGCTCCTTCTTAGAGGCGAGTTGAATGTCTGACCAGGTTCGTGAAACGAATGTCTTTCCTTGTTTGTGTTTGGTAGCTCTCTTTAAGACATTCTCAAGCGAATCCAAGGTATTTTGACATGTCGACAAGGCATCTAAAATATTCTTTGAGAAAAAAGTATCCTCATGCTGTGTTATCTTTTGTGGATCGAGAACAGTCTTGACGCTATTCGCAAGATTACATAGTTGCTCAATAACAACCCTGAGCCGAACAATTTCAGATGGTGCATCAGATATTAAGTCGAGGAATCGCTTGATGCCAAGGGCACTCCGCCCAAGCGCAGACGTGAGTGACACAACCGTGATGATATCAACCGTAAGACTTAGCGGATTCATATCAATTTATTATGGTCGAAGGGCATGAAAACTCTTGAATGTGGATCAGAACCAGAGAGAGGGCGGCACTTAAAAAAGCCTAGTTGAACTGAACAGCAGCACCGTGGGACAACGTGATTATAATGGCGCACAAAGTGCATTTGTTTTACACCGACAGAGAAGAATCATTCGCCGGTCGGCTACATACGGGCTGCTTATTCGCAACGTAGTCCAGCGTCAGCAAGACCGTGTTTTAGGGCACCGATTCGAATGAAAATGCTCTTTTGGCAATCTTCTACGCAGGTTAGGGTGACTTAACTGCTACTGGTTTCAAGTTGTTGTAGACTGCTTGTAATCTCAGGAAACGTTGATCAGTAGCTGGCCAATATTCTACCTCTTGTTCTGGGGCCTGTATATCATGATTCTAGGGTGATTGCCCATTTCCTCCTTTGTTGGCATCTACGTCTCTTAGCTTGGGAGTGATAGCCTCTGGTTGGGCTGACATTGTCCGTGTCCAAGTAGCATGATCACATGCCCCGAGATATTCGAAGCGGGGCAATAGTACACCCTCATTGCCTGGGTACCTAAGTCGTTAGGCACAAACATTAATCGTTATCCAGCTTCTGACCACCTCCAGGTCTTTCTCCATAGGAATCTCGGCAGACAGATACGTGTAGGTACATGATTGTGCGAATGTGCTGACTGTTGCCGATGTTTTGAGTCGCAAAGATGGGTGGCATCAATAAAGGATCCATGCACAAAAAAACTTGTTTCATACCTGCATCCACATGTAATGCTGATATATGACAACAAACCTCTTATAGCGGTGACGTACTCAAAACCCCTCACATCGTGTGCTTCGAGCAACTTGTCCGGAAGCAAGGAAAACAATCATATTAGAATTCCGCTATCAGTAAGTATAACACATGGTATTCTTTTTCTTAATATCAGTCTTTTTCTCCTTTCCTTATTTGCTTTTCTCAAAGGATACGTCGAATATGGGCGTGGCTGGGCTGCGTTCTTGGGGCCCACACACATGCCTCTTTTTTTTTTAGTTTTTCAGCGCTATTTCATATTTACTGCAACCGCCACGTAGCACATTTGGGGTCAATGCTCTCCCCCTGCACCAGATCATTGGTCAATAGACATTGCCTGTCATGTTTCGCTGCCAATGGCCCATGAGTACAGCCAAATCCACGCCCTGGTCTGCCAGAATCACGCCCATAGTACATTACCCAAAGAACAATAGACAGCCAGATCAGCTTCAAAATATCACTTATTATACTGGCGGGGAGCTTGACCAGTTATATAATAATTGCCCATCTAAACAGTAGAATGATTTTTCTTAATAGTAAATATTGTATGAGAGGGTAAATATTTTGTATCTTAACCTTATGTACCTATCAAAAGATACGTCTCTTTACAATCTTGCTGTTGTAGGCAATTCATAGGGGCCACCATACCCGAAGATAATCAAATGGGCGTGATTCTGGCAGACCAGGGCGTGGATTTGGCTGTACTCATGGCCGAAACGCAGAGGGTGATCCTAGTGTGACAGGCCTGCTATATGTGACCACCTAAGGTCGGTCTGCCCTAAGCGGCCGACCGGGTGATATAAAACATTGCACGCAAAAACTATGAGCATTTTCAAAATGTCCGATTCAACTACCCATCTTTGCTAATATAAGGGGGAATAAAAACTGGAGAAGGATTCTTGAAAATCCAACAGATCATAGGTGTTTGTTTTATAAGAAGCAATAGCAACTATTTGCTAGTTTAGTGAGGTGTTAAAGTGAGGATCTGGCGAATAGACGCATATCTCCCCCCCCTTTAAATTAGAATAATTGTTCAAGCGCCAGGTAATTAAGTCCCCACTTCGGTCTTGGCATTTCTCTTATGCTGAACATTGGGCATTTAAGGCGTGGAGGAGTCTTCCACACCTCCATCTTTGCCCACTCGCCTTGTTTACCAACTCTTTCATGGAAGTCGGTGACCTACGTGGAGAAGCTTCAATATCTCTCACTTTATGGGATGCACATTTCCAGCTTCATTTGATTGACATTCAAATAATTGGCCATTGCCACATTTGAGGTACGGTAGGTAGAAGGTCCTCCCTGGTGAGTTATCAACCCTAGAACAGATTGTGAATACCTTACATAAAAGAGACATAAGACCAGTTTCCTCGTCGGACTCGCAGGTGGAACGAAACTCGTACCAAACACTTGGACACCCCCAGTTTGAAAATTGGTTGGCTTTGGAATTTTATTCGCAGAAGATGGCATCTGACCCGTCTTTGGGTTTCAGCAAGAGTCGGCTTGGTACAGATTAGCCCCAGCCTAACCAAAGGATCCGGCTTTAACTAATACGCTCTATCAGATGCTAAGCCTAGGCTCGATCCCGTCCAGAAGCCACGGCGATTTTTTCGAGTTGGAAGGGTTTTCGCGATGCGCTGGGTTGAACCGTACTCTGAGCGCGAATCTCAATCGAGCAATCAACACCCGACTGGTTCTCATGAACCAGACGTCTTTTCTGAAATCCGACGGTTTATTGTCGTTCACGAGAGTCACGGAGCATCGCAATGCGTCCCTATACATACCTACGGTGGGAGAGGATTGCGCAAGTCCAATATCAAGATCGAGGACCACGCAAGAGTCTTCCGGAATGACGACGAACACTCGACCCCGCCCTCGGAACCACGGCTGAGAGAACCGATTGGGGTTGTGATTGATAAAAACAGTGAATTCCAGCGAATTCATCCTGAATCTGTGGCGAATTTTGGGAAAGTCTATACTGTGGAACATGATGTCGCAGTCGCCAATATTGGGCATGTTGTCAGAGCTCATAACTATCGTTTGCAACTCAACTGGGCCTCGTCTCGCAGTCAAGCCATTGCGGCTCCAGGCAGCTTCGGGGATGATGAGACTATGTTCCTAGCACCTCCATTGACAAGTTCTGAATCTATTTCACCCATCTCGAATACCACAGCCGATTTAAGCGAGATGCCTAAGAAGAACCACAACCAGTCAACGGTTGATCCGACGAGTGACTATACAGTACTCATTTTATGCGCACTTTCTTCTGAAATGGCTGCAGTAATGGTTGTGCTTGATGAGGAAAGACATATGTCAGCCAATGAGCAATATCAGCCTGACCACGATGACATATTGGGCCGTGTGAAAAATCACAATGTCGTCCTTGCCAAGAGACCCGCAGTAATGTTCGGTGTAGAAGCAATCTCCGGGGTAGTTCAAGAGATGTTGCAGACTTATTCATTTATACGCTTCGTGTTAGTGGTCAAGACTAGGAACGAATTCCTGTTACAAAGACGCAAAGACGGGCGTGGTGAGGAAAGGATCAGTCCAATCACTTGGGCAAAAGGTAAAGTAGAACGATCTGCAACTTTCCGGTCAACAAAGCCAATCAGGCCACCATCCAACGTTTTCATCAAGGCTCTGAGTCGCTTACAAAACCAACTGGAGTGGGGAGAAAGGCAGATTGGGCGTGACATATCTGAGATACTCAGAAAGTATCCAGCAATAAGAAGAAAGTATGATTCTCTCCCTCCGCTCACCGAGCTTCCACCTCAACAACAAGATTGGGACCATTTTGCTCTAAAACGTGACGAGAGCATTTACGGAATCCACTCATCTAAGGTTGGAGGAGCCGAAGCGCCTGAAAGCCACCAGAGCAACTTCGTTTTAAACGGTCAAATTCGTGATAGTGTGGCAGAGTATTCGCTGTCCGAAGAACTCACTGTGTCTTGCTCGGAGGCAGGCGGTGCTGGGACAATCTTAGATTTCTCATTTTTAGAGATCCAAGGGATATACGACCATTCCAATTCTTACAAGAAGAATCAGGGGTGGCAGGTCTATGCGGCTGCTGCCGCCGCGGCATACGCCAAGGTGCTTCTGGGTACCATAACAACAGAAGACGTTAGACAGGAGAAGCTTGTTTTGCAGTCAGATTTGTGTGAGTACCTTTATTTCCTATTCCGATAAGCTATTTTAAGCAACCACGTAACTTGGACTAAGTCACTACTGCAGATGAGATAGACGAAGAGCAGACTCAATGCCATCGAGTATTGAAAACTTCAAATTATGAAAATTTTAAGGATCTAAATCCGAACCGAGTTTCGAACACTTGCGAGTGGGTGCTGTATCGCTCAGAATATGAACAATGGCTACAGAGCTCCCAAGATTTACTACTATGGTTCTCAGCGGATCCAGGTTGTGGAAAGTCGGTGTTATCGCGGTTTCTCATCGATCACAACCTTCAACATACAGAGAAGCACTTCGTGTGCTACTTTTTTTTTAAGGACAATACGATGCAGGATCGCCTTGCAGTAGCCTTATGTGCTCTTCTACACCAAATCTTTCACTACCGACCACAGCTTCTCCGGCTCGCCATGGACGCGTTTAGGAAAAATGGCGAGAAACTACAGAATGAAGTTGATGAGCTGTGGCGGATATTCGTCACAGCTGCTAAACAGATTTACTCGCACAGTGTTATTTGTGTCCTCGACGGTCTCGACGAGTGTCAAGAAGATGATCAAAAAAAGCTCTTTCAATTGCTTGGGAGCTTTTACAACACGCCCAGACCTGTCAAAGGTCCCCAACTAAAGTTTTTGATCACTAGCCGACCTTATCTGGACATCGAATATCTATTTCATCAGCTTCCGTTGATTAGATTAGATGGTGAAGAATGCAGCGACGCTATCAGTAAAGACATCAATCTCATGGTCAAAGATGGGTTGTGCAAACTCAACCTGAGACCAGATGTGCAAGACTTGTTGGAAAACCGTCTGATCACACCATCAAATCGGACATATCTTTGGGCACACCATGTGTTGGAGGACCTTCGGGATCCAAGACATAAACAAACCAAAAAGGGGTTCGAAAAAGCACTCAAGTCTCTTCCGAAACCGTTGGAGGTGGAATATGACAAAATTCTTAACCGTGTCAAGCACAACCGTCGGCACAAAGCGGAGATCCTTCTTCGGATTGTAGTGGACGCTTACCGCCCTCTTACGCTCTCAGAACTGGACGTCGCCTTTGAATTGGCAACAGGGGGGCAAGACGCCCAAACACATGACGATCTTGACCTTGGTCTTGATGGGGCTTCCATAGCGTCTCGGCTACGAAATCTCTGTGGGCTCTTCATCTATGTAGACGACTCCCGGATTTTTCTCATTCACCAATCAGCGAAGGAATATCTTGTGAACATCCACTATCCTCGTCTTGCGTTAGATGAGTCCCGGCCACATTCTCAAATGGTAAAATCACCGAACAAGCTTCTCGCCAATATATGCGTTCAATATCTCTCTTTAAAAGACTTCAGCTATGATCTTCACGATGTAAATTCCAACGACAAGGAGAGTTTTTACCCTTTATTGGAGTACTCTGCCATATATTTGGCAGATCATTTTCGCCAAGCAACAGTGGACGACGACAAGTTGTCGGCACATATCTATGAGCTTTATGATGACCACAGCCAAAGGTTTGGAAACTGGTATCAAATATCTCAGGCTACAAATTCCTTCAAGGGAGCGCCAAAGACATCTCTACAATTAGCAGCATTCAGTGGTCACCTCGAAATGGTTTCGCATTTTCTAAAAACGAAAGAATTTCAAAAGGACACAGAACTCTGGAATATGGGAGAAGCCCTATATTGGGCAGCCCTAGGAGGCAACGAACAGATCGTAAACATCTTAATTGAGAATGGATCAGATGTCAATGCAAACATCAGCGAGCCCCTACCAACGCCAAGCGGGGAGTGCGATAAGCTGGACTTTATGCTACTTGACAGTGGCGCGGATGATATTTCACGCTCATTACTAACTGCCTCTTCAAAAGACCACTTGAGGATTTTGCGGCTTCTTGTCGACAACTATGTATACTTGAACAAGCAAGCAAAGTTCGATGTTGATTCTCTCAGCAATGCATATGCAGGATACCAGAAGAGCCATGGACGTCTTTTGCTTGATTGTCAAGATACCAATGCACATTTCGCTTTCTATGGCAATGCGCTCCAGGCTGCAGCTCAAGGAGGTCATACTGGGGTCGTGCAGCTCTTGCTTAATCGAGATGCAGACGTCAACGTTGGTGGTGGTTTCTTTGGAAATGCTCTTCAGGCTGCAGCTCGAGGAGGTCATAGCAGGGTTGTAGAGCTTTTACTTGAGCGGGGGGCTGATATCAATGCGCCTGGGGGGTTCTATGGGAGTGGCCTCCAGGCTGCAGCTCGAGGGGGCCATAAGATCATTGCAGAGCATTTACTTGACAGAGGCGCGGATGTCAATACATCTCGGGGCTTTTTTGGTACTGCTCTTCAGGCTGCAGCAAGGGTAGGTCATAAGAAGATTGTACGGCTTCTGATTACTAAATACGCAGATATTAACGCACAGGGTGGTTTATACGGCACCGCGCTTCACGCTGCTATTGCAGGCGGCTATGAAGACATTACCATGCTTTTTCTTGAGAAGGGTGCAAATCCCTATGCACAAGGTGGCTTTTACGGCAGTATTTTTGAGGCTGCAACTCAAACACACCACCCGAGGATCGTACAGCTCCTCAACGAGAAGGGTTTCAATGATGCTCAGGGCGATCATCGCCAAACCAGGCATGGATCATTTCAGAAATTCGACAATGCAAGCGCAGATATGCGGGTAGATGGCAACGACCTTCCTACAGGCGCTGATTTAGCTGGATTTGATGATGGTCGCAGGGAAGATTTTATCCTGCGTGCCCACCAGACATATCAACCTCATCATACATCCCCTTCTCATCCTCATTTGGCTTCTTCTGCTCATCTGCAGAATGAAGAATCATCCAGGCCACCTAAAAAGCGGAAATGGCGCTCTTGAGACAAGAAGCCCACCTCAATTTGTCTATGTCCCCATCTTCACCCCCTCCTCTACTCATCCTCATCTGGCTTCCTCGGTTCTTCATCCGGCTTCCTCTACTTATCCTCATTCCACTTCCTCTACTCATCAATGAGATCACGATCCATCCAGACCACCTGAAAAGAGCAAATAACTCCCTTAAGACAAGAAACGGCCTTCTATATAGGCACATCTTCATCGGGAGCATTACCTGTAAATTCTGTGTTTCGACCCTGGATTTTATATTTCGCCCCTGGATTTTATGTTTCGCCCCTGGATTTATGTCTCGCCCCCGGAATTTATGTTTGACTTGATACCAAATGGTATTAAACAAACACCACTTACGACAATTCACTCAACATAACACAAGGCATCAAAGACAGTGATGTTTCAAGACGAAATGCCGCAGCCCTTGCAGACCACGAGATTAGAGACCCAGGCTACATTCTTGTGGATCTGGTATTGCTTGGTACGAACGTGCAAGGCAATGCCTGCAAACCAATCCTAGAGACGAGAGAGCTGTGTAGGGGAGTCAGTGTGGACAGGATCTGGCACTCCTCAAGGTAGCTTGAGTCTGTGATTACTGATCGCATTTACCAGATGAAGGTGAATAGGATCAAACTCACCTTCTTGAGTTAGTTCGAGGCTGTAGCTGTTGATCGTGTTGATCACCATCATGGCGCCTAGGATCAGACTTATCTGTTCGAGGTAGCTTGAGTCTGTAGCTGTTGATAGTATTTATCTAGATCGCGGTCAGTGGTCTCAAGGAAGGGTCTGGCTTAGCTGCCCGATGCTGCAGCTGTTGAGTGTAGTCAACTGGATTGCGGTCAGCGGGATCGAGGAAGGGTCTGACTTACCTATCTAAAGTCTATTCGCAAGAGTTAGTGTGGGATATTTACCAATTCGGCTAGCACTGAAAAATATTTGATTCATCCACTTTCCCAATAGTTTACAAAACTACCACTCGCCCAATATCTTCCTAGCTAACAATATTCTGAAGTGATGGGTCGAGCATCAGATGGAGTTAATTTTCCCACGGACCAGGCAACTGAGTGGGGAGGTAAGAAAAGTAATCTGGAAGTGGAAACTATCACTGGTCTACATCCTTCTCGTAAAAGGGGGGGCTTGAGTGGAGAAGGAGGTCCTGTTAATTGCCGGGCAGAAGCGAGTCGTTCTAGAACTACCACGCAGGCAGGACAAGCTTTCAGGTCAGTTACGGCAAAGCGGTAGATGGCGGCTGTAGAGCCACTACTCTCGGAGATGGATGGATGTTTCCGTACCAAATTGCGAACACATGGACATGGAAAGTCGGGTCAAGTGCCGAAGCCACTGGTTTGTTGAGTAGGAGGCTGACAATTCTAAAAATTGACTCCCCCGACCTCACCCTTGCATGAAGAAGTTTCTGGCGAGGTCGCTATGACCCATAAAATATCTACCTAATATGGAAATTTCGTAATAAAATGAAGATTGCCGAGAAAAGTGGCAAACTGTTTGGTGATCCACGAGGCCCTTTGTAGGCAACAGGCCAAAGCATGCGCATACCGATGTCTTATTGTCATTTCAATCGTCAGTATTCAAGAAGAAACAGCACAAATCTCTTGATTTATTTTTCTAGACATTTGCTGGATTCCACGGCTGCACCATGGGAATATTTCGGGCTTGCTGAAGCACCTGGACCAGCATGCGAAGGCGGCGGTGTCAGCTTCAAGATGCTGAGAACATGAACCCTGCCAAAGTCCCACATAAGACCTAGACAAGTGACAGGTGCCTAAACACTACTTGAAATAACCTAGATAGGTAAGTTCAACGCGGAGCTCATGTAAACGTACTGCCCAATACCATGAGGCAGGCCTCAAGGTCTAGATTTGGGGCAGCAGAAATTACATTTGGCGGCCCACTAACAGTTGCAAATCTATTCTTAAAAAGAGCGTACTTCATGGCAGAAAGAGCAAAGATCCTTAGCAACCGAGAGTACAACAATCATCTTAACTACCACTACTACCGATACCTCAAAGCCAGAGGTATGATAAAACGATAGCAAAGTTATAAAAGGTAGACCTTACATTCTTTAATTTATGTGTGATCAATACACTAATTTGGGAAAGGTCAGCTATGCATTTGTCGGCCCGTTGGCGAAATTTATCATCATGGGGCCCAGTAGCCCGTGGGCTTTCGGCATTCATGGTTCTTCGGCATTCAGGGTTCTTCGGCATTCATGTGTCTTCGAGCTTACCAATGAGGAAGTTAGGTAACTACCTAGTCAATCTATACATCTGCCTAATATTTGAAGCAAGTACAGTCCCTGTCTAGACAGAGAATCCCTGGCTTAATGAACGCTACAGTAGAACTCAATAAGCCATGATGTTTGAGGTGCTCTACTATACCAGTACATTGGCAATTTTTCAAAGGCAACTAGCACTAATTGATTCTATTTTAGTTTAGTACAATATTCTACTGTGGAGGTAAGAGTTTCTTAAAACGGAGCTTGGTATAAATACTCTCACTCTGTCCTTTCTGAATATTCTACATCTTAACCACTATCAATATTTCTTCTATTACAATCTATTCCTACCCTCAAGATGAAGTTCTCAGCTCTTATTCCTTTCTTTTTGCTTTCTACCGGCATAGTAGCACGTCAATCTACTGATCCTGACGCGCTCATTGCTAGGGGTGAGTATCTTATTGCCCGAGGAGAGCGCCTCATTGCTCGAGCCAGCAGTAGCAAAACCAAAGACCCAAAGAAGGGTAAAAAGGAACCTCCTGCTGTTAAGTCAGGATGGATGGGCGGGGTAAGACTTCTATTAACGTCTTTATAATATAGCCTTTACTAATTTCAGTAGCAATGCAATCCGGATACGCAGATATGCTCAGTGATTGGAGCAAAGACTGCTAGTCCAAGGCATGGAAACCACATTGTCGGCACGAGGCAATGCAGCCCTACCTACTACGTAAGTACTAGTTCCAACTTCTCGTTTTGGTTTCCAAGTCTACAAGAAGCTAACTATTCTTAAGTGCCCTCAAGACCCTAACTTCCGAGGTTGCCAGTTTGCGCCAACAAACCGAGCCGACCCTTACGCTCAGTGTGGTCTTCCAACAAATACAGCAAGGAGATGATGAGTTACTTTGGAGAGGGTTTTATCGGACCTTATCCTCGAGCGTTTTAGGAGGTTATACTCTATGAAGAGTAGAGGTTTAACTACTAGTGCAGGGATAAATCATGTGTAGTTATGTGTGTGTGTGTGTGTGTGTGTATTTAACGCCGGGGAATCCCTGGTGAGGGCAAAGGGCGTCTAACTACTACTATTCTAGTGGTACTTATACATACGTCGTTGCCCTGGAAGTATTTTCCTTTCTCCCAGTTAGCTAGTTAGAATTAGTTTTAGTCCATCAATCTATTTTATCTTTATTCTTTGTCCTTAGCAGACGTCAAATGCTAATAAGGCAATCCATGTGTTGGGCGCTTCTACTTGTCTGTAATTATATGTAGTTAGAGATAGCCAGGCGATAACCACTCACTCTTTTCTAGCTAACCTGTTGTTAGGTTGCTGTAGTATGGTCTCTGTAATAATAGATCTACTCCGCAACTCCAGCACAATCTCGACCCATCTTTGAGTGTCAGTAAATCCAATTAATATTTACACCACTATGCTCGACGGCACTGCACTGAATAATTGGAGTCTTCTAGTACTCAGTCCACTCCATGAAAAAGCTCTCGAGGTATAACTACTTGCCTATTCGACTAGTGCTAAGGAATATCGATCTATCCACTTCCACGATGCTTTACAAAACCTGGGCAATGCCACTCGCCACAATCACCGGCAGTCACAATGCGGAAGCTTTGAAACATACACCAAAGAGCGGAAATGATGCGGGATAAGATGGGTCTACAGGCAGCGGAAGTGTGGGCGGGTTGCTTACATCGGCAATTACCCCTGAGTCATGGCCGCTGTTCAGAGTAAGCAATTGGTCTCATACTGATCTCGCCAAGGAGCATTCTTCAGATCAATCTAAAACCTACTTCTACGTCAAAAAAAAGCGCCAGCCTATTGAGCATATTCAAACGTCCCTGAGTTTCGAAGGCTGCCAAATATATGTTTTGTTGGTGGGTTGGACCTCTGGAAAATGCCAAGTTTCTTTGAGATCCATTTATTTTAATATTGAGGCCCTAGCTTGGTTCTTGATATGCGTCATTACGGCCCAGGGGTCTTGTTTTAGTTTCGTCGCGTCTGAGGAGTGAAAATACAACATCCCAGACCATCACAACCCAATTCTCGGATGTTGCTAAGCACAATGCATAGCAGTCTCCGCCAGAAAGCCTGCTTGGCCTGCTCAGTCTCCAAGCGGGGCTGCGACAAGCAGCTTCCCGAATGTCAGCGCTGCCTAGATAGGCACCTGGATTGTGTCTACCCACAGTCCAAGAGGCGGTATAGGGACAGCGCATTGGAGGACGACCAGGCGTACCATCTCCCATCTTCGCATGAGTTTTTGAACCTCAATTTATTAGCGGACCGCTTTGACCACGAGCCTTGGGGTGCAATTAACGCCCCCAACTTTGTTCCCGTTGTACCAGATGTTATGTTTCCTTTCGTTCAGACCCCTTCGACGGGTGGAAATACACTATCGACTCACAGTCTGACGCATGACAGGACATCTCCCTCAGACACCTCTACCCACTGGTTTCTTCAGGGCGATACTTGGGAGATAGGCCGTGTCACCAAAGATACTGATTGTGTGGTTGACGTCGAACTTGAACTGAAGTCTTTTATCCAGTCTGTGGCTCAAATGCTCCAATCTTGGGTCAAGAATGGCCACAATAGCTTCATACATCGGCGACTGTACGAGAAAGGTCTACCTACCTGCCTTCAGGACGCTTTCACAACACTCACAACATACAACGGCCGGAACTCGGCAATAGAAGAGGTAGTACTGCAGATTGCCCTGGACCGCTTAGCCGCACTCACCCGCCAAGGCCCGCCGGCAACCAGCGGTGCGGAAGGCATACTGGCCCACCTCGCACGTGTCCAGTCCCTTTTCATCTATGAGTTCATAATGCTGTTCGACGGCTCAGTACGTGTTCGTGCATCCGCCGAGAAGCAACTCCCGCTCCTTCGACAGTGGCTGTTCCAGTTGTGGGAGGTTGTCAAGGAGTATCGAGGTGAAGAAGGCCAACCGAATCATGACCAACCGGCCGAGACTGAGCTCGACAGTGAATACAACGCATGTGTAGAGCAATGGAGACTGTGGATTTTGGCTGAAAGTGTCCGGCGCACCTATGCGGTTGTCGAGTGCATCACCAACGTTTTTGAAGCGATGACCAGAGGCTGGGCCGCATGCGAAGGTGCACCTATGATCACAGCTCGCAGCGGCTTGTGGGAAGCCGAATCTGCATTAGAATGGTCTGAACTCTCTTGTTCTAAATCCCCGATTCTGATCACCTCTCTACGACCCATCCCGATAATGGCACAGTATGAAGCTGAAGAAATTGACGAGTTGGTAAAAGAGGTCTGGGCAGTCATAGTCGGCTCGGACAGGATACAATACTGGAGTAACAGAAAATCCAGGGCGAAGTGATATCCGACAACCAAAGTCAAAAGCCCTTAGGAGATGTTCAACATCAAATTAATACGATTTTCTCCCTCACTTCAGTCTTGACATAACGGAGGATTCGAATATTAGAAAGAAAATCATCTCAAAACCTCGTTTGCTAGAAAGACGCTTAGGCCATTAAGACGTCCTAGGAACAATCTTACCGTGGGCACAACTAGGTATTGCCTACCGTGATGCTGAAAACCCACGATGAAATTGAGCGGAAGATGTATGACAACATTGCGGGAGATGTCTTCAAGTTGTGGATACTTGCGGAAGTTGGTGGAGAACTCGCGGAGCTCTGTGGGGAACCTGCGCATGAGCTCCGGGACAGTGACCACCCATTATACATAAGCTCAGCAAAGGCCCCGGGGCTTTATGTGACATATAAAGAAGAGGGGAGTCAAAGCCTGATGAAATCAGAATTCGGTTCCCCTCAAGTTAATATTAACAATCTCTAATCCTAGCATCTCTCAAAAATGTCCTCCAAAACACCTCCCAAGTTTATTCTTGGGACCTTCAGTGTATGTATCGCCTTCCACTAATTAACATGCACTCTAACCAAGCAAGTACAGGTCGGTGACCCCCATACGTTCCCTGGAATAGGAATAGTACATTTCCACACCGAAGAAGACGTGAAAGGACTATTGGATGCATTCTATAAGCGTGGCTATAGAGATGTTGACACAGCTCGCAACTATGGTGAATCTGAAGCGTGTCTCGGCAAGGCCGACGTTACATCTCGGTTTACTGTTCACACAAAAGTCAGAAGTGGCCCACCTGGGGCACATGAACCTGCAAAGATCAAGGCAAGCATCGAGGAATCACTTGGCGCTCTTCAATCATCCAAGGTGGAGACCATGTTTCTCCATACGCCTGATCGCCAGACACCGTTTGAAGACACCTTGAAGGCGATGAACGATGCTTTCGGGCAAGGGAAATTCAAGAAACTCGGGATATCTAACTACTCAGTTGCAGAGGTGCAGAAGATCCTAGATATCTGCGAGCAGAATGATTATGTTAAACCTAGCGTATACCAAGGGCAGTACAACGCTATGGTGAGGGGAGGGGAGAAGGAACTATTTCCTCTCTTGCGCAAAAATAATATTTCTTTCTTCGGCTTCAGGTATTTGTTTTCAACAGCCATTATCAGTCCCTTACTAACCTTCGGTATTAGTCCTGCCCTAGGCGGACTTCTTTCAGGCCATGTTTCCATGTCCAGACGCTGGCAAGAAGATGTAAGTGTCGATCTGAACTCTACGAAGTTAACGCCAGTCTAACTTGAGAAGACTATTGTCGGGAAAATGTATGTTCCATTCTATAGTCATTCTTCTGTTCAAGCTTCTGCAGCATTCATTCGAGCTACGGCTCAAAAACACGATATCAGCGGCCACGCTGCTGCGCTGCGATGGACCGCGTTCCACAGCGTCTTGGACGGAGAGTGTGGTGATGGATTGATCTTTGGCGTGTCGAAAATCCAACATCTCCATGAGTCTCTTGATGCATTTGAGGCCGGACCGCTTCCGGCTGAACTTGCAGAAGCTATTTCTGCAATCTACGATACAGTCGCTGGTAACGAACCCCCATTCCACATTTAGGTTCCCTACCCAAGTCATATTGTTCAAGCAAGTTATATTTTATCAAAGGTTGCTGCTTCTCCAACCTCTAGATGTAAAATGCAATCTGTTAGAGTTCAATGGGCGACCTTTTCTGTGCCGTGTTGTTGTATTTGCGCCTCATCGTCTGTTTCAATAAAAGCAATAAACTTACACTATAGGGCTTTCCTCTCCCTATTCTTATTGGTAACTTCCCTGGTTCTTGCAGCGGATTAGATCTTAGCTCAGATACCGTACTGAATCAACCTCACATGCATTAACATAGGGAAACTAATTAATGTAGCTGTAGAGACAACCACCACTAAATGTAGAGCACTCAATAGCAGCTATGATTATAGGGTGTAGACTCTTAATGTTGGGTGACAGCAAATGAGAGAATTATACAGTTATGCGGCAGCTGCTAAAATAAAAAGGGGGCGGGTTCCCAGATAATAAGAATTTAACAACTTGACACCATACCCAGTATCAAAATACATTTCACTTTCAGCCTTTTTGCCCGGCTGCGAAGCTTGTGCCCGGCCACACATAAGGTTCAACACCTAGTGTTGGATGACATAATAACATTGTAGGAACCGGGAAATTGAGGCCCAATGCGTGTCTTCAACTATCTCGGCCATATAACAAGGGCAATTACAAACACTGATTTCTAGGGTGTTATAGTCAGGAGAGATTAGGCAGCTATCAAAGGTGGGTCTGTCTCTGTCAGGCGACGTTGCAGAATTATAATCGAAGCGGGGGTTTACCCAAGTGTCTTTGCGCACATCACCTTTGTAGGGTAGGCTTTTGGGGAGCAGTCTAGTGGATTGGCGAAGTTCATGGATGTCGAAAGTAAGATTTTGGTTAATATGTTGAATAAGATAGAACTATGTCAGTTGACTTATATGAACTATCTTAACGCCATAATGAATCAAGGATCTCCAACACTTCCTTTTCCTCTAGCTAAAACCTTGCCATGCCAAAACCCCAACATAGTTGCTCTAAGAGACTATACATATCTGTAGCCAAACACTCTTGCTTTCGTTGGATGTGTAATCGTCCGGCTAATTCAAAGTCCACCAAGTAAGCCTATGTTTTCAAATGACTGAGAAAATTGCAGTGGGTTGAAGAAGATAAATACTCATACCATTTAGTATACCAGGCTTCCAAGGATCACTCGAGGTTGTTCCATGTCAGTTTTTTAGAGCCTTCTATAGAGCCTTCTGGATGCTGTGGATCGGGATTTTTTGGCCCAAATGGCCCGGGAACAAATGGCCCGGGATTTTTTGGACCGGGATTCTTTGGATCGGGATTCTTTGGCCCATCTGGTGTGGGATTTCCTGGATTTCCTGGATTTTTTGGATTTCTCGGCCCATCTGGCCCGGGGTTGTTTGGGTCCGGCTCAGGAAGGGGAATATTACCATCACTCATAGTTGGAAGGCTTAAATTGTATTTTGTTATATAAATCGGGCACTTGTAAAGATTTGAGGAGTATCTTGGAGAGGTAGAAACAAACCTTTCTTTCATAAACAGGGATATATAAAGGACCCTTTATATATCCGACTGTATAGCCTCAGAGAATATAGGGCGAGGAGGTTTAATTGGCTGTCGCTAACTCTTCCTCGCAAGTCAACCTTGTGACTGGGTGTGAATACAGGGCGGGATAATTTCTATTGGTTCTCTCTAGGTCTTACTACGAAGGCAACTTTGTAGCTGAATGGGAATACAGGGCGAGTTCAGCTTATTGGCTCTGGTTGCTTTTTCCTTGAAGCGGGGTTGTTCTTTGTTCATGTGATTGACGAGCCATATGAATGTGTAACTTTGCATAACGCCCGTAAGCAGACATGTGACGTCTATAAGGTTGTTGGGCCACTATTAATTGATGATGATTGAAGCCTAACTTGGTTGCATGTATGATGTAATGCTGTGATTATTTCTTACCTCTCCCCTCTTTCTCGTCGTAATGTGCCCAAGTCTCATCCAATTCATTATCTAACCTACTCTTCAATTATGGATCCTTTCAGTGCTCTTGCTTCTGCTATTGCTATAGCAGGACTTGCAGAAAAGATTATCACAAAATCTGTTCTTGTGGTTAACAACTTTCGACACGCACCCTCCGAACTGGTTTCATTGACAACTCGTGTTCATATTCTCCAAGATCTGGTCAGACGTGTCCAGCTCCGACGTCAGAAACTATGTCTGGCAAAGGAAATAGAGGTTTCAGTGTATAATTGCTTCATCGAGGCAGAGCAAGTCTTGGCAGAGATTATCAATCAGTCTGAAGAATATACCAAGCCATCACAAGGAAAAGACAAGCGGCTCCGGTTAAAATGGGCTTTCAAAGGAAGCCATCAGATGTCAGTCTGGGATGTCCGCCTTCAAGGGATAGTGAGCTCCCTTTACGGTATCTTTTTATTGATGCTATTGTATGTATACGCCACAAGAGTACTAGGAGGTTAGTGCTACTAATCGATTTCCCCAGGGACGGACAAGATTCAATCTTGGCTAAGCAGGAAGAATTCACATCAAGCCAACATTCTTCCAATATCTACCATCTTATCCCGATTGTTGATCCCGATGCGAAAAACACAAACAAAACACGTCAGTCCGCTTGCATCAAAGCAGGCACACCTAGCCGACACATATGGACCAGGCGTAGTGCGAACTGGCTTTGGTTCTTGGGTTTCTTGTGGTTTATCCAACGTCGAGAAGGTGAAGAGTCAAAATTTCTCCGTATCGCAGCCACCCTTGTACCACCACGACTCTGGTTTGAGAGAAAAATTATGATTAATTTTGAGGTGGTTTTTGAGTCTCTACTGGATCGATGGAAGATATCTGCCAGACATTTCAACATCAACGCACTAAATGTTGTATCAAACGACTCAGACATTGTGTACGCTTGCCGAAATGGAGTATTGGAGTTAGCGAGGCAGCTCTTTATGAATAAGAGAGCGAGTATATACGATGTAACCTCGGATAATATGAGCCTACTATCCGTCAGTCGCCTGCATTCTCCTAATACAAGATACAGTTGATCGCTAACAACATTAAAGCTTGCTATTGAAGCCCGAAGCATATCTCTTGTGCGATTTTTATTAGATCAAGGGGCTAGTGTTGATCAAACATTCGGAAACCACAACACGTGAGTTCGCCATCGGAAACACTGCCTACTGCCCAGTAGGCAATGTGCTAACGATTGCTCCAGTAGTGTTCTTCAATGGGCTCTTTTTCGAGGTGAATATGAAATTACAAGATTAATTCTTGAGCATGGCCCGGATGGTACCCATTTAAGCACATGGAATAACTGGAATTGTCTCATGTATCTTCTACAAGGCGCTCGAGAATTCGACAAGGGCAGCGCATACAGCTTAGCAGATTTCCTGATGCTGCTTAACCGCGACAACGTATTGATTGATACCAGTTCAACAGACGACACTGAAATGCAAGCTCTGGAACTTGCATCTTGTTGGTATTCCGGGGACATCATCAGTCGAATCCTTGCCCTCGGTGCACCAATCACACTCCTATCTAACCCGTGGGGATATCCCAGAAATCCCATTTTGTACTCCATTTATAAATCTGACTTTGTATCATTCCAAGCACTGCTCCCATATTACAAGGATCTCGATGCTAAGGATGCAGATGGGTACACGATGTTAAGCTACACCGCAAGATCGGGAAACACTGAAATGACGGATCTCTTACTTAAGATGGGTGCAGAAGAAATCATTCCCAACTATAAGGCTATCTCTGAAGTTGGAGGTGATGAAATGGATGAGGAGGACTCAGATTCTGAGGGCAGGGAAGAATTGGAGACCGCGTGGGATGCTACGCGATTAATAATTGATGAGTGGGTTGGGCCATGGACTGCTGAAAATTATGGAAAATATATGAACTCATTGGAGAGATACGGTAGAGTGGTTATTACTCGATCTAGAGATGGAAGCGAATCCGATGAAATCTTCTGGGATATTATTACTAATTAATAATAAACTAAAAAAAGACTTCCCTCGGAAGAAATTTTATTTCTAGGCTTCTCAAGAGATAAAAGCAAATGGAGGACCATACATGTCTTTGGTAAATGTGTAGTTACTACCTAGGGAGGTAAGGTAAGGTGATCATAATACGGCTCCAGTAGACTGCACATCAAAGAGCGCATGGAAGTTTCAATGTTAATGCTTCATTTTCCTCACAAACAGTTTAAATTGAAATTGAATTCATGGACATAGAAAACAATTTGGAATTAGTTCAATATTTAGGCCTCCCAGTGCAAAAAAGCAAAATGAAAGATCTCGGAAGCCAGCAAGTGAGGCCGTAGGGTAGGCAGATTTTCCGCGTATCAGATAAGATAACAACAACCCTTCCAGACGCTTCTTCAACAACATCAAGCAAAGCTATGACTTCAATCTCACCCACGAAATCATACGTGCTTAGTTCTGAGATCTCCTCAGATCCTCTAGTATAAGTCTTCCTCTCCACACCTCCCCTCTCTCCAAATGGCGGCGTCCAACCCAGAGCCAAAGAGCATCCTCAAAAAGCCAGGCGGCTCGCGCCCCACCACCGAGCAGGACCGGCGCGCCATAGCAATCCAACACGCCCAGATCATCGAGCACCGGAAAGAGCTCGAGGCCCAGATCCTCGACGACGTGATCCTCCTATCCGAGTACCCTAAAGCCCCCAACGCGACCTCGTCCGACAACCCCGCCCCCTCCGACGTTGTCGACTTCAAGACCCACGTGAGGCTGTTCCAGCCGTCCGACTACGACGACCTGATCGAGGAGCGCAACGTCAACGGGCTATGCGGGTACGTGCTGTGCCCCAAGGCGCGCAGGAAGACAGGCCCGGGGGGCGAGTGGACGCTCGCGGCGAGCGGGCAGATTGTCAAGCGCAGGGACTTGGAGAAGTGGTGCTCGCAGAAGTGCGCGCGGAGGGCTCTCTACGTCAAGGTGCAGCTCAACGAGACCGCTGCATGGGAGCGGGCTGGGATTCCCGATATCGAGATTGAGATTATGGATCTGCCGACGGTTGAGCCAGAGACGGAGGAGGAACGCACCGCCAAGAGGTTGGGAGAGCTGACGCTCGAGGACCAGAGGCAGGCGGCGAGGGACTCGGCAGCGCTGGCGCTGGAGCGTGGAGAGTTGCCGACGACGGCGACACCGACTGGAGTGGCGAGGAAGACACCAGTGAAGGTGACGTTGAAGGAGAATACTGAGATCAAAGAGCCACCGAGTACAGGTGTGTTTGAGGATGATGATCATCTCATGGTGGAGGGCTACAAGAGTACGAGGGGTGTGGAATGAGAGGGTTTACGAATGAGTTATGATACCACATGATACCAGGGAAATTTTTGTCACAGAAAGAGCAGAGATCAAGAAGGATCAACAGCCCATGTCCAGAAGCAATCGTGTATGTAGTGCTTGAAGATCGCAAAACATTAGGCAAATGGTGTCGGGAATCCTTGCTTGGAAACTGTGCTGCTTGGTCTCTGGGCGGCAAGGGTTCGGCCTAGGGCCAACGAAACGACGTGCCCCAGGCAGCAAACGGACAGCATCACGACAGCAATTTCACGGGAAGCGAAGAAGGGAGGAGTATTGGCAATCAAGCGTCATCTTTAGAAGAGGATCTAAAGAGTCGGCGACACCTTGTGGGGTTGAGAAGATCTTTCTTTGAGATCTATGCACTTACTACCGTCCTCTGACGCCAAGTAGCAAAAACCCTAAACATCGACAGTGCCCAAGACAACCTAATTTCCCCCAAAAACCATTTGCTTTTCTTCGTTCGATCGTGACATTTAGCGGCGGTCGAAGCGGCGGCCACCACGCTCGGGAGCCTGTTGCTGGGTAACGGCCTGGGCGTTGATGGGGATGGAGTCGAACTGCGATTGACTATGTTAGCGGTAGACATTGAGACGGGGAACGGGTGGGAACATACGCCGAGGTGCTTGATGAGGTCGCGGGTCTCGAAGTCGACCTCGAGCTGGCCGCTCTCGGTGTTCTTGGCGAAGTCGAGAGCAGAGACCTCGGGAACGTACTGATCCTTGCGCTCACGCTCCTCCTCCTGGAGCTTGAAGGAGATACCACGGACGGGACCGCGGGCGATACGCTTCATCAAGTGGGTGGCGTAACCGGCAATCTAGAGCGCACACGGGTTAGTCGAGCGTCTCTTGGGGTAACTATCATCGCAAAGACTGCGCAAGCTGCCGCGGTTCCAAATTCTCACCTTGTTGCGGAGACGCTTGGAAGCGATGATGGCAATCTCGTCGCAGAGACGCTTGTTGGTCTCGAAGTCATTGGTCAATCGAGGGTAGTACTTCTCGATGATGCTGAATTTTGATGTCAGCTGCTGCACTGTCAGATCTCGAGGTGAGTACTTACACCTTGGCGGACTTCTTGACGGTCTTGGTGCGAACGCGACCCATTTTGGCGGTTGTCTGTGGGTGATTGAGGGGGTGAGGTGGTGGTTAGTCGTTGTTGGGCGGATGGAGGAAGTGAGGTTGCCAATTGCTATCACCGACCAGAGTTTGGGAGGTGTGAAGTGGGGCCACGCACCAACATGCGAAATTAGGGTTTTCAAGATGGCTCACGTGCTAGGTCACATGACTGACTGCCCGCAGCGAATACCTAAGGTAGCTTCCAGCACCCCACTCTGAAGCTTTGTTACGTCAGCAGACCAAGACTGCTAGAGCGACAATAGCTGGGCAGTTTGCTCAAATCATTGAAGCACGGATGCGTATGCAGTGTTTCGTAATAGTGTACATTTTATATCGGCTTTTAACTACTATGGTGTGATATCTTTACATTGTACAATTGGGCTTTCCAACTAAGTAGGCACCTCACTTCGATTCAGAGGGTGGCTCAGAGGGCGGCTCAGTGTCCAGCCCATAACTGCTCGAGTTGCTCACCATGTTCTGCTCCTCGGACAACAACTGATCGTACACTTGCTTCACCCTCGAGTCTTGAGGCGGAGCCTCGTCATCGTAACCCTCCCGCTCACGGTCGTGAAGGGCTTCCTGGGCATGCTCATCTACATGCTGTGGCTCGGGAATTGTTCTCTTGAGCTCCGAATCATTATAGATGGAGCTGAGTCCACGCATCTCCTTGGCAATCAGCTGAGCCTCGGGGCTGGTCTCGCGGACCTGGACAACTACCTTGCCCTCAGGGTCCACTGTGGCAGTGAAGGGCTCGATGTAGGCCTTGGCACCTCCATACGTGGAAATGTCCAGGTTGTTGATGCCATTGGCCACCGGCCTTCTGTGTCTAGAGCCGGCTGTTCTCATGTTGAACTCATTTGAGCCAACAGGTACAGTAGACACGAAACCACCAACACCCAACTTGGCGGGAGAAGGTCCAATCTTAGGTGAAACAATTCTAGCGTTGACCGGCGTCTTATTAGCCTGGGGGCCGTAGACAGGGTGGTTCTCCATGAAGGCACCAGTTCGTAGGTAGCCGATGCCAGCAGAAGGATGGCTGGGAGGAGGACCAGACTTTCCGTATGGACTTTCCGTAATCTTATCAGTCGCAAGGTTGCTATCCGAGAAGATCAAGTTATTCTGGGCAAATCCGACAGGCGTGCCGAGGGGAGGGAGATCAAGGAATTTGGACACGAGGGCGTAGAGGGTGACACGATCGCTGCGCAATGAGCGGATGTAGTCGGCAAACTGCTCCTCCGTGATATCCTCGCTCTTGATAGGCTCCGGCGTTGGCTTGCCAGCCTCGACGGCGGCTCGATTTTGGCTGCTGGTCAGTCTCTCTGCCAGCCTCTGCCTCAGCAGAGCCCTGAACTGAGCGCGCTGTGGTCGGACCTTCTTGTTCAGGTAGTTTAGGAAGTCTCCATCGGCCATCTGGGCCAACCAGGGGCCCTTAAACTTCCAACGGTGGTCGACGCTGGTGTCCTGGATATCTGTGAAATCTGAATCCTCCTCGAAGACAGATTTGATGTTGTCCTCCTTCCTCGTCGTAGCCGAGGAAGGCTCGCCACTACGTCTCGGGATAGACATGGGAATACGGAGCTCCTGGAACTTCTCGAGCGAGAGGGAGTGATCGGCGGCGGAGTGGAAATCGGTAATATTCTCAACGGTGTCGAGCTCGTTGATGCGGAGGAGGGGCGTCGTAGTCGCCATTGTGGTCTTGAGCGGTAGCGGCCGCTTCAAACCCCAATCGCCCTTCTGGCGGGACCGGAGGGGAGATGTGATGGTCTGGTGCCGGGGCTGCGCCTTGGTCATCGTGGCAGAAGCCTTCTGTTCGCCGAGGAAGGTGGAAGCAGATGAAGGAACCGGAAGAGGTTTGGGAATGGAGAACATCCGAGACGACCGGAGCAGAGCGCCACCGGGCGAGACGGCTGGTCCTCCCATGCTGATTGTGAAGAGCTGCGACGGAGCTCACGCAATGGCCGAATTGGCATACAATTACCGTCTTCCAAGATCGAGGTCAAGCAGCGCGATTGGAAAATTGAAGCTGGTCGGCGGCGGCATATTCTGCCGGTGATAAGCCGGAGGGCAGCGAGCTGCTGAATATCAACCTACCCTGTACCCGCTTCCTCGCAGGCTGCATCTGCTTTTTTTTCGCCCACTGCGACTGACAAACCATCACAATTTGGAGCCTGATGATTCACTTGGGGTTCACATACAGAATCAGTCAAGGGTGCAGGAGCTGAAGGCTGTGTACGACGTCAAATTTGAAGATCCTTGTATCTTATTCACCAGGGGATGATGCAAGCTGTGAAGAAAATGGCATCCAACGTTTACACATCCCCTGCTCTTACATTTGAGTTGCTCGCACGTTGTTCAGTATGTTGAATCTCCACCGCAGACTGATGTACTGCCTCGGAATGATGATCCCCACCATCAACCATATCTTTTGATGCTACTATATGGCGATATGTCACTAATTCTTTCTCTATCGTAACAGACAACTCGGGCTAGAGCATCAAATCTCATTTTACCCCATGGCCCTGTTCAGCTACCCATGTTCATGCCTGTGGCTACACAAGCTTCACTCAAAGGACTGACTCCAGAACAGTTGGAGGACACAAACTGCCAACTCTGCCTGAACAACACATACCACCTTGGCCTGAAGCCTGGGCAGGAAGTACTAGATACGATTGGCGGAGCACATAAACTCCAGGGATGGAACCGAAATATCCTAACGGATAGTGGCGGGTGAGTGCTCACATTCACTTTGAAACTGATGTCCTACACCCAAACATGGGGAAAGCACAGTCACTCAAAGAAAGAAAACACCATGAACTCATTTACTGACCCATCTCCAGCTTCCAGATGGTCAGCCTCCTCAAACTCGCCACAATCACCGAGGAGGGCGTCCGCTTCCTCAGCCCCCACGACGGCTCGCCCATGCTCCTCACCCCGGAACACTCCATGTCGCTCCAGAACAGCATCGGCAGCGACATCATGATGCAGCTCGACGACGTCCTCGTCACCACCTCCCCGGACCACGCGCGCATGCGCCTCGCCATGGAGCGCTCCGTCCGCTGGCTCGACCGCTGCATCGCCGCGCACAAGAACCCGCACCGCCAGAACCTCTTCTGCATCATCCAGGGCGGGCTCGACCTCGACATGCGCCGCGAGTGCTGCCGCGAGATGGTCGCGCGTGACACCCCCGGCATCGCCATCGGCGGATTGAGCGGCGGTGAGGCCAAGGAGGAGTTCTGCAAGGTCGTCGAGGCGTGTACGGCGCTCCTGCCGGAGCTGAAGCCGCGGTACGTCATGGGCATCGGATTCCCCGAGGACCTGGTCGTGAGCGTCGCCCTGGGCGCGGACATGTTCGACTGCGTGTGGCCGACGAGGACGGCGCGCTTCGGCGCGGCCATTACGAGGCACGGGGTGTATAACATGCGCAACGCAAAGTACGCGAGGGATTTCGGGATGATCGAGGAGGGCTGCGGGTGCAAGTGCTGCCGGCCGAAGAGCGAGGGCGGGCTGGGCGTGACGCGAGCGTTCATCCACCACAACGCATCCAAGGAGACTGTGTCGGCGCACCTGCTGACGATACACAACGTGTGGTATCAGCTCAACCTGATGCGCGAGGTGCGCGAGTCGATTCTCGCGGACCGGTTCCCGGAGTATATCAAGGAGTTCTTTGGCAATCTGTACGCCGAGCCAAAGGACTATCCGTCGTGGGCAGTCGAGGCGTTGCAACGGGTGAATGTAGACCTCACAGCATAGACAGAAGCAAAAGAAATTAAAGAACTAGAGTCATTTGAGAAGCGAAAACGTGTAATAGATTCATTATTTTATGGGGTATTGATACGCTTATATTACCGAGGACATGAAGGCGTGCCATTGCTATTACCATCATGGAACGGGACGCCGACATATCCAACCGTGGTGGAGCTCTTTGATTTACTCTAGATATTATTCCATCGCTATTACATTACTCGTGGCGGGACTCACATTCCTTGAACCTTTTTACAGAACGAGGAAGAGAGCGGAGAGAGCGACGATGCCAGCGAAAGCACCGGCGCGGGTCTGAGTGGCATCACCGCCCTGGGTTGTGGTGGTGGCAGCAGCACCAGTCTGGGTAGTGGTGGTCTGGGCCGCACCCGTGACAGAGCCGCCAGAGCTGGCACCGGAAGTGCTGCGGCTAGAGCTGCTGCTGCCTGTGGAAGTAGCAACGCTGTCGCAAGCATCGGAGAACTGGTGGCAGAAGCTGGCGAATCGGCTGGCAACTGGGGGAGTGTTAGAAGAAGGGACGATAAGCTCAAAATTGGACCATTTTTGGGCACAAAACATACCACTATAGACGGAAGTCTCAACGCTGGAGGCCCACTGAGCGCAAGTGGCAGCGTAGTTGTCGAGATCGTCGTGCCAGGTGACAGTGTTGCGGGCAGATGAGCAGCTGTTTACATGTTAGTGAAGCTTCTCACAGGGTTAAATACAACTTTTGACTGACCAGTAGCAAGGAGCCTGGGACTGGAAAGGCAGGTCGGAGAAGCCCTTGGTCGAAGAGACACACTGGGAGTACATGTCCAGCATATCGTAGCAAGCCTGGGAGTTGCCGGAGGCATTGGGGCTGCTGCTGGCACTGGTCCTGGTGGAGGGAGCAGAGGTGATAGTTCGCGAGCTGCCGCTGGCACTGGCGCTGCCACTTGACCTGGAGCTGGAGCTGGAACCGGACCTTGTAGCAGTAGCAGTAGAACCACCGCAGGTTGCGCCGAGCTGGCAGACGGAGTAAAGACTTCCATAGACTAGTCATGGGGTTGTTAGATCTATAGCTCGGGACAATGTCTTGAGAATGCTACGGAAAACATACCAGCGGCAGCAGAGCTGGAGCTGGGCCTAAGCTCGGAGGAGCAGCCAGAGTAGGCAGGGGCCAGGTTAGAACCGGCAGTGCAGCATGCGCATCCGATGATGGCATTGGGGTCGGCAGTTAGCATGCCATTGGAACCACCGAACTTGGAGTAGCAGCTGGTGATGACGGGAGCGACAGTGCCGCAAGAGTCGTCGTTCACGGCGGCGAAGTTGGCCAGAGGAGGGAGGGTGAACTGGGCAGCAGCGCCAGCGGCGAAGAGGGTGAAAGCAGCGGAACGCATGATGATGGCTGGTGAGTCGGGTTGGATTGGCACAACGAAGAGTTTCCTTGGTTCACACGAGCGAGAAAGAATTGAGCAGCAGTCACACGCAGAGAGCTTCACGGAGCACAGAAAAGAGAGGGAAGGGGAGGACGGGACGGGCAGAGATTAAGAACAAAGAGCGCCTGAGCAACGCGCTGTGGGGGGCAACATAGGCGAGGTGCATTGGCCTGCATGTAAATGGAATGGCCCATCGTTGGCGTCGGGCATTTTCTGTGTCTGGACCATCTAGGACAAGCGGCGAGGAGGCCAAGAGCACCAGGCAGAATCCTGGAGCCGTTGAATCCGGAAGTGCGTGTGTGTGCGCCCAATCAACCCAAGCTTGGTGCGGCTGAACATTGCCAACGCCAATATGGATCAGCAAACCCACCGCCAAGGGCTGCTGGGCCTGTAGCAGAGAGGTAAGTGCTGCCACGGAAACAGGCAGAGTATCGACGTGCCGTCCGAGAGGCAAGGCGTATTTCCAACCCCAGACCCACGCATCTGCCCACTAAGACCTAGGTCAACTGCTAGTTGTATAGAGGTTGCGAGATGGGAGAGTCCCGGTGCCTAGAGTGTAACGCCGTGAAGGTTAATACCCGTCCGTGGGAGTAAAAATGGGGAATCTGTGCCCGTGCCTGGGTCTATGCCGGTGTCGGGACAGGGCAAGTCTCGTCGTCCTCAGGCCTCAGCAGCCCGCGTTGCCCAGGCCTTGAACCTGGCGGTCTGCTGGAGGCCAAGGCAGGTACAAGGGCATGGAAACGAGATACGGCAGAGGAGGAAAGCCTCCTGCTGGTGGCTGCAGCGACTGTCATGCAAGCGTTGGCATGGCCATGAAGGCATCAGGGCGGGGCCCCACTACAACACTGCAGCGAGTCAGCGATCTCTGCCCCTGTCCCTGCATCTTGTGGCCCTATGAGAGATGGAGATTGGGCAATAATATTGAGGGCTGAGTGGCTTGCAGCTTGCCGAGACAGTTGACATGAACAAAACAGTTGAATTAGTCTAACCCTTCTGGTCATAGGCGCCACCATTATCTTCCAACGCCTCAGCCACGTGCAGCCACACAACCACATCCCGCATCAACATTCTTCCGACGACGACCAATTTTGCGATGTCGACTTTGGCGAGCTAGCCTCGATTCAAGATGTGGAAGCATTCGAGGTGGTTGTTCGTGTGAGCCTCCCAACGGATCATGTGAGCCCGAGAATCCCATGCCTCATACTCAATTGCACTGAACAGATCACTAATTATGCATCGAACAGGGCTTCAACGTCAAGATACGGCAGCATGCTGCTCTCCAGGGCAGCAGCTCGCCCGCCCTTCACCTCACCACTGGCCATCCGGTCATTCACCACATCCCGCTTCGCCCTGGACGACTCTGCACCAGTCCGCCGAAGCCCTCTGATAGGCAACTACACCGCCCCCAAGCGCTCGACGCTCAAGCCCGACCAGACACCACCCGTCTCAACAGAGCACCCCCAAGCCAGCCAACCTCCCAACCCGAGCCGTGCTCCCACCTCCAGCGCAGAGGTGCCCCCCAATGCCGACCTCCCACCTCCTCCTCCTCCAGCTGGGGGCGCCTCTCCCGCCGCTCAAGACGCCTCTACCAGCTCGTCCTCCCACGCCTACGACGTCAACGCCCCGCTGGACCTCAAGCTCCTCCTCAACAACGCCTACAACACCTACGCCCTCCAGACGGGCGTGGCGAACCGCAGCGGCACCCCGACAGAGAACGTGTACGCCAAGCCCGTCACGGGCAAGACCGTCTTCCTCGAGGGCCGGTACGGCGGTGCGCAAAAGGCGGGCAACCCTGCCGGGGCGTTCCGCGTGCTCGACCGGCTGGTCAAGGAGCAGAAGGTCAAGCGGCTCTTTAACCAGCAGCGGTTCCACGAGCGCAAGGGCATGAAGCGGAAGAGGCTCAGAATGGAGAGGTGGCGGTTTAGGTTCAAGGATGGGTTCAAGGCGGCTGCCAGCCGGGTTCTGGAGCTCAAGAAGCAAGGGTGGTAGGCCGCTTTTCGATGGAGAGGAAACTAGAGGAAGGGAAAAAGAAAAAGCATTCGCGCAATTGGTATTGTATGTATATTAAGCCGTTGTGGGTTTTGTACAGGACAACATGAGGAGTAATACTAGGGTTTATCTAGTTTGTACAATATATACATCAAGATCATGATTCAGATGACATACTGACAGTTCTCTTTACCTTATAAAGTCTTCGTGCATTCTATTCAAGGAAACCGCAATTCATAATTCGTAATCTTAGGGATCGAATCTATCCATACTAATCATCCCACTCTTCCAACTCCTTCGTGGGGCTTGGCAGCGGGCTAGCCTGGATCTTAGGCCTGGAGCGGAAAACCGCCTCCATGTCTTCCTCGGCCATCAGCTCCTCAGCCAGCACATCACCTTCCTCGTCCAGTCTGGGGAAGTTACTTTCTCTGGGCGGGGGAGGGGCCCTCGATTTGCGTTGCGATCGGCGTCGCTCTAGCTGGGCTTTCTGCCGTGCCTTCTCAAAGCCGGCCATGCTCTTGCGTGTGCGGCTGATGAGATCATCCTCCACTTCCGCATTGGGATCTATCTCGGTGGTCGTGTCGTTCAGAGGTATGTTGAGAGTCACAGTGGGCTCATCGTCTTCCTGGTCCTCCTCGTCCTCTAAAAACAGTGACGTGCCACGGGGTGCCATCGATAGGCGAGTTCGTTCCGCGAGGGAAAGTGTGTGGCGCGCTTTTGGTCGTCGCTTGGTGGGCGAAGGCGACACGTGGTTCATAGACTCGAGAATTTGGTCGGCGAGCTCCTGCGTAGGAGATTCGGTAATGGGGCCGTCATTAGTGTTTGTGATGCGAACCCCGTTTGGCGAATGACGCGAAGTCGACCTCTCCCGTGGAGTAGAAGGATTGGAGGAGTGGTGCGAGTAACCGTCCTCCGATTTATCGGGAGATGCCACGCTGTTTGCCTCGGAGTTGGAGGCAGCGTTAGGGTATTTGAAAGACCCGAGATCGGGTCGAGCGAGATTTGGTCTGACGAGTCTTCGCGGGGCATCAGGTTTGCTCTTAAATGGCGGAGAAGGTTCCGCTTCTTCCACTGGGGACATCTCCAAGCTGTCGTCTCCCAAAGAGCTGATTTCGGAAAATTGGTCGGAAGCACCAGATATCCTCTTTACATGCTTCCTCCTCTGCTGAAGGAACAAAAGAGCCGTTGGCTGGGTCTGGTCCACATTTGCCAACTCCTTCTTGAGTCCGTTCAGCATATCGTGATATTCACCCGTCATCCGACCCCCTAATCCAGATTGCCGCTTCCCAGGGCTCATTCCCCCAAGCACGAGATTCTCATGTTGGCGGAATCCGAAGTCGACTCCCTTCTTTGATTTCACCGGCGCCGGGCGTTTTGACGGCGACTCGTTGGCCTGACCCTGAGGAAACATCGCGTTCCTATATCTCTGCCACCTCTCGAGCCTCTCTTTGTGTGCATTCACTCGACCCTCGAGCTGTTCCAGAAGCCCGCTATCTTGACTCTCCACCTCTGCCAGTCTGCTTTGCTGAACTCGCCTCCACATCCTCTCAAACGGCATGCCAAACGGACCGTCATTCTTGACGGATGCATCGCCGTAGAGCAGGGTCTCCATCCATCGCTCATTGCCAGACCAGTTGTTACGCAGAGTCCTCCACATCTCAAGCCTCGCTTCATCCGAGACGGTCTTGGACGATCCCTTCTCCGCCCTCAGGCGAGCTTCCTCCTTCTTCCGGACCATGGTCCTCTCCTTGACCCCCAGCAGATCGGCAAAGTCTCGAAACTTGGCTGCATTGACCTCCTTGTTTCGCTTGAGCCGATGCAGAGACGCCTTGTGTGCGAGGACGAGGAGGCTCAGCTCCGTCTTGTCACCCGTGTAGCCCCTGTTCTCTAGGGCGATGGACAGGGCGAGCGGCGGGTGCTCGCCGCTGGCGGCAGACTCTTGCGACACGACCTTCTTGAGCACGGCGGAGGAGAAGGCGGCCAGGAGATCCTCCAGCCGCTCGCCCTTGCAGTCGTCCAGCATCGTCTTCCGGAGAATGGCGTCCCGGCCCAGGGCCCCATTCTTCTTGGCCTGCTCGAGACATCGGAGGAGGGCGGCGCGGAGATTGAGACTTTGGACATGGTCGAGCGGGGGAAAGAAGGGTTTCAGTTTCTAGGGGGGGGGTTTGATGTCAGTATTTGCCTCGTAAATAAATGTGAAAGAAAAAAGAACGGGTTCTTGGTGGTGATAAACATACATTTGCCGTCTCTTCGGGATCCCACAGGGCAAAGAGGTGGAAGAGTGCCCACTCGACGCATTGGATCCGTTTCTTCTGCCCTTGGGCGCCGGCAGCACCCGCAGCAGCAAAAGTATCGATGGAAATGCCCGGCCAGCCAACCACCAGGTCCAGATCCAGCAATTTGAGGTTGGTCAGAAACAGGGCGGCGGAGGACACAGGCGTGACGGTGGCCGTTGGTGTGGTGCCGAGGACATGGCTGACGGCGGTGTTGAATTCCTTGGGCACCTGGAGGGGTCTGTTGCCGTGGGCAGCGCCTAGACGAGCGGCGCGGGTACGGGTTTGCTGAGCTGTAGCCATTGTGCCACCATCGTCTTCATCTTCTGGCTGGTGAAGCGGAAAGGGGTGTTGTTGAGGCAGGGGTCGGACTCGGTGAGCTTGGAGATGTCCAAAATGGCGGCTGGAGCTCGGGAGCGATCGTCGCCAATGAGGAAACGAAGCACATGCATGATGCAGGAAGAGACTCGAGCGAACTAAACAAAACAAGCCTCACCGTAAGTGTGGCCCACTCGAGGGTGCCTACCCTATAGCTAGATGGCGGAGATGGTCATTCTCGATGCGCAGATCCAGTATCCTCCATGACGACAAGTCGGGGAGGATTTATGGCTGCCTATAGGTATATTTGTTAGGCTGACGACAAAATTGCATGTTGGGTTGCATTGGAAGCTGCCATGTGGTTACTTCAGATACGAGGAGATGCGCATGGGATCATGTACATGGTAGCTCACCTGAGATCAAGGAGCCATCTCGCTTAACTTCATTACTTGTTGCATCATGTGAAAGACAATTTGTGCAAGGAAACAAGGACAATATTGTCTGTTTGTCCAGAGCCATTAGGCAGATAATTGAAGCAGAATTGAATCGCGATACTGAGACCTGTATGCTCTTGATGCTGATGCTGGCCGCGGCGGTTTTAGGAGTTGGCGGGGGAATAAATTCCGGCGCTCCCGAAGCCTGATCTGGTCTAATCCACCGGCTGAGTCGGCTTTCGATGGCACGATATAGCAGCATTGTGGTTGCCCCCAACACTGTAGCCCCTCTGGCGAAAAAAATTGGAGGGACAATAAATCCGCCTGAACTCCGTTTCGTCGCAGTCTCATCTCTCCGCGTCATCTCCAGGACGAGGACGCCCATCGCTGCATTCCACCGCCCGTGCTAGACTCTGATACACCTAACGAGGTCAATCCATCTGAGATATTGTTTTGTGGCGCCGAAAGGACTTCAATTGCCGCTCGGGCTAAACACCGCAAACTGCCAGCGGAATTCGTGCTACCCTGTTCCGAACGGCCTCTTGTCCTACCACCACGCCACTGCACACACCACTGCACCGCTGACCTCGTCGGGATTCGTTGATGCGCATCCCTCCCATCTCGGCGCCGCCACGACGATCCAGGGCACGCTCGCTAGCCTCGCATCAGCACGCAGCTGCACAAGCTTGAAACGGGCCACGGCGCCGAGGAAGCTCTTCTCCGAGGGACCACCCCCGAAGGGAGACAGACCATGGTCCCGCCGCCAATCTTTGCGCCGGCACCTTCGCCCTCGCCGACTAGGACTGGCGGCACGGGCGGTCCTGCTGGCTATGGCCGCTCGTGTACGAATTGCTCGCGGGCCAAGGCCAAGTGCATTGTCAAGTACCCCGATGCCTCGTGTGTGCGCTGCGACCGCCTGGGTAAGGAGTGCCTGCCCATTGTCGCTCTGAGGAAGCGCGCGCCCAAGAAGTCGCCTTCCTCGCGCACGGCCAAGTTAGAGGAGAAGCTCGACGATCTGGTCTCGATTCTGCGAGGAACGCAGCAGCCGCAACCGCCGCCGTCGAACGCCGTTGCACAAGACCCGTACCCACAGCAGCCGTTGGAGCAGTCGCACAATATGCCTAGCCGGCTCGACTCTCTGGCGACAGCTGCCACAGCATCAGCCTCGACGCCGACCAATATGTTGCACGCTGCCCAGTTCCCATCCAGCGCGCCCATGTTCGATGCCGCCGCTGACGACGCGCCTGAGCCCACGCCGGCCGAGGCCGAGGTCTACCTAGACAAGTTCCGCGGCTGGCTTGAGAGGTTCCCTTTCATGTATCTGCCCCCTGAGGTCACCGCTGCCTCACTCCGCCGAGAACGGCCGTTTCTCTGGCTCTGTATCATGAATGTCACCTCAATGTCTGTACCGCAGATGCAGAGAATAAAAGTCACTGTCCGGCGAGAGGTGGCCCAGAGAGTCGTCATGGACCACGAGCCAAGCATGGATATCCTGCTGGGGCTGCTTGCTTACCTGGGCTGGGCTTCCATGATCAGCGGTCCCGATTCGAAGCCCTTCCTGGTGTTGTATACGCAGTTGGCCACGAGTGTTCTGCACGAGCTCTCACTGGCGAGGTCGCCTATTGAAGAGCAGTATTTTCACAATTGTTTCAAAATTTGGGGAGGACGGCCGCCCGCGCCCAAGATCAGGACACTGGAAGAACGCAGGGCTCTTCTGGCCACTTGGTATTGTACATCTGTGTACGCGCTTATCCGTTTTTCTATGCACATCTCCGTTCCTCATACTAACTCTGGCTAGGCACGCTTCATTTATAGGAAAAATGGACACACTTCGGTGGACCTCACACATAGATGAGTCCATTGAGATACTTGAACGGGAAAAAGAAAGCCCTTTCGATGTCATCCTTACGAACCTCGTCAAGGTCCAGCAGATCACTGATGATGCACACCACCTCCTTGTACGGGATCTGCTTGGTGGAGGGCCTAACGTGGCCCCCAGCTGTCTTTTTAGAACGTCGATGCTCTCGCGATTGAACACGCTCAAGGACAGTATGCCGTCAAATGTCGCGGCACACTGTAAGTTCTAAGAATCCAAACCTAATCGAGATCAGAGCTGACTGAGAGTTGATGCTAGATGTAATCCGCCTCCACATTCACTTTTGCGAGGTCCAGATCCATTCCACAGGGCTGTACTCGCAGTCCCTCACAGACACGCCCTATGGGGTTGATGCGCAGCGCATCGATTCCATGTACGGATGCGTGAGGTCAATCCGCGGCTGGCACGACTTGTTCTTCTCTCTCCCCATCAACGAGCTCCCAGGTCTGCCATTCAGCTGCTTCATCCACCTCTTCCAGTGCCAAGTCTCTCTCTACAGACTGGCCACCACCGAAGACCCGGCCTGGGACAAGGACATGATGCGCCACACGGTCGACCTGCTCGAGTTTCTCGACCAGGCGCACGATCGATTCCAGCAATTGAACCAGGTCTACGTGCTCAAGACCGGGCCGGGCGACGAGACTCTCTGGCAGAAGGGATGCAAGATAATGAGGAACATCAAGGCAATGTGGGAGCCCGCTCTGGCCAGTGCGGCGCTGGGCGGCCTGCCGACTCCCAGTAGTCAAGGGTTCAGCGGCCTGGGATCTGGATCGGTAGCTGGCATGCCTGTGCCGGGCCCGGTTCACAACAGCGGCGCGGCGGCGGCGATGGGCGGCGACAAGAACCCGCTCCTCCCGGAGAACGGACCGATGGATTTCAATGACATGGCCTGGATGACGGATGTTTTTGGCCCGTGGGATTTTCTTAAGAGTAATGAGTCCGGCGGTAAGACGTCGTGATGAAAGGATAGATCTGGGCGACGCGGCGTTTTGATTTCCTTTGTGTTATGATGATTCTTGCGCCTGGGCCATGGCCTTGAACAGGAAGGATGGCGGATTATAGATGCGAGAAGTAAAAGTTCTCCCCAATCACAGTATTATACCAAATAGAATATACCCCTGCATTATAGGATGGCTAGCTATGGTCGTGAAGATGATGAACTTGCGGCACTAGATCGTCTCTGATGTCGTCATACAAGAGGTCTGTATTATATACTGAGGTGAACCAAACAAAGAGACGACCAAGACTCTGTTCATATTGCTTTATTTCCGCCCCATTCCTTGTCTCCTGAACACTTGATTGATTCGCAGATGAATGTTGCCTAGCCATTTGACAGGGGTCGACTCTGCCGTGCCGGCACAGAAACCAAGTGGGACTAAAAGTCGCACCTGGCAAAGCTTTCCAACGACAACGCACAGCCGAGCGAACCTTTAATCCGACGACATCCAATCTTCGAACCTCCCCTCGAAATCCTGTCCTCGACTGGAATAATGCTCAAACGCCCGAGAAACCGCCAGCCCCGAGGCCAGGCCCAGGGGCAGCAGCAGCAGCAGCGCCCCAACAACGGCCGGCAAAACGGACCCTCGCGATCCAACCACCACCCCAAGTCGTCCGTCCCAACCGTCCAGCAGGTCGTCCCCGGCGCCAGCGTGTCGATCGTCCTCAAAGCAGACCAGCCCACGGGCAGGGAGACGCCCGGCGTGGTGCAGGACGTCCTGACGCAGGGTAACCACCCGCGAGGGATCAAGGTCCGCCTGCAGGATGGGCAGGTCGGCAGGGTGCAGCGCATGGGAACAGGAGCAGGAGCAAGCAGCGGTGGTGCGGCCGACGCGGCAAGGCCGAGCGCAGGCAGGTTCACGCAGCGGTACACCGACGTGCGCTACGACGACGAGTATCCCGAGGGTCCGCCGCCGAGGAGCCTGGCCGACTTCTTCCCCGCGGAGCCCGAACCTGAGACGTCATCGAGGACGCAGGAGGCGCTGGTGACTTGTCCGCTGTGCGGTGGCTTCGAGGGAGACGAGACAGCGGTGACACATCACATCGAGAAGGAGCATTTGACCTGAGAGGGATTGCGAAAGGGTATGGTTCAGTTGGGATTTGGTGGTGATGGTTTCGGCAAGTGAGGTTTCTCTTCTCCGCCAAGGCTTCCGGGAAGAAGCGATCCAGCCAAAGGGACTTTGGGCATCGGCTTTTAAGAGCGCTTCCGAGTCTTTTCGCCGGTGAACTATCTACAGTTTGACTCCTTTGTGTTCCGACCAAGCGTTCCAACATGAAGGGATTGCTCGGCTGTCTGTTCCCGCTGGAGCTTCGACTTGGGATATGCTATTACAGTTTGTTGATTCTATATCACAACTAACAGACTCCATGCCAAGGCGAAATGCCTCTTTTTGCACATCCCTTAAGGAAAAGATGCTGCCTTCCGCTCCCCGAATTATAGGGACAGACACACAGCTTCCGGACGGGCTTGAGATTGCATCGAGCCGTCGATCAAACCGGGTTCCTCCGACTACAAACTACAACAGAGACACCGACTCAGCGCCCGTGGGGGAAGGGTATTACTTCTGGGTCCTTCGTTGGCTTCATCATTCCATCCTTGGAAAATCCTATGGTGCCATCGTCTTGTTGCATTCCACTGAGTGAGCCAAACCGGGCTTCTCATTCGCATAGGCTCTGCTGCTCACACGAGTCATACGGCAACCCTCGCTCATCCTATCCTGCCCCTCCATACAACGGTTTCTCTGCGCCATGATCTGGAAGTGTGAGGACTTCCCCACTACTCGGAGAGTAATCATGCAAATGTCTCTCATTTCCTTCTCGCATGCCAACGAACCAAGGAAGCAAACAGGATTGATTGATTTCCCATGGCATACCTTGGTTGCTGTGGCCATTTTGAGTCGGGGATTTTTGTATTATGATACATTGTTGATCCTTATCGTGCATATCTACATCAGATGACTGGATCGAACGATAGCTTCTTTGCCCTTGACTCATGACCTGAGCCGGATGATGGACGTTTTATCGCTGACATCTTGCTGGTGATATCGGGTGTTTTCCCGCCGACATCTTAGCTCCCGAGCCGCTCTTAGGGCTTTCACGGCAGTAAGCTTCGCTCAGAGCTATTTCTCCGAAGCTGAGACCTCAGGTGGGGTGTGAGTCGTTTTCCCTAGCAGACACCCTCCTTTGGAGCTCTTCTACCTTGTATGAGATGTGGTGGAAGGTGCCGTGCTCACCTAACACGGATGATGGCCCCGGATGCTCAACGGGCCATGTCTCATCACCGCCGTTGTATATTAATCTCCCGGTGTCCTGAGCGCTTCGTCTTTAGTAGATAGTAGACCGAGGGGTCCTTCAATACAACACAAATATACCACTATATCCCCTGCTTTGGGCATTATTTTTTGGTTCTAATTAAAGATATACTTTCAATGTTGTTTAGGTTCTTCATTCTCCTGGCCTCTACCTTGCTCGCCCAGGCACAAGATGGACCAGGCTGTGGCACAGCACCCCCTAGTCCCGAGTTCCTGGCAGTGGGACGGCAACTCGCTGAGCGGGAGAATATCGCGCGCCATGATAATCGTATCTCAAGGGTGGGGAGAACCATAGAGGTGGATGTTTATTTACACACTGTCGCCACATCAAAGGACAAACTAGTCAGCGTAGGTGCACTCTGGGCATGGACGCCGCCAGAAAAACTGACCCAAGAATTAGAAGAGCGTCCTCAACAGGCAGTTCGCCGTGCTCCTCAAGTCATACCTCCCGTACGGCATAACCTTCCACCTCAAGGGCACCACCGAGACCATCAACGGCAAATGGTCCCTGGACAAGGACGAGATGGGCATGAAGCGCGCCCTGCGCTCCGGCGGCTACCGCGCCCTCAACATCTACTACGTCGAGGACCTCCACGGCGACCTCGGGTACTGCTACTACCCGACTGACGCTTCCCCGGGCTCGGAGGACTTCTACCGCGACGGCTGCTCCGTCCTGTCGTCCACGGTGCCCGGGGGCTCGATGGCCGACTTCCGCCTGGGCAAGACGTCCGTCCACGAGACGGGCCACTGGTTCGGGCTCATACACACCTTTGAGGGGGGCTGCGTGGGTGATAATGATCTGGTTGATGACACGCCCGCGCAGGCGAGCGCGTCGGCTGGGTGTCCCACGGGGAGGGACTCGTGTCCTCTTAAGCCAGGCTTGGATCCGATCCACAACTACATGGATTACTCGTCAGAGTGCGTTGATGTTTCGTTTTTCTTTTTCTCTTTTCCTTTTTCTCCGCATTGTTGACTGTTTGGGCTGACTTTGATTGATTGCGCAGTGAGTGCTATACTGAGTTCACCAGCGGGCAGATTGATCGTATTCACAGCTTCTGGGACAAGTATCGCAAATGAGACAGGGACGGGGCCCGAGTACGGCCGAGTCGTTTGGACCTCTTGTCTAAGTTTCTTTTTCTTCCTTTCCAGCAATTTTGCTTACACCAGATATCAAGAGTTTTCTGGGGACCTCGGTGTATAATACTTTGAAGAACCAGGTTTCTTCGCGCGATCCTTCGTGGCAGAGTTGGGTAGAGGCACATCGGCAAATTTCAAGTTACATATGAGTCAGTCTACTTCTATAACATTGCGATATTCGCTCCATGGAGAGATTGGATGTTGCCTTTCAGCCAGCCACGGGGCAGCTGGGGCGGCGGGGAAGAGCGTAAACGGGATAGCTTGCATGCATGTCTTTCCGTTCTCAACATGCAAATGGCCCGGTGTTTCAGCCTCCCTTTTGTAAATCGCTATGAGTGATCATTTACGCTGTAACGGCGGTAAGGGCGGCTCTAGATATAAGAGACCTGAGACGATGAGATTCTGGAATGCGAAGCGTGTTTCGTTTTAGGCACCCATAACCTCATGCTCCGAGGATCATGCGCGGAAACTTAAAAGTCTTGAGAAGAGGAATTCAAGGCAGCAGCCCTATCATCTATGATGCATGTCTCTTATTCCCGCCAGCGTCTCTTATTACCCACCTTTTGATGCTACGATGATCTCGGTTGCCCGATATGGTAAATTTGTTCAGTTAGCGCTTATCCTAATATCCGTGGACCAGAGCCCTGGTGATGCTTGACAAAAAAACACTGCTTTCCAGACACTCCAATCTAACAAAAGAACTAGCAATCTCTGAGCGCAGTAAATAGCAAGATGAACGGATTCCTCACTACATAGAGTCCGTTAGCTTTTAGATCCAAGTCTTGTTATTGTCAGTAAACTTCTAATAATCAATAAATTACGCTTGAAAGGCTGAGGGCGCAGTGTCGTGGTGTGTCGTGTTTTATGTCGCCCACTTACAGCTTGCTTCTTAACTCCATGACAATCCCATTTAACTCCCAAGCTCCGAAACTCCGGCACAACGGAAACCGCTATTCCACCCACATTTCCTTAAAGCACAGGGATGGATTGTCTAGACGTATGCTTATCGTAGAGCGGCAATAGGCTTCATGCGGGGTGGTTGAATAGTATATAAAGTGTATAAATTGTATGAGAATAAGAGAGTCCCAATTTCAAAACATCAGTACATCTCTGAATCAATCCATCTAACAAGAGTGAGCTCTACCCAAACAAGCCAGCAATTGCCCAGAATATTACACAATGAGCCTCCCCAAGACTTTCAAACAAGCCGCCTTCAAGGAGAACGGCGGGCCTCTGGTCGTCGAGGAAGTCGAGTTGACTCTTCCCTCCAACGGACAGGTGTTGATCAAGGTGGAAGCTTGTGGCGTTTGCCATTCGGATAAGTTCCCTCAGTTCAATGGCATGGGAGCTGGTTTGTATGTTTTGCATTGATTGAAATCGTTGAGGAACTGAGGCTAAAACTCTTGATTACAGCCCTTTTGTCCCTGGTCATGAATTCATCGGAAGAGTGGCTGCGGTTGCTTCTGGCGAAAAGAAGTGGAAAGTCGGCGACAGGATCGGCGGTGGCTGGCATGGAGGACACGATGGTAAGTATTCACCGGAGTGAAGCGGTTTCTTCACTGGTTTTCTAACAGAGCTACTCCAGGCACCTGCAATGCTTGCCAAAAAGGCATGTTCCAGATGTGCGATAACAAGGTCATAAATGGAGAGACTGTCGGTGGGGGATGTAAGTTCCCTACATACACTGCTAGGAAAGGGGATGATTTTTTCTAATTGTGTCAAGATGCCCAATACTGCAAGATTCGCTCCGAGTCGGGGGTCAGAATCCCCGAAGATATCGACGCTAAGCTTTACGCACCTGTTCTGTGCGCTGGTGTTGCGACCTTCAACTCGATCCGCCAGCTCAATGTGCCCCATGGATCGACGGTTGCCATCCATGGTATTGGTGGCCTGGGCCATCTTGCAATCCAGTACGCAAACAAACTCGGCCACCGGGTTGTGGCTATTTCCCGTGGGAGTGACAAGGAAGAGTTTGCTAAGAGCCTGGGAGCACATCAGTACATTGATGCAGCTACCCAAGATCCCGTCAGCACTCTCAAGGGGCTTGGTGGTGCATCTCTCGTTGTTTCGACGTCTCCCAACGGCGCGGATATAACACCGTTGCTCGGCGGGCTGGGCCCCCTTGGAAAGTTGCTGGTTCTCTCTGGTAGGTTGTTCATGGACTCTCGATCGGTAATATCAAGCTAACAATACGCTTTATCGCAAAGTTGCTGGTGACTTGTCGATCAACGTTCTTACTCTGGTAAGTCATCTACCCACATGGATAAGAGTAAACGTGTTGTTCAAAGTCTGACTCGGAAACTTCATATACAGATGGGGTACGGACTCTCTGTTCACTCTTGGCCTTCAGGTCATGCAGCAGATGCGGAAGACACGATCGCGTTTACCAAGTTGCATGGGGTCAATTGTATGACACAGACATGGCCGTTAGAACAGGCCAATGAAGCATATAGTAAGTTATTTAGCGTACAATCCCGAGACCTAGGGATGAGAACTAACGTATAATTAACACAACAGACGCCATGGTTAGTGGTGACATACGTTTCCGGGCAGTGATTACTATGGAAGAATAGGGTTTAGACCTTTGATAAGGGAAGTTTGAAAGGGTCAACTCAACGAAGCATCCTCATCTGCACAGTTCAGGGTTCAAGAAACATGATTCGATGAATCCAACTTTGGATGGCGGCACGCAATGATCCGGGACTTTTGCCGAACTAGATTTGGAAGTCGATATCGGCGGCGTGTGCCGGGAGACTGCATTTCTCAGTACCCATTTGCCTCCGCGCGTGCAGGGGATTTGCCGCGACCCCGGCTGGCCCTGGCAGATGATCATGGGCTGTGTTGTTTTTGGAATTATTTCTCGTAAACGGACCAATCGTTTCGCTGACACGTTGCATCTTACATGGGCGGTCTTTTTCTTCCTTTCAATAGCGAACCAGGCAAGCATCGAGAGTAAGCGCGTATCGGTGAGGAAATGATTTTAGTTTCGGAAGGTTGGCTTTCATGGCATGTACTGTAACCATCAATAATCATGCTATCCCACATGCAAGAATAGCCCCTGTTCATCGAGTGGAAAGAACATAAAGCCAGCTCAATCCCCGGACGATGTGAATGACTTTAGCTCCGAAGTAGAATCATCGGCAAAAATTAGAACGGTTTATTCTTACAACCATGAAGGTCGTATACACCCTTATAGCAGCTTTAGCAAGCTTTGCTTCAGCAGAAGTCTACAGCGGGTCACTCTATGTTTACGGAGACAGCACCACGACTGAGGTCAACAATCTTCAGGTCTTCTCAAACGGAGGTATGAAAGTGTCATGAACCTTACCAAAAAAAAACCGCAAACATCTGCTGACGTGACAATAGAAACGATCTATCTGGGCGACTCCAAGGCTCTAAATGATCCCGAATATGCACCTGTCATCTGTAACCTCAGCCCATAATTCTCCGCCCGTAATTCCTCTAACACGTTCCGCAGACTCCCTGGACCTCGATAATGTTGTCACTGCGCCAATCTACCTCAACCCAAACACCACCGGCCTTGCCCAGAAGCCCACCTGGTCGAACCGCATCTTGGCTGAGCCCAATTACACCGGGGCAAGCGGGCTCAAAGCAGTCGCGCTCGACCCGAACGCGGCGAATCTTGCCGACTATAGGACCAAGTGGTTTGCTTATCACAGCCTCATCTTCTCCGTTGCTGACAATGGTGATGCCTCCTACTCCGGGAGGGAGTATGCCGAGAGGTCGGCCGTATCGGGAGTGTGGGATGTCTATGCTTACTGGATTGGCTCGGCCGATAACCACCGCTTTAACTTCAGGACTGATCCGATTGTTTGATTGAATTATGAGCGGGCTTGATGATACTTTAGCTGTCTACGAAAATGAAGCGGGTAGATGGTTGAAAGTGGATGTTGTGGGTTGTTTCTCTAGAACAATTAGGAAGAAGTAGCTCTTGCCTTATAGTTTTTATGAATCGTGAAAAGGTTAAACAGACTACCTCTAGTGAGTAAATGGACTTGACTTAGTGGATATTTTACTTGAGACAAGACTACGCCAGATTAACGCTGCGAGGAACAAGTGTGTAGATGGATAAGCTTCTGGCATCGATCCTAGATCACCCCAAGCAGGTGTCTGCAATGGTAAGGGTCTGATGGAGTGCTGAGAATATCAAGAACACGATGACTGAAAATTTGCTCGCCTATGGAAAGAAACCTAGCATAGACCTTACGTCCTCTTTGGTCGCCAGAGGAATGTGGTATTATAATAAGTAATAAAATAGGTCCCAAAGCTCGAAGATTCACACTTTTCACTCCGCGATTCAAAAGCTACAGGTTATCTCTGATACTTACAAATACTGGAGTTACTATGTAGGGTAGGCTATAGGCCTAGATGTTCAACTAGTTCAATGCGACCAAAATTCTCTATATTTGGGTTGATACACGGAGAGAGCTAGAATAGTGTAAAACAACTAAGAGATTCGCAAGATAGCCCTGCTTTCTGTGATTTATTGCCGAACAAAGGACTTGTCAAATGCAAAGTTTAACAGATGTTATGATACAAGGTGTAACAACAACGATTTTATTTCCTTATCACATTCTCAATTGAATGAAAGGATAGCACATCATGGCCATCAAAATTGTCAGACCCCAGAACAGCTACATCGTGACCATAGTCATACATATAATAGTCGTTAATGGTTCTGATAGGCCTAAAACAGTTAATGTTAATATATCTCTGATTTTCGCGCAGAGCTTCAGACATCGTTCAAGCTTCTTCCTAGAACAGTCCAAGAGCCATTGACGGAAGCAATGAGAAAACCAGCGGCGCTTCCGTGCATATCATTAGGAAATACCAGCGTACAACACCGAAATACCGCATTTTATAATAGAGCAGCCTTCTAATCTTTGTTTAACTTTATGCTCTAACTTCTTACACAATAGAGGTAACGATTTTCATTTGTTGGTGCCTCGGGCTTGATCCCCAATGTGACACCAGTCCACCATCTCCACACCTTCGCAGCCCAATCCCAAGCGAGTCGCTAACTTCGTCTCCAGATTTTTGCCATGAATTCACGAACTTCTTCATTTCATCATGTGATTCTTGTCTGATCAATTATGGATGGCTGGTTGATGCTGCTTACGTCATGCTCAAGGGGCTCTTTCCGCCTTACTTCTTTCGTTGCTGCGCCCCGCAATTGAAGTCCTTCCTGAATCCGTCGGCGCGTGACACCGCCATTGATCGATTCAACGTCACCGACCGCCTGCTGTCTTGCAACGCTTGCCGATAGATCTAGACCAGCTCTTCCAGAAAGACTGTTCGCGTTATCTATCTGTAGCTGACGATGAGCTCTATTGCAGTAAGTGTTTGCGGGACCGCTGCTCTCGCGGTCGCGTTGGCTGGCGCCATCTACGCCGCCAACGCCTCCTTCACAAGAGTCCCCAAGAGGATCAGAGATACGACGACTTCCGCTTGGCTGAGGGCATGTGCTATCTTGACGACGATGTAAGTCTCCCTTTCCCCGTGGCACGTACTCATGGCACGCGCATGGCTCACAGCAACACTAGATGGATCGGCATATGGCTGATCACGGCTATCATCAGAGCCGTCTTCGTCATTACTCACCGGCTGCCCGTTTTCTGGTATGGACTTGGAAAACACCTGGCTATGCTCAATGGTCTCACGGGCGCATCAGCTATATGCTTGCTCCTCATCATTCAGACTGTCATTCTGTCCATCAGCACCTGGAACGCGGGCTCTTCGATCCGTGACTTTGTTCACGGGCCGTATCGTTTCATAATCTTGGGGCTCCTTCTGCTCTTGCCTCTTTCAGTAGCCAGCGTTGTCTTGTCCGAGTATCAGTACTTGAACAGCGGCGACATGGGCCATCTGCGATCCATCATTGCCCTTTTTCTCATCGACGGCCTCATCGCTATCATCAAACTCGTTGCAGTTGGTTTGAACTTGATCTTCCTCCGATCCAAAGCTCGTTCTTCCCCAGTGGTGAGTCTACATGACAAGAAGAAAATTACAGCCTACCATATGCGCAACGAAACTGACATTTGCTTCGCTACAGCCATATCATAAACCCCTACTCATCATCAATCTCTTGTCGTTCGGGCGAGATGCCTTTCAAGTCATCTTCAAATCCCTCATCAGGCTGGGACTTGCTCGCAAAAACGGTAAACACCTACCAGTCAATGCTGTCGTTGTGCTCCGAGTGTTGAACGTCATCATCGTCGCCTGGGTAACTGTGGCCTGTCTCATTATGGTGGTCGACATCGTCGCAGATTATGCCTCCGCCCCAGCTGAACCAGCTGTACAGCCAGACGAACAACCAGACGAGACCAGCCCTCTTCTAGGGCGCGACGAGAGTCGGGTTGCGATGGCTGCGTAGGTGCCTGGCAATTCTGATATACCGTGCTCGCGCTTCCCTTTCTTTTAGGCTAAGGGGTGTTCTGGAAGGGCGTCGCTGGCTCTTAGTGGTGGTTTGGAATATTCTTCTTTGATGCTTACAGGAGGCGTGAAGGGGCATATAATAATGGTGATGGAAAGCATTGTGGCGAACGTTGCTAGGAACTTTCATCAATTACGCTTGAGAAGCTGTACAGTAGGTTTAGGAGTGGCTGAGTTACTGTAGAGTTGCCAGTGAAATATAAAGTCAAATAGTCTATGAGAGTCACCAACTCGTTCCACGTTTCCATCGCGTGAGGAACAAGAACACAAGGCGGGATTTCCGCTGATCCGGACAGAGATATAATGAATCTGCCCCCGGCGAGCTATTTTCCAGAAGCCAAGCCAATAGATAAATGCTCGATAGCTGTTCGATGGGGCTCAAGAACTTTTGTAGAAATTTTCTGGAAAAGCGCATCAGGCTATCGGAAAATTCCAGACACGATATCCACAAAAAGGGGGCACGCCTTAGAACAATTTTCACGTTTCTCCCGCATGTTCTCGTCGGATGTGGCGGGTCGGACGCTCCAGTGGACCCTTCTTCGATCGCACGAGAAAATTTCAAGAATGAGCTCAGCGGAGTTTCTCGGTGCTTTGATACTCTTTCTAGTTACTTCGCCCGACGTCAGCGTCGCATTGGCGCCCCAACAGACTGACCTAGACAGGGCTCAGATCAACCTTAATTCTCATCCTTTGCGCCATTGTGGGATCCGAAGGCGCAATTCGTGATCGGCTTGGCTGTCTAAAGAGGCCTCTGCCGCACATAAGCTTGAAAAACAAATATAATGGGCGGACGGCGTCTCCCCTTTTCTCTAACTCCACCTGTTCGCCCATCTTGCTTTTTCACTCTGGGAAGATTCTCCGCCGCGGCACGTGGCGATCTCGACGAAGATGGCTTTTTACAGGAGTGTGCTGTCGCAGATGATTATCTGTGGGTTGGTTGCTTTGCTCGGACCTGGTCTATGGGTTCGTCCCCATACCCGTTGCCCCCCTCGACATGAACGGGACCCCGCCGTGCTAACAAATCACGATGCGTGTAGAATGCAAACAACTCGCTTGGTGCTGGAGGAGCACTTGAGCCTTACCTGGTATGTGCTGCCGCCCCATACCGTTTGTTTCCCCGCCTTGGTAGCTGACCATGCTGAGTAGGTCAATGCGGGTAACTCGCTTGTGTTTGGGCTGATGGGCCTGTTTTGTATTCTGTCGCCCATCTTCGTCAATTGGATCGGTGTCAAGAGGACTCTGATTGCTGGTACCCTCGGGTGGTCGGTTTACAGCGCCTCGCTCTACCAAAACAACCGTTATGGCACCGAGTAGGTTGAATGGAATATCTCTGACTTGGATCTGCCGCTGACTTTGAGGTTTGCAGATGGTTTGTTATTTTCGGAGCCGCTATTTGCGGAGTCAGTGCTGGTTTGTACTGGGCAGCGGAGGGATCCATCATCCTCTCATATCCGGAACACGCAAAGAGAGGTAGATATCTCGCCCTCTGGCTTGCGTTCAAGAACAGTGGCCAGGTAGGTGGTGTGAATAATCTGACGAAACTGAACCAAATACTAACCTTATGTAGCTCATCGGCGGTGCCATTAACCTCGGACTGAATGCCACTCGATCTACCGGCGGAAAGGTCTCCTACGTTACGATCTTGGTCTTTGTTGGACTCCAAGCACTCGCCGTCCCCATTGGATTCGGACTTTCTTCGCCCGAGAAGACGGAACGATCTGATGGTTCTAAGATTGTCGTCGAGGAACGGACACCCGCAAAGGTGCAGCTCAAGAAGCTCTGGCAGACGATCACGACCCGCCAGATTGGTCTCTTGCTCCCCATCTTCTTTTCCAGCTGGTTCTACTGGGTGAGTGATACAACTTGCTGAGAATTAACCGATCGATACTAACCAGAGCCGTCCTAGGGTTACGCATCGACATACTTGACTTTGTATTTCAGTGTCCGCGCCCGAGCACTTGCATCCTTCCTCTCAGCCATCACTGGTACCTTGGCATGCATTCTTTTCGGCATCTTCCTCGATTCCAACAAACTTACCGTCAAGGTAGACACATGGGCTCCCTCCTGAGAAAGTGTAAATCATACTGATTGTTCTATTTAGTCTCGCATCCGTTACGGCTTCGTCTTCTCCTGCGGCCTCTTCACCCTCCTCTGGATCTGGGTCCTCATCGTGCAGCACGGCTTCGAGCAAAAGAAGCCCGCCACCCTGGATTGGTCCTCTCCTGGATTCGGCCGCGCCTTCGGAATCTACATCATGCTTCAGACGTCGGGCAACATGGTCCAGAACTTCCTCTACTTCCTCGTGGGAACTCTCGGCGACGGGACACTCGAACTGAGCAGATCTACCGGTCTTCTTAGAGGAGTGGAAAGTTGGGGCCAGTGTGCTTCATTTGGGATTAGCAGCAGGTAAGGATATGCACATTTCTTGAACAGTTTATGACTTGTGGCTAACCTTCTGAAAAAGCAAATTCTCGCCATTTTACACCACTGTCATCAATGTGGTGTTCTGGACGCTTAGCCTTTTCCCTGCTGCCGTGACGATCTGGGCGGTTGAGGATAGGAAGCAGTACCCCGAGACCGAGGTCCGGGAGTACAGTGATAAGGGCGCAGCCGATGCTGGAAGTTCAGAGAAGAATGTGTAGGACAACGTAGTCCTATTTAACACATCAAACATATACCTTGATTTGATGTTCGCTACCTAGTCTGTGCTTACATATTTTGAAGCAATAATATGAATCTTCTCCCCACTACGAGCAGTAATCATTGGAATGAAAATTGTTAACCAAACAACAGAATGGAAGACTATAAGTTAGTTGCCTTTTCAATTCCCATGACATGATGACGCATCTGGTTGCTACAGGCCTTGGACTAACTAGAGACCTGAATACGGATGTGTTGTGTTCTCCTAAGGGTGCCTAAATTCTCCCCCAAGCCCGTTGATTAGGTGATTCTACAATGAGATTAGATCGGTCTCGCTCAGTTCTTGCCCATTCCTAGCGTAGATGATATAATTGCTCTCTTCGTTTTGAGAATCGGAGTTGACTTGGGAAGACTTCTATTCATGACAACTCCCTGCATATCTAGTCAAGAATTCTAGCGTCTTAGCATCACCAAAGTAGGCAACAAAGCGAGGGCCGAATCGCCGAGATCCACAATTCCAAGACAGCTCCGAGAGCGAGCGAGTTAACTACGATTCAAAATGAAGAAAGGAGGCCTCGATTAATTCTCTAGTGATCTGGGCTGAAGGTTCTCCACTGAATACGAAAACCTACTAAAACATTTCATTTGGGTCCGGAGCTTTAACGATGCATTGTCCACTCATTCGCAACACCAGGCGCATTTGCTCAAACCGGTTCAGTCCTTGTCGTCTCGCTCGCTAATCAATTCTTCGACAAAGTGATAAGATGAACAAATTGGGAGCCATTCTGACCCGAAGACGTCTTAATACAGCCGTCGGGGCCGCATTTGTGACGGGCATTGGTGGCTGGGGCACATTCTGGTTCTCAACTCGCCACGCGACTTTTCGACCGCTTCCCGACCACGATTCGCTTGTGCAGAGTCATTTTCATCAGGCATTCAATCCACATAAGAATCAGGCATTGAGCGATATTTACTCATCGACTATCCGTGTGGAGGATCTCGATCCAAAGTTGGTCGATGATTTCAGGAATGGTGGTTCAAAGTTGATTGAGCGGTACAGCCAGGGAATATTTGGTAGATGGGGTAAGAGGAGACTCAATGATCTTGAATCAGCTTATTTATACAAATGAATGGTGATTTCTGACCTGCAATATGAAGCTTTTGCCATCCAACGGCAACTTGTACAGTCATTTAGCAGTGCGCAACCTCCGCCGGGAGTGAAGGATGTTACCTCGACCAAAGAAATCCTCAATGATGAGTTTAACCTTGGTTAGTAGCCATATCTCGCTCAAGTGACCGTCATGGTTAGTTCTTATGTTGACAACTTGATCTAGGAACCCTGATTTCCAAAGAATTCTTCGTTTTGCAAAAATCACCACGCTCAATAATTCTAAGAGGCGGTGAACCCAATCCAAGCAACAAGGACGGGTTGCGAAAACTCGACGTTCTGTCTGAAATTGAAATCACCACGAATGATGATAAGACGGAAATTACCTTTGCTTTCAAGAACATGTTCTTCAGCGGGGAGGGAATGGCCAGTCCACCACCTCTCCCGGAATTTATGACACCGTTGCATCTAATGTACGCGAAGGCTCTTGCAGCTAATGGCGCTACTAATTGCATGAGGAAGTGAGAATATTCCGAAAAGAAAAGCTCTGGAAAATTGACTTGCTTCATTGAGCAATTGTATTATTTGTTTTGTATTATAGAATCCAAGTCTCTACTCTAATATAGACACCGGCCGTGAGGATAGGAACTGGGCACACATTGTTACCCCGCGAATCTCTTCTAAATTACTCGAATATCAAGGGATTGTAGCAAGTTCAAGTGAACAAAAGAAGTGCTGTATAGGTACTATATTGAAGCACTAGAGTTTGACCACGCGCTAGAAAAAAAGCTAGTAAGAAACTAAGAACTACAGTTAAACATTAGTATATAGGAACGAATGTTGTAGGAAATATCTATGCATATATATATTAATAATTTGCTTAATTAGCCATGATTTCATTACGATTCTTCATTTTCCTTCCATGAGCTTTTTCGAATGGCGCCTAACTCCCTTCTCTGTGGTAGTGGTTGCTCGATTGTTCTAGGCGGATTTACTCGATAACTGTGAACATGAATTTAGGGCTCCCTTTATATATCCAAGTTCGGCAGTCTCGAATTCGAAAAGTGAAGAGGAGCGTGAGTTTCACTGTTGAATATATAAGAAACAAAGCCATTAGGCCATTCTTTCGCGACTCACGTGCTAACCTGCAACCCGAAGCACAACCTTGATTTACCTTCTGAGTAATTGCATTAAGATTATCGTATCTTCATCTGGATAGGAGCCAGTCCGCATTACCTCAAAGAGCCAAAACCTTCATACCCATTCATCCAAAAATGCTTTTGCACATGACGCTGCCGTTGCTGCCGCATACTGCTGAAATGCTTTTGTCTTGTGGCTGTCTGCATAGTCGCAGGCGCTCTTTATCACGACGCAGGAGGGAAAATTTTCCCAAACACCGGCGCCCTCCATTTCGAAGCCCAGAATGCCCTCCAGTTTAGCCAATGCGTCTCGATGTGCCCCGGACTTCATCACCTTATCCCCTGAGGCGAACAAGCCAAAGTGAACCTCGGGCTCCGGTGTCCCGTCGATGAAACGAGCGCGTGTCACTATTTGACCGCAACAGCCCGCATCTTTGCATGATAGATCCTTGTCTCGGTGTTCATATTTCGCGTCGAAAAGGATGTCTAGATTTGTGTCCGGATAGCATGCTTCCAATTTAGGTATTTGTTGGAGTGTACTAAGATAACCAGACATCTTCTCATGGAGCGTCGCTTCTACTTTGGGGGTTCTCAGTTTAGCTAAGAAGTTGGCTATTTGGTTGTTGGGTCTTGGAAGTGATTCTAAAAGAGTGTCCTTTAGTTCGAATGACTCCGTAAATTGCCGTCCAAAATCATACTGGACGATGCCCTCACTCACGATGACATCGCCCAGGACAATTTCGCCACGACCCGGGGCAAGAGGTACCGCACCACAGATACCCACGACAATAGCAAGCTTGATGTTGGGAAATGTTGCCTGGCAATTCGCCGCAACTGAAGCAGCGTGGACTTTCCCCATGCGGCCCATATGAATAAGAACGATATTGTGACGGCCAAAGGAGCCGGTGGAATAGGCATTTTTATCGCCACTAGATTTGCGATAACGGGGATCATCGCTGCCCCAGGAATGATCGAAAAGAGCCTCAACGGCGGCCGCCTCGCGGGTAAGGGCGCAAATTATCGCAATCTCAAAGTCCTCCCCGCTGGTAGGAGACCTCGGTCCTCTGAGCTGTGTGGAATTTGCGTGCTTGCTGCCTCTATCGCTGGCTTGGTCTACCTCTGGGTTTATATACGCGGCAACTGGGGCATGCATATTTACTGGACCATGACTGCCAGACACAAGCGCAGATCCTAGTGGCTTGTTGTCTATCCTCGGGAACAGTCTATCCAGGTACGCGAGTACTGCCACCACCCGCTGATGTAGCCATTCTCTCCGGCTGAGATGGGAATTTGAAGTGTTCAAATCATCCTCCATGCCCGCTGAGTTATTGAACTCTAGACAGTTTCTGATAGTTCTGACGAAGGCCTCTAGGTATTGAGAATTGATGTCCCATTTATTGTTCTCAAGTTCTTCGAGTTTCTTTAACGCATCCATGTGGCGGTTGTTGAGACGCTTGTTGAGCCGCTGGTTCTCAAAGTCGGACGATGGAGGGCAAAGAGGTTCGCCGAGTCCAATTTCCAAGAGCAATATTCCGAGAGACTGAATGCGAGGATACTTATGTATGAGTCCTCTTCTCTTGATACACTCAGAGGCATCGTCATCGCATTTAGTCGCATCCGGATGGAAAGAGACGTAAGCTTTGAGTGGCACCTTTTTGGGTTCGCGTTGTCCGTCTGCCTGTGGCATGAACCATATTGTGTCGCTGCTCCATACTTTATGCATCAGTTCAGAGCTGTAGAACTGCCAGAAAGACAACGCGATGATATAAGCGAGAGCGAACTTTTCTCTGACAGTAAGCTTGAACTGGCTCAAGACACTCGACAAAGACATGCCGCTACCGGGGGATGGTTCGTGTCTCAATGCTTCATCTCTCGACCAAAAAAGATCTTTGCCGTGGAGCCTCAGAGAAACACGACATCCATTATTGTCCTGGAAAATCTTACAGAATGAGTCAATTGGCGCATCATCTAAGCCAGTCAAGTCGCGAGATTCGCGATCCGGTCCCTTTTCGTTCGCAAACCTCACTCGACTAGTCGACCTGAACAAGACTGTTAGGCAGAAGCATTAAGGGCCGAGGAATACGAACAACATACGCTGGTATCTCAATACAGAGATCTTCCCAAGACCCATCGATGGTTGATGATGTGATGACATCAAACCGGACCAGATCTTCCTTGCTCTCAAGCCTCATCAAGAATAATCTCGTTGGGTGCCACGAGGCCGGGTCTTTTGCATCTTGGTGCTTGCAAATACCACAAGGAGTGTATTTTGCAAGTGTTTGAAACAATGCCGTCTGGGCAGTGGAATGATCCTCGGACTCGGCGTCCTCGAAGTCTCTTTCCCAGCCGTCTTTTGGGAATAAATCGATAAGACTCTTGCACCTTTTCTCCAAGATATCAAGGATGTCGTTAGGCCTTTTCAGGTATTCGAATATCTTTCTGGATAGACGTTCTGCCTGCCAGTTAGGTCCATTCCTCGCCTCGTCCTGGTTGGGTTCTTTGCGCCTTTCGTCCTCGACTAGCATATAGAGGCCTGGGAAGCGATGCTTCATCGGCTGTTCCCGTGACATTAATTTGACGTTGGTTTTGCTCTGTAGGTTGAAGATAGTTAGCGAAATAGCCTGCCTACATAATATAGGGAAAGACATGGATTGGATAGAAGCTTACTAAACACATGTCTTCAAGGACTTCCAAAAGACTGTCCACTCGGTTATAGAAATTTTCGTCTAAGTTAAGCCCCATGATTTCTTTGAGACCAGCTTTGACAGCCGCCAAGTTTGTTGCAATGCTCAAGCATGTGCCACATAGGTGGCCTTCTGGCCACTGGGAACTGTGCGGGCACTTAGAGAGGCCTCTTATCGCCAAACCAACCTTGCCGGCGCAGACCTCGAGCCAGTCAGTTACCTCTTCCCCATTCGTTACGACACGGGTTGCGTTGACAATCGACTGTGAGTGTGATATGCGCGGATGGCTCTCCTCTACCTCTGCCCGTGGGGTTGAGAGTTTCGAACTTCTCGTTGTGCTCATCTGGTCTAACTGTTCTCTTGATGTGGAGGGTTGCGCCGGTATTCCTCCGGGCTCGCCCTTCCGTGATTTCCATGTACCGAAACGGCGAAGTTGAAGATTTGCTAGTCGTCCCATCTGGAGACACGATTGTGGGTGTAGGCAAATGGCGACGCTAAGGGCAGAAGAAAGAGTTCCGGATTGTGATCGTATGAGCTCACGCGGTGACAGTGTCGGCTCTTTACCCTTAAATCAGCATCTCAGCCTGATGATGAGGCAGACTGGGCGGGGTTCAGCTACTCCTCAGAACTTTTGTCACCTGCTGAATATCAGATTACTGTTAACCAGTCATTTAGAGTGAAAATTGTGGGGCATCGCTTGATTATGCTACCCTCCGTTGAGCCCAAATTTCCCCTCCTATTTCCTTCAAACAACGCCTTATCTTACTTTGATGATGGCCCTGTCAACGCAGTCTGTTGCAGATCTCGCTGAACAGTGCATCGGACGTTTTGACCAGACTCTCGAGATAGCAGGTCTTGCGAACAACCAATGGGCCGAAAATCGACGAGCAGACTTCAGGCTTTGGGCAGATGGTGTTGGAGCACTGGCGAGCCAACACGCTTCTCTCGATAGCAGACTCGAATCAAGGGACGAGGAGTTAGCTCTTATTAAGACCATTCTTGTTAATTTGAAAAGCTATCTAGGACGCTGTCTGATAGCCACAGGGGAAGAGCCGCTAAGAGAAGCAAAGCTGGATGTTGACGCCGCTATCGACAACCTTGCTCTGATTGCCGTGGCAATTCGCCGGAGTGGACAAAGATCTCGGATTTTGAGGGCCGACAGGTCCTTTGATCGTACCACTCTGGTAGAACTTGAGATGCATCTGACATGCATGGCTTTGCTCAGACGAACCTCGCCCAAAGAAGAGTTCCCAAAGTACCATGAGGACGACCCTGCCTGGTGGCAGAGTGAGATTGATGGTGAACCTACTCCTCTGCAGGACCGATTGATCGAGGCCAATCTTCTGAGACGAAACCGTTTCCTCTACGCTCAAAGACACTCCAAAAAGCTTGCCATCCCACAAACGCCTGTAAAGGAAACGGTTCCCAATCAACCTGTTCCTGATCGCTCGTCTCCGAAACAGGATGGAGTCACACATCGTCAAGTGCCGAATAATGATGTACGAGAGATGGAAAAATACCCGGTATCGGCACTAATATCTTTGACACGCGCGTCTGACATCGACAGTTTGAATCTGGATGAGCCGAAGATCTCTTTCCAGGCGACCAAGACGCAGATAACTTCCATCACTGGGGCAACTGAGTACCCCAAGCTCCGAAAACCACCAGTGGAAAAGTCGGGTGACCGTGACATTGAACCAACGAAGCTACAAAAATGTCCTTGCTGTTGCGAGGCCCTACCGCGTGTAGCAGTAGCTTCTAAAAATGCCTGGAAGTGAGTTTGAACGATCCTCTGATATATGGTTATATGCTCACGTATACTAGAAAACACCTCTCTGGCGACGTTCGCCCGTACACTTGTATTTCCGAAGACTGCCCATCGCCACTTGTTCTGTACTCGACACGAGTAGAATGGGAGGATCACATGAAACAAGAGCATCCGAAGAAGTGGAAATGCCAACTTTGTGATGGTGTTGAAAGTAATGTGTTCTCCAAAGTTGACGAGTTGGTTAAGCATGTGAGACAAAAACACATGGATTCATTCTTGGAGGAAGATCTGGAGGCGGTGCAGCTCTGGCCATCAACCTTCACCATCGGACTCGATACATGCCCATTATGTCGTTCAGCAGGCCCACTCGATGATCCAACGTTGATCGACCACGTTTTGGAACACACACATGAATTTGCACTTCTTTCACTCCCCTGGGCGGACCTCCCAACCGAGACCTTTCAAGCGCCGACCACCTCGGACTTCTACGATCTCGGGCGCTTGAAACCCGTGGAACCTGTTTTTCTATCTTCTCTGACAACCTCTTCTCATCGTGACGGCCACAGAAGCGAGGAAAACGGCCTAATAGATAGTAATGTGGAGTACACTACTACGGAGGAGCCAGCGATTCAAACAGTTCAATCACCGATGCTTATTTGGCTTGACGGACTGAATATGCCACAACCCGAGGAATGGGGCGATCCAGTCGCTGCGTTTATGTTAAGCAAACTCAAGGATTCCCGCACGGCAAATAGCGGCAATAGAAGAGATGACCACTTTGCTAGGAACCCTTACTTCACTTCCGACTCCGAAGCCTCGACACAAGACGGACACTTTTCTGGAAACCCTTACTTCGCATCCGAGTCTGAAGCCTCGACACGAGACTCACAAAGAGAGGGAAGTCAGACTGAAGAAGACGAATTCGATGAAACGATTCGCCCAGACGATTTGGTGACACAGGTGCCGGATAAGATTTCACAACCAGCCAATGAAGATTCAAGCACCATCAAGCCTGCAGTCAACGGAAGCGTTGGCTCAGACAACAGCTTGAGAACGGAAGTCAGCCATGAGCCACACTCTTCAAGCTTGAGCGCCTCAACTCCTTCTGGGCCTTTCGATATTTTCAGACCAGCCACCCCTGATCTCGTGCGAGACTCAAAGCTTGAGACAGTCATCACCAACAACGGAGCACTCGTGCAACACATCACGTACGAGCCGAACCATTATGTGCATCAGCGACGACTAAGAAAAAAACAGACATGGAAGCGTGTGCGTGAGTTGGGTAGAGGCGGTTCTGGTTGTGTCTGGCTGGAGGAGCGTCTTGATGGGCACGATAATGGAGGTACATTTCGCGCCGTCAAGGAGATTTTCAAGATACAGCCACCAGGACAACATCTTTCGATCAATTACGACCGGGAGTTGGAGGCCATTGCCAAATTCCCCCACTCCAAGGTGACATACTTCTCATTCTTTTCTCTTTTTTTGAGCTTTTACTCACTCTTTCCGTCCCCTATCTTAGTACGTACATTGTTTTGTGCAGTTTTTTGGTTGGTACGAGAGCGAACACTCCATTTTCATAGCGATGGAGTATATGAAGCATGGCAATCTGGAAGGATATCTATCACGCCCTTTCCACGAGGAAGAAACCAAGCAGATTGTATTCCAGCTTCTAGAGGGCCTACACTTTATGCACGACGAAGGATTTGCACACCGTAACCTCAATCCTGCTGTAGGTTGTGAAATTAAAGAATCTTTCTATACAACATCTGTCAAAGGCTAAACAAGTTACTATAGAACATCCTCGTCGCAGAGCCGTCACCACATTGGTGGGTTAAAATTGGTGACATCGGGATCTCCAAACGAGCAGAAGAAGAAACTACGGCCTTTCACACTATGGTTGGGTACCTCGCGCCCGAGGTGATGGGTTTTTGCAGCGCAGAGGACGTGATAGGCGTGCGCTCAGCTGGCAAAGACTCATCCAGCATGTATACTGTGGCAGTCGACATTTGGGCCCTGGGCGTCATTATGTTTCGGCTTCTCAATAATCGCAATGTATTTGGTAACTATGGCCAGCTGACTCAGTATGCTGTTGGCACGGAGTCATTCCCGAGCGATGCCTTATTGCAACGGGGTGTAAGTCGATCCTGTATGGAATTCCTAGAGCTTGCCATGGCTCGTTCGCCAAAGGATCGGCCCACATCCCATCAGGCTTTGAATCATGTATGGTTTGGGGATCTACATGACTCCACGTTGCCACCAGAAGCTCTGTTAGAAAGGCTGTATGTTTATTTCGCGCTCGGATATATACGATCAGCAGGGATGCTAACACACAATGATCAGATCCATTCCCCCGGACGATCTACCACGGAAGAAGATGTCCGTGAATGATGAGGACACGGCCCCGAGTGCCGATTAGCCTTCAACATTTGACTAAGTAAGGCTCATATTTAAATCGAGGAATTCAAGTGAAATTCTAGAAAACTTATGCTCTTGGTATCTATCTATTAGCTTCAGTCCTTGTACCAATACTAGAAAGATATTTCTTTATAGAAATAGTCTGCCGATAACAAGCTGGAAAGCGCATCTAAGTTGGTGGAGATGATGGATATAAATCTAGGATTTCCTCACGACATTATTTTTTAGAGCTAGAAAACCATCATTAAATTTAGTAGAATGAATCATTTCCTTACAGGCAACGCCCCATTCATGTTCCGAACGTATCACTTGCGGCCCTTCTTTGTTTTGCCCGAGTATCTCACTTTCCACATAGTACGAATGCTCGACTACTACTTAAGATTGTCGTCTGAACTAGATAACGTCCTTCTTGGCCAAAGAGAAATACAGTCATACTAATCATCACTTTCATCATCCTGGGAATTCCAGAAAATTGATGAATCATAATGTGGAAGTGATTCAAACTGGCACCCTAGCAACATTCTTTAAAGAATGACAGTTTCCTTCCGAGCCTGTTTGCTTGACGTGCTCGCACCGGCATTTTGACCACGCCGCCACGTAATACTTTCAACCACAGCACAATTGTTGTCTGCTGGCTTCAGAGTAAGGATGTAGAACTGGTCCCCTGTCCAGCTCCGGGCATAGTGGACGGTGACATTGCCGTTCTGGTCTGGCTCCATTGCCTTGATGACCCATTTATCATCCATAGACATAGGGCTGAAGCCGCTTTTGAGCTTCTGGAAGTCTGAGCTGCTGATACTTAGTCCCTAGGATCCAGTTTAATCATTGTCGATTGGTTTGAGAGTTAGAGACATTCTGTGATAAAGGAGCGGGGTACTTGGAGATCGTATGAATATGCAGGGTCTGGCAAATGATCATCAAGTGCGGCTGTGCGAAGATAGAGAAGAGAAGAGCTGCGGTGCGCTGTACATGTAACGATGGACTTGATCAGCTGCACCGGCTCAACTGCGGCTCAGCTGTAATCCATGAGCACCCGTCGAATTATGCGTGATGGCGAAGACTGGCCACGAACTCAGGTAACACCGTAGCATTATGTAGTCACAAGCCACGACAGGACGTCAACAACTAGCCGGAAGACGCCTGAATATAGGGACAAGTAACCTTTAGTGGTTCGCGTGGCGAGTCACTTAGATGAGGTGGCTTAGATGATCAGAATTGGGCTACAAAGGTGTTTCAGATGTGCAGAAAGCATTCTGCACATAAGCGATCCGTGATAGGCCAAAACCAAACCCGCAACTCGCTCGATGCAATATTACCCCCCGCATGCTCCATCTCCCTTATTGCATAAACCTCGCGACAAGCCACGCTCCAAACGCGTCGTTTTTCCCCATCCAACGCTCCATGGTCCAGTAGTTGGAAGGGTTCCCCTCATGGTAATGCAACGTGCCCTCGCTCCTCGAGTCTCTTTAGAGGCTCGTGAGCGCAGGACCAAGCCGTCATTTCGCGGACGGCAGTACAGAGAGTACAGAGATCGCAAGGTTCGCCCTTGCGATTTCTGCCGTAGCAAAAAAGCGGCTTGCCACATGGAGCACGGCCCACCGTGTAAGTTATGCGAGAAGAAGCATAGAGTCTGTACCTTTGTGGATGTTACTTGGAAAGAAAGGAACGCCGACCCAGCCCTGGCCAATGTGTCCGGTCTTCATCTGCCTGTTGTGGGTGCGGAATCCATCGAGGGCTCTCCAGCACAGAGCCGGATCCAAGGAGAGAACAGTAACTCTCTTTCGCACCGACAAGATGGGCAAAGCCGAGCCGAGATTCCGTCCGAACCGGGGCTGTATCGCTGCGAGAAGTCAAGAGTCGGGCGCCTGCTGTCTGGTGGTGACTCGGTGGCTATGTTGTCACCGTCACGGATTGAGGCCATCCCCACGCCGGTCTCGCACGCTGATGATATTCTGCCGGACCATTCCTCCTTCAGCACTCAAGGAAGTCAGCTTCTGCAGGGGGATGGGCTCCCGCCGCCCGTGTGCTCAGTCATCGAGAACGATTTCACGGCATCGTCGGAACCAAGACTTGACGGCCAAGTCTTGGAAAACGCCAGGAAGAACCTCGAGTCTATGATCAATTCTATATTGGGGCACCGGTTCACCACTCTTTACACACACTTTGTACATCCAAACTTTCCTATAATTTCGGGAAACCAGTTTCCAAGCGACCCTAGTGAACATGAAGTAAACTCAATGCCCCTGTCATTGCTGGCGGCAACCTTTGCTGCCGCCGTCCCCTTTTCGATCTACGACGATGTTCTCTCTACTCGATTGCCTTACCTCCCATCCCAGACTGACCTGTTCCGGCTCGCGTGGACTCTTGTCCTTGACGAGCTGCATGCTCCACGCCTGGCCACTATCCAAACATGCTTGCTGTTATTACAGCAGCATACAACCAACAAGTATGTGTCAGGAACTCCATCCACACCAACTCTGATGAGCACGGTGGTGACCTTGTGTCACTGTCTCGGTCTCCATCGCGATTCGTCACAATGTAGCGCCCTTCCCGCGTGGGAACGGCAAGCGCGGAAACGAATCTGGTGGGCAACGTGGATGATGGAGAAATGGACTACTTTTGGCGAGAGCCTCCCCTCGATGATCAGGCACGACGATTCCGACGTAGAATCCTTGACGAGAGTGGATATGGATGACATGGTATCACGATCGCTGGATTCTCCGCAACATCCCAGCCATTTCCTCTACCTGGTGTCTCTCACCGAGCTTCTCTCGGACATCGTGGAAACTTTCTTCACCGTCAGGTCGTCTGCCCGGACTGCCAAGAACCTCGAAGCCTCTCTCGGTTCGGGAAAAGAGCTGCAGACGAGACTGGAAAGCTGGCGAGACTCCCTGCCTGCAGATATCAAAAGCCAAGCCTCAACTCTCGTGGAAGCCGAGAGGTTCGAGGGGCCACTTTGGCCAGGTCACCTATTGTGCATCCTCAACGCTCGAGGGTCGTTCTATTTGGCATTCCTCACTGTAGAGATCACGCTCTACCGAGCGCTTTTGCGGCCAGTGGCTAATCTAGCGGAAACGGCTGTGAACTTCAGCCGTGCTGAAGAAGATGGTGCCAAGACCGTCATCCTGGGCGCTATGGCGTGTGTAAAAGAGGCAGTCGAGTTTGTCGAGAGTCTTCGCGACATTGATTGGGACGCGTTTTGGCACAGCTGTGAGTACACGATGCGAGCTGCCAAAATCGACAGCCGGAGTGGTATACTCGGTGTGCTCATGCTGACATTTTTGATGCAGGGTCAAGGAACAACTTTTCTATCGTGGTCGTTGTGATGCTGAATCTACTACAATTATTGCGTCCGCGAACCGCAGAACCAAGAACAATGGATCCGCAGCCGGACTCTGGGATTCTCTCGGTGTCATCGCCGCAACTGCAAGATCGAGATCCGCAGCCTCCCAGCGTTAAGCATTTCTTGGGCCTCCGGCAGGAACATAGAGTGCTGCTCGACTATGCAACTCGATGGAGGTGGGCATTGAAGGTTGCTTCAAGCGGTGCAGGTGGGCAGAAAGGTCTCATGAACTTGAGTTTACTCCGGCTCGATGCCGGCCTGTCAGAACTGGGTACCGCTGAGCCTGTCCAGGACGACAAAGATGGACATCTTGAAGCTGCTTGTCCGCCAACGGGCAACTGAACATGAAGGCACGGAGCACAACTCAACCCAGCAGAAATAATCTCGGGGCTTTAACTTTTTGAATCTTCTTTTCTCGGTGAAGCTTGAGTGACCCTACTGTTCTAAGAGAATGGATACCCGGCAGGGCCGAGACAATCAAACATGAGTAATGCGCGATGACGAGGACTTGGAGGTTAAGCCTTGGCTACTCTAGCACTCGCATGGAACTTCGTAATGCACTAATTTTGGACGCTTCTGATTCAGGAAGAATGCGTCTTTTTAGGCTGTCGTGAGAAGAGAAATGGTAAAGAAGGGTTTTCATAAGGAGGCTTGGAATGGGCATGGATAAATTGTCCCCGGTTTATGCAATATGTAGTGTGAACAATGACGGAAAAAACGTCCCGGTGTGGTACAAGAATCTAATACATGTATTGCAGATATTTGCTATGCCATGGCCCTAACCTTACTTAGTTGGTCCTTTTTACTTCTCTGACCTGGCCATTGATTCCTGTGCGATGAGTAGTTCCTTTTCTTAGTTGGCAACATCGAGGAACTAGCAATACAGTCGCTGGGTTAGTTTATACAGGTCCAAATCCAGACTACAATATGATGCGCTTTGGGGGTCAGATGGATCGTAAACATTGATCATCAAAGTCTCGGGGTCGTCATCATCTTCAGGAATGCAATGGTCAAAGGTTATACCATATCCTTCGATGCTACTAGGATGTTAGCATGTATCCACCCACATGAACAGTCACCCGATAGAAAGTCTGCAGTTGACTCTTACGTGTGTTCCCTCGATATATATGGTACTGGCATCGTGGGACGAAGTCAGATGAGTTAGTGGGATATACATCCCGGCGGTAGAGCAGCTTAAAGGCCATTTTTGCGAACCGGATGCCCGCTTCGTCAAAATCGACTGGATACACAATGGGCCGTTCCTGGGAGGGCATATGTATGCCATCTTCGAATACCTGATCAATAAAACTGTTTAAGCCAAGTATCTGAATACGAAGAGGCTTCTCATCCGATGGGAGATGATTTGGATGCGCGGGAGTATGCTCGCATGGTGGGGTAACAAGATGAGCCGGCATATTGCTTTGATTGGTTGCTTTCCAGATTAGCTGCAGGTGGTGGGAGGAAGAGAAAGCGGCGGGAGCGGGCGGCTCTAGTTATAGGCAGACTCCAGTTCCATTCTACTTACATACACAGGTACGTTTTGATATGGGTAGGGGCGAGTACCCAAGCAGTGTCTTCAAGTGATATCTGCCTAATCCACCGTTGTATTCATCCAACCAACAACTAAATAACCACCCAACTAACGACCAACAACCACATATTCACTACGACCAGTCTCTCACGGAGACTGCTGATACTTTTCGGAACGAGGCTGAGAAGCAAGGCACTTGTTTTGATGCGCACAAATGAACATACAAATTGCTCCTCCTCTCAACTTGACCCCAAGCTCGATTCATTGGTCAGCCATGAGCATTATCTAGCCCCCGTTATTTCTCCAACAATTGGTTCAATTGTTGTTCGTCCTTGGATTCGCTGTACATTCGTTTACACCCAAAAATTCTGTGAGCCACTGACATGTTTCTTGAACGATATGACTGCTCTGAATCGAACTGGCACGGATATACATTGCTATAGTCCAGTATCCTGGCCTTTGCATATCGACGGACTTCAACTGGCCCGTAAGTCTCAAGTTGACTGAAGTCCTTACGGTCGCGTGCTAGCGCTCTGTTATTATTTGGTTCAAACTGCAATCGTAGGGAAATGGGTCTTACCTGGCACTTTAAGCTTGCGGTTCTTAAAAGTTAGAAGCAGCAGCGCGATATCAAGCTCGCTCAATGATCCTGAGCAGTTCCTTGCTATGTTGAACGCGTGATATATCTCCTGTCGGGTCATTTCCTGCTCAGTGTCCCAGGAAGAGCGAAGGTCTCGTACCCGAGTCTCCCATAGACCCCCGAACGCGGTATCTCCAAACTCAGGATATAACTCATAGAGTCCACCCTCTACTAAGTCTTGTAGTGAGAAAGTGCATGATTGGCCGCCAAAATTGACCACTCTTCGAGAAATGCCGTGATTGACCACTCCTTGAGAAAGATATTCTCCATTGTCGTATTCTGGATTCTCGAGACGAAACCGGAAAAATTGCTTCTGATCTTCGCTCAATTCCGTATTGTTGAATGCCTTTAGCAGTGTCATATCTCTTACAAATTGCCCTGGTGGAAATTTCTCCGTGTCTATTGCGCAAACACGAACTTCACCTGGAGAGAGATTGCCGATATGAGACCTCCAGATCGCATATTGAATCGCACACATTAGGGAGCTGCTCCAAGACATGAGATTGTCGGATGCACTACCGTCAAAACTGCCTTTAACGAGGTGATTGTAGAGCATTTCCGACGCGCTATGTGTTTCCAGCGACAAAATATCGATCCTACTGCGCTCTGGGTTGCCGCAAACACTCATCGCTGATGCTACAATGTTGTCATCGGTTTTGCCAGAACTTTTCGAGTCAAAGACCCGGAAAAGATAGCGTGGAATATCCTCGAATGGTGGCCCTTCCATAAGTCCTCCAGCAGAAGAAGCAGCTGGTGGGAAGAACAGCGTCGGGCCATCCGGGCAGCTGTTCAATGCTCGAACCCAAAAGCTGAGCCAATTATGGGTTTTTCCCTGCCTTTCTCTTATCGTGCGGGCTTCGCGTGCTTCCAAATCTAGCTCGGCGTAGTGTTCGTCAACATCTACACGATTTTTGTGTTCATCAGACTCTTCGGCTGCCCCGTCCATCAAATAGTAGTAGTCCTCGAGCCCTAGTCTACCATCAGGACGAATAGATTGATGGTAACACTCTTCCGCAATCCGCCATAATACACAAACCTCATTACGAGAGCTAAGGAGGACATTCCGGACATTCTCCATGATTTGCTGATCGAAATACTCTAGCAGCTCATCCGTGCCAGGTCCCCTCTCGCCTCCAAGCAAGATGACACGTTCGTAGATTGATTGCTCCATCGCTTGTATAAGGTCGTTGGCAGCATCCGCAAGCTCCTCGACTTTCCTGTGCATTAAGGAGATTTCTGCCGCAGCTGCGCTACTAGCAATGAAGGCATCACTACCTGAAGCAAGGACCTGTTGCCCCTGTTGGAATGCGGCCGCTGCAATCTGATTGAGGGTAAGTATAGTTTTTGTGAGCGTCGACTGGAGGCGGGTGCGGTGGGCAACTTCGGGGTGATCGGCGAGGTTCACTTCTCCGGTCATATTGGCGTCGTCGTCGAGATCAGCACCTGCTGAAATCATTGGTTCATGCATTCTGGACGGGTCGATACAAAGCGGCTTAGCTAACGAGCGGATGTTGTAAAGATTGGATTGAAGGATGCTGAAATCCAAGTCTTCTTTCAGGGATGCGGGGTCTATTCCCTAATACCTATTTCTTCGTTCCCCGAGGCACATGCTCATATTAATAGAGTTTGTTCATTGCGGTGTGGCTCACCCGGACCGTGTAGTAGAACACAGCAATGGAAGATGCCAGCTCCGATATATCTACACAACGAATACGAAACGCAAAAGATTAAGCTCTGCTAGCCTAAGGCTGCATAAGAGTACAGCCATACAGAAGGAAAACTCCATAAAACTTTATACCAATGACTCCCTTGCCGTTTGGGTGTGCCGCTCTTTACATGTTATTTGTCCTACCCTCTGTCATCTACCTAGTTATCATTCACTTAGCTTCATTCCCATCTGCTATCACGGAAGAAAGTTTGAGTATAAAGTTAAACAATAGAAGACGCCAGACCCGACATCTCCATTGGTCTACTATCACACTAACCTATGCACTTCAAACACTAAGCTTAAGGTACTAACCTAATTAATGTCATACGTCACGCCAGGCCTGATCTTGGCGCCTGCTCTTGAAGGCTATCAGATTACCTCGACCGAGTTTCAAACCCCAAAGCCAACATATTGACATAAAATGTGTTAGCTACTCGAAAGCAGCCCCTGGCTGAAGGATATTTTTCAAACATATCGGGGTTGGTGTCTTTAATCTGAGCTTCAAACATGTCCGCTAAAGGTAATTTACTGTAAAGTTGACGTTTCCTCAATACACCAGCATATATCTTGGGCACTGAATATCCACTTGAATTGCCGTGTGGGTCATGTATTCATGTAAGTTTACTTGGCTGTTGAAAATTCTTCGCTTCATCACCTTGCCTCTTTGACTTCTCATGACCTGATCCATTTTGGGAGAGTTCTCGTTGAAAAGAGAGACTAAAGAATAACGGAAATAGCACCGAGGAGGTTTAACGCGCATCCTTGTCTACTCTTGTTCTCTCAGAGTCCACCTGATCTCCTGTGTTGACCGTATCCTCCTTCTCTATCACCATGATCACAGCATCCTCTGCGACAGGCCGATGCCTGACACCCTTTGGCACGTTGAACATGTCGCCTGGCTTCATGAGAATTTTGCGGGTCTCTGCTCTGGCTCCTCCCAGAGCGGCTCCTTCCTCCATTTCCATTGTGAGCTTTCCAGAAATGAGATAGAAAAGCTCGTCGGTGTTCTGATGGGCATGCCATATGAAAGCACCGTCAATTTTGACGACCTTGACATCGTGATCGTTGGTTGTGGCGACGAGGTGTGGCGACCAATGAGATGTAATAGACGCGATGACATCGGGGACGGAAACTGGCGCTGCCATGTTGGATGTCGAGGTTGCTTATCAAGGGCTCTCGTTTCCGAAAAGAACCAAGGGGAAGGTGAGACGTGAGAGAAATGAATGTAGATGGTATCCGATGTGAAAATTTGAGTAGTTTTCTATTTTCTCGTCTAAACTGTTATAAACTGAGACTACCTACCTTTTATACATATTCTTCTGCCATTGACGTGGTGTGGATGCCGCTATGTGTCTATGTCAAGTACAGGGCGCAAGGGCGAGATTAATACAGAGCGGAGTTCACGGTGTCATGTTAATTACTAAGCGCCATGGACATAGATATATTTTATGAGTTACAATACAAGAGTACAACCCATCATCTTAGTAGTTCAAGTTAATGTAGACAGTCTTGGGCTCAGTAAAGCCCCGCAAGCCGTCCATGCCACTCTCACGCCCAACACCACTCTGCTTGGCGCCACCAAATGGGAGACTGGGAGAAGCGTAGCTCATGCAGTTGACTCCAACCATGCCGCTTTCTGTCTCTGCAACGATACGCATGGCCTTGTTGATGTCCTGGGTGAAGACACCAGCGAACAGGCCGTACTCGGTGTCGTTAGCCTTTGCAAGAGCCTCCTCCTCTGTCTTGAAAGTATTGACGATGGCCACGGGACCGAAGATCTCGGTCTTCACGATTTCTGCATCTTCAGGGACATCAAGGAAGGCAGTCGGAGGGATAAAGTAGCCCTGTGTTATGTTAGCCTAAAGAACGGGGATGATTCAGGGAACAAAATCAACTTGCCTTGTCACTGACATCGATCCCACCCGTAAGCAGCTTATGCTGGGCTTTGGCGCGCTCAATGAAGCCGCGAGCCCTGTCAAACTGTAGTTTGTCGACAATGGGGCCCATCTGAGTGCTGCTCTCGTCAGGGTCACCTACCGTTTTCGCCCTGGCTTCCAAGGCCGCCTTGTAGGCTTCAACAAACTTGGGATAGATGCCTTCCTGGACATAGACACGGCTGGCAGCAACACATGCCTGTCCAGAATTCATCGTGATGCCGTTGACACACCACGCCACGGCGATATCAAGGTTGGCATCGTCGAAGATCATAGCAGGGCTCTTTCCGCCAAGCTCAAGGGTGACGCGCTTGAAGTTGCTCTTAGCGGAGGCTTCCTGAACCTTGCGGCCTGTACCAGCAGATCCCGTGAAGGTGATGCCTCGGATGCGCATGTGGCTCGCTAAGAGGGCGCCCGTGCTACCGTCGCCAGTGAGGACCTGAATGACACCAGGAGGGAATCCGGCCTCCTTGGCCAGCTGACCCAACGCGAGTGACGCAAAGGGAGTCTTCTCGGAGGGCTTGATAATAAAGCAGTTTCCTGTGACGAGAGCTGCGCCGATCTTGTGGCAGAGCACGGCGATTGGTGCGTTGAACGGGATGATTGCGGCGATGACGCCCAGGGGCTCATGGCGGGTGATCTTCATGAATCCGTCTTCCTGCATGTGCGACTCGCCGGGGAACTTGTCTGCCCAGCCGGCGGCGTACCTGATCCCTTCGGCAGCGACATTGATCTCCATGGTACCAAATCCGCCACTGGGCATGCCAAGAGTGACACGGGTTAGTGTTGCGAGGGTCGGCAGGTGTTCGACCATCAGATCAGCGAGCTTGTTGAGTAAATCGCGGCGTTGTCGAGGAAGCGTCTTCTTCCATGTTGGGAATGCGGCCTCGGCGGCGGCGACGGCAGCATCGACGTCGTCTTGGCCGGCTACGGGAACGTCGTTGGCGACGAGGGCTCCATCCTTGGGGTTATAAACTTCAATCGTCTTGGAGCTCTTGCTGGAGACGAACTAGGATTATTAGTTGTTGAAATTCTGCGCCTTTTTCAGTCAATATATCTCCTTACTTCGTTATTGATCCAGAGCTGCTTAGGCAAGTTGTCCTTGTTCCAAGGGAGAGTGAAGCCGCTAGCTTTGGGGGCAGATGAGTAGTCAGGAAAGACCATGGTGAATAAATAGTAGATTAATTTGAGTCTTCGGTATAGATCAAAGCCAGACGTGTGAGTTATAGCTCTGTATCAAAATTGTTATACTTAGGGGTTGCTGACGCAGGCTTTTATACCCAGCCGTCAAGCCGAAGCCTGGGCATCAATGCTACCATCTCTAAACTAACACGGCGATATCCTCAAATCCGCCGCACCATTGGGCTGTTGGATTTCATATTATGACTAGCTTAAGGTCCCTGCACCCCACGGCGGGGATATTCTTTAAGTCCGCCGCGCTAAGAAGTATCCTGGCATCGCATCTTTAGCCTACATCAGAAGCCAAGGGTGAGACGATTTACGTCTGCATAGCGACGCGAGGATGCTGATCTACCCTTGAATCGCCGAGAATAAGCGGTCAGCATGGAAAGTCTACAACAACTCTTGATAACCAAGATGAGGGAAATCTGAACTCTATCGGAAATGGCTTATGCATATGCCAAATTCAAATAAGCTCTTGACATCCATATGGATTCCAAAAAGACGTTCCAAGTACTTCTCGAGTCAGCTGAGTGTGAAAACGAGCTATACTCGCCTATCATGTTGAATTTATAGACAACGGCATGTCTTTCCAAACTCCGCTCAAATGAGGTCCACTTCCCAAATCAAACCTTGGAATAGAGCGTCAGAGTCCTACAATATATCTATATCCTTAAAAGTATTACATGAGGCCTGAATACTAATCTTTTGCCGCTGGCAAATCAAGTTGAGGCGCAACATACGCTCGTATGATGACTTCTAGTTTTTTGGGTCTCGTACTGATTAGCTCTTCTGCATCGGACCCGAGCTGCCATGGAGGAGACGATCCCACCTTAGGCTGACTCATACCGTATACACGATCGTGTCGGTTTGCTGTCTCAAGTTACTCACAGGTGGTAGTAACCGAATGGAGAGTTGATAAATGATTCACGCCACACATTCACTTTCTCTTTCGACAGGTGGGGAATTCAAGTTGAGCTGAATCATAAGTGAGGCGGCCCGCGTGAGACTGACCAGTGATGACGGATGACCAAGTTTAGTGAATTGTGACCATGTCACGCGTCAGGAATGAGACGCGAATGCAGGTCTCATCTCACATATCCAAGCCATATAGCACACATCAACTACTATGGTAAGCGACGGTCATACGGGTCCATGTTAGAAACAGAATCGATAAGTTTCTGAGATCTAAAGTGTTTGCAGGGTATCTAATCTAATCCGAATCCGAGTCTATGCTTTCATGTTGTTTCCTAGAAAGTGCAGTGTGTCTCACCAGACCTGCACCAACAAATGCATAAAAATAACATGCTGCGCTTATGAAGAATGGCAGCCCGAGCCACAGCAGATTTTCCCACCCAATCGCAATGGAGAAAGAGTGATGAATGATGAGCGACCCAGTCGCCGAAACAAGGGCATCTCCAACAGCCATGAGGGTATATAGCACTGAGATCTTGTCGCGATCAACCATGTCTGTTAAGATCGATTGGAGCACAGGGCGTGCGCCTGAGCCGAAGGAGAATGCTGAGAGTCCTATCTTGGTATTAGTATTCTTCCCGAAACTGTCTTGTGATTGAGCATATACCTAGCATGAAGGTAACCAATGTCGTAGATAATGCCATAATCACGCACGAGAAGGACATGATCAGAAATCCGTATCGAACAATATACATGTCCACCTTGCGGAATGCAATATGAAGTTTAGTCTCAGCGATGTGTTTCATTAGTGGTATTATCGCAACAAGAACAAGACAGGTTTCCAAAGATGGGATCGATGACAAGCGGCTGGACTAATTGATTGTTAGTCGAGCGTATGAAGATCACCACGAGGCGGGTCATGGAATACTTACCGTAGCAAAGGACAGCCCGAACCTCCTCGGGATATACTGTATCATTACCCCATATATCGTATCAATCAACTTGGTTATAGGGAAGATGGCTAGTAGAATTAGAATATTTGGATTCTGACAGATCTCAACCACAGCGCGAATGCCTTTGAGCAGAGATCCCAGCCCCAAAATGCTCTCTTCTTCAGGAATTCCACTCTCACATTCTCGCGCTATTTTAGCCACCTGTTTCGGCTTCATAAAGAAGAGCGTGAGGAGACATGTTGTGCAGACAGGAAAAACGAGAACCAGTGGCATATACTCGAGCTTTTTCTCAAGGAGGAGCGCCGCGATGTTGACCGCGCCAATCTCGGTCACTGCTTGCGCACCCGAGAAGAATGAATAACAAAGAGATCTAACTTGGATTAGGACTACTAGCGGTTAAATGGAAATACTTTTGTTCGCTTACCTGCTCGAGCCCGGGATGTGCTTTGCAGCAATTGAGTAGACGACTGAATACAGAACGGGCGCGCCGCCCCCGATTACTTGGAAGAGAGGCGCAAGCACAACAGTCCAGATCGGAAGTGCAGACTTAGAGAAGGAAACCAGCAGAATCCAAGCACAGGCAATCGAAACTCCCAGGAGACTCAGCCCGGCCACCAACCGCTCGCCGCATCGGTTCACGAGAAGGCCATATGGCAGCGTGAGGAAGAGGCCGACAAGGGCCTCCAGCGCAACCAAGTACCCGCGCAGATCTGCGACATACTGTTGGACTCCAGGAGAACCACAGAAATCTCCAGGGATGTTCTGGCCAGCTCGTTTGGGTACTTCAGGGTTCGCGGCAGTATATTGTTCGTGACAGACCCCGAGCTCCAGCAGCTGCAGCGTCGAGAAATATCTAAAGACATCTGCTACGGCAAAGAGGAGGATGAAAATGGCAGCTAAACCTGCAGTCTGTATCCCGTCTCTCGTCCACTCGGAAACATTTGTGTGTGAATAAGCCGGCTCTTGCCGATCAGAATCACCCACCGGTATGAGCGGAGATGCTTCCGTCGCTTCATCCATGGAGGGCATGGTAAACTAGTCTCGTACAACCCTGGAGGACTCTTGACACTACTCGATCTAGTCTTCCCCATATCAGTGAGGGATCTTTCCACATAATAAAGACGCGAGACCGCGATGTGACGGTAGGGCAGTCTCACGTGGAGCCCAAGATAAGGGCAGACGGCATGTGCCTGCGATGTTTCAGAATGATGCGCTGTCGGCATTCATTCCATGCCGTGCCTGACCGTGGCTGGCTACTGAATTATGCATGTGTCCGTTTTGGGCGTCCGTCACTCGACCTTCGTGCCAGCCCGGCGTTTCGCATATCATATCTGCATATCCAGCTCGCTTCGAAATATGACAGAAATGCTGTGCCACGCACACCGGTTTTCAGCAGTAGAAGTGCGTCACGCCCCGCTCCGAACACGGGAGAGATCTTCTAGCACAATCCTGACACCCCTTTGCGCGGTTTTTACACTCGTTGTGGCGCTTTGGAGTCAGGCAGAGACGCACGGTGATCACTTACGATCGTTCTGCTCACCATAAGATCGGAAACTAAACCATAAGATCGGAAACTAGTTCGGCCAGCCAATGAAGAAGAAGGGAAGAGTATCACTAACCACCCAGCAGCAGAAAAAGGTCCCATGGGAGCACGAGCTGAGCAAAATAAGGCTTGAGTTGGCCCGCGTGAGGAGCGACTTTCTACAAGTCTCAAACCTGAGCTCACGCCGGGCGGTTAGCTTTCGCTATCCCTCTGACCTACACACCATCTTCCGAATTTCCTGTCACGCAAGCGGATCGGGTAAATACACCGAGAGCCTTGTCTAGCTTTCCAAGAATAAGGAGGGTACCTAGCAATGACGATGATATTCAAGCAAGATGGCGTTTTGGGGTAACCTAGAAAGTTTAATGAAAGCCAGGTTGTATCCCCGAAAAAGGAGCATCGCTATTGGTAGATATGACGGCGAGATACGCCCGTGAATACGAGGTGCAATACAACCCAACAAAGTGGTCAACGATGCGACAAAGACATGTTGACCCAGGCCCATCATCCCGTGCCACAGTATGCGAGGGGTTACGAATGTACAGCAAAAAAGCTGCAAGTGCATGGCGATATTATCTTCTGGGGCAATTTCTCTAGCCAGCTGCTCAGTTACCTGTTGCAAATTTACTCGTCGGGGACATCAGGTTGGCGTCATAGAGGAGGGGAAATACGCATATCACCCTATGATATTCCAGAGTACAACGTCGGTCAACCAACTCAGATGCGCTGTAACGTTCCCATGCAATAGCGAGGTAATAAGTGTATAAATGTTTCCTTCTCACTACACCAAGTAGCTGCCTCGCGGACTATTGGAGGTCCTGATGCAAGTCCTTGCGATATCGCTGCCCTGCAGCTAGAACCATTTATAACTACAGTGTAGAAAATAAGAACGTGGCCGCGCGTTTTGAATCTCTACGGAGACTTTTTCAACGTGTAGAGTCATTAGAAAAAGCAAATATGGCAGTCATAGGTCACTTCGGGTTGGGCAACTAGTTGCAAGAGCTTTCATTTGAGGGATAGCTTTAAATATACTGACGTCTTACTATGTGTTGACGAAGAGTACATAGCTTTAGCATACCGCAAGCGCTGGGAAGTAAATGCTATTATTATTGGAGGAAATATATGCAGCTATCAACACAAATGTGTAACAATATAAGACCTGCAATGAAACATACATTTACTTCCGCCGATTTGATTGGACCTGAGATATTGGGCATTGCATTTGGGCACACCGTCATTTTGCGGGGCAAATGAAACCACGCCGCAGTCCGCAGCTTCTTTGCCAACTCTTTCTCCTCTCTACACAGTCTCAACAAGAATCATCGAATCTGTAGCTATGGATAACACCAGTACTCTTGAGCCTCCACGGGGCCCCGCCCTCCCCCTCGAGATCTGGATCATTATCGCCCAGCATCTCCCTAAGTTGGGCGACGTGGCGGCCCTCGCAGGCGTCTCACAGGCACATCACGACGTGCTCAACTCTGTGCTGTATAGAGTTGCTGCCTCTTCAGATAGCAGGCTAAGGGCCATCTTCTGGGGCGTAGTCCATGACCTGCCACGCACAGTTACCAGCTGCATCGTCGCGGGCATCGATGTCAACAGCACTTGGGAGAATCAGAGCGGTCATCGTGGCCAGCCAAACGATATCCCAGCCCACGGCGATACTGGGACGGAAATCACCATGCCAGGGTCTCTCTACGCCACATACTGGTCGCCGATTCATGTTGCTGCGGCTCACGGCAATGTTGAGATCTTGGACATTCTGCGTCGAAACGGCGCCCAGCTTGACAAGGCGTGTCACGGCATGTGCAGATGCCATCGATGGCCGCTGGGCATCAATGTGCTCGGCTCAAGAACAAATATCGGGCCTGGGCCGCCAGACTGGACAGCGTTCCACATGGCCATCTGTTCGGGTCCGTCCCTCTCTGCGGTGAAATATCTCTTGAAGCATGTGTCCATGGACGTGGAGACCGTGGAACGACAACCAGACCGCAGACGCGTGGGCCTGACCCCTCTGCACACTGCCTGCATAGCTGGACGTGTCGATATCGTCAAGTGGCTACTCGATGATGTTGGGGGCATTGACCTCGAGGCCCATGACGACTACAACCGACAGACTCCGTTGGCATGTGCTTATCTCTACGGAAAGCCAGCCTGCTTTGACTACTTGCTCAGTCGCGGCGCAGACATCAACACCACCGCCCCCAGGCTGACCGACCTCGAACTCGACCACCTAGATCTTGTGTCCCCCCCGACCCATAAGGGAACATTGCTATACCACGCCATCGCATGCCGCAGATTCAAGCAAGCCAGAAAGTTGATCGAGCGCGGGGCGGATCCGGTACTGGCGGATAGACTGCGAGGCGCCGAGAAACCTCTCATCCATTTGGTCTGCAGCATCCCTTGGAACATGATTTCCAACTGGTCCAAAGAAAGTGACAAAGAAGATGGGGTCGAGCTGCTAGATTGTTTCCTCGAGTCAGGTTTGGATTTCAACACCAGTAGTGAAGGCCACACCGCGCTGGGCCATGCCGCTGGTGCGACGAACACCGAGGCCGTTCGTCGTCTGGCGCAAGCTGGTGCCTGTGTCGACGGAGATCCTGAGAAAGACCGGTGCACCCCTCTTGCATATGCTTGTGAGAACACATGGAACACGCCGTTGCTGGAGCTGGTCGAGCTCCTCCTCGGCCTCGGCGCCTCGCCCAATGCAATAGCTGAAAATACTGTCTCACCTTTGTGGAATCTTTCCTCAATATGCTACGGAGAGCCCGACACTAAAGAAGTTACGGAACTGCTTCTTCGCCATGGGTCGACGCCCGGACGCGGAAGAGGCTCGACTACTGAACCAACTATTCTATCAGAATTCCCGTTTACCATGAATGAAGATCGAGAGACTACGGCTCTCGAGCAGCGATTGAGAGACAGGAATCTTGAAGAGTTCAAATTGCTCCTCGCATACTATAGCCCCAGCGAAGCCGAAGTCCTGACCTTCTGGGAGATAGCCTGCGACAAAAAGGATCAGGATAGTGCTCGCTATATCCTTTCTCAGGACCAGGATTGCACAATTGCCCGTCTGGCACACCACCCTCTTGTCCGCTTCCTCTCTGCTGATACCCGCGACACTAGCAGTTGTAGTGACATTCTGGTGACTCTCCTGGAGCAAGGGGCCGACCCGCACCTCTTGTGGTTTTCGTATGATCCATTAGAGTACCTGCTACATCAGTGGAAATGGCCCTTGTCCGCGAAGCTTCCAGTCTATAAGGCCCTCATGGAGGCGGGATCCTCCATTCATAAGCCGGTGGAGTTTTTGCCACGTCCGGGCCGGATGATCATCGCTACCCCTCTGGGATTGGCAATCCAGGGACTAGAGCCCTATACGAAGGTAGTCGACTGTCTATTAGAACACCAGCCGTTGAGGAGTCACGGCCAAGCCCTGCTGGGCGAATATATCTCTGAAGCGTGCTGCCTCGGCAATGTGAAAGCATTGCAAGCAATCATTCGATCCACGGAGGCGGCTCTTCCGATCATTGAGAGAGACGCCATTGGGCTGATCCACAGCCTCCTTGATAAACTCATTTCGAAGCAAAAATATGTTCGAGACATGATGGCAACCATTGACTGTTTGGAGCTTCTTCTGAAGTCAGGCGCTGTTGACATCACTTCCAATCAATCAAGGAACGAAGGCCATCAAACAATCAAGGACAGGCTGCTCAAGTATACCCACATCCCTCCATTACTCGTAAAGTCCAATCTGGACCGAGCAGCTGCCTGGTGCTTCCAGCAACGAATGGAATTGGGAGTTTTGGATGAGGCAGTGACCTTCAAACCTCAGACTATGTCGATGTACTTCCAGCTCAAGCTAAAGATTTATCACGTCGGGGTGATAGTCGGCCACCCACAGAGACAACTAAAAATCGTTCCGATATATAAGCAAACAACTGGGCGCGTCAGACATTGCTAGCCATAATAACATACCACAACGCTGATGACAGATTATTGTGGCGTATACGGCGCGAAATGAGGTTGATAGTCATTCTTTGATGTTTCTACGTAAAGTGCCGGGGCTTGGGAACTCAGCACGAGCTCGAAAACCCTGTGTCCCTTTGTCTACAAGGCGTCTATTATGGGGGGCGTTGCTAATGTAAATGTTCGTTGATATGTCTTAGAAATTAGGAGTCATCGGTAGGGATATGATAGCCATAATTACGAACGGGCTAAGGATATCAAATCACGAAATAACGGCGAGGATACGGGGCGCCTGGGATTTGCCACGCACGGAAGGACATTCTCTCACGAAATTAGAATGACTCCATACTCAGGTTTTTGGGAGGGGAGACTGATCACTATGGGATGCACAAAATACGAAAAGAAAAGGTTTGGGTCTCGGATTCGACCACGCTTGGCTTTCGTCATCTCCTTTTTGAAATTAATAAGTACCATAAATTTTGGTAGTTTGAAATCTTATCGGCGAGGCCGCTCTTCCTTGCATTACAAAGTTTGTTCTGCTTGGGATCATATCAAGGTTGAAAGGGGCGAAAAGAGTAGCTAGCCGGGCGTAATTAAATTTGCTTCTACAAACTTAACCGTGCGAACAATGGCTCATAAGTGGCCGCATGCCCCCTTTCTTTGCCCACGTTCTAATGGGAAGCTCATACTTCAAGCAAGTTTTGCGCATACAATGAAGCTCACAAAGAAACTCAGTGGGTGGCTCCAGAAATGGGGCTTCTACACGGATACACGGAGAAAGAACGCACTCCAAAAGTGGAAGCAGCAGACTGAGGCCTCAATTTTCTTATTGGAAAAGGAGTTCGATCCTTTGATTGCTCGAGCCGTATTCAATCAACACCGTAGCTCGGTCCTATACAAGCTTCCTGACGAAGCTTGGGTTCAGATCTTTGGGCTTCTTTACCAAGACGAAATCTCGTTCTTCATAATCCGCCAAGTGTGCAGACGATTTCGTCGACTTCTGCAATCAAGAGAACTTCGTCATCATCGCTTTTCACCAGTCCGCAGTTATGGTCTGCCCAATAGCCAGAATGGCGGATATCTGTTTCTTAAATCGAAAGGCGCAGTGATGAATCTTGTCCCCTCTCCCGCATTCTTGCACGAGCCAGAGGCAGACGCAGCCCTGCGTGCCAACATATGCCATCTCCTTCATATCGATACTTTCTGCAACGACTGTCTAAAATCCGATAAACGCCGGCGGTCTGGAAAGTTGGAACTTGACAAGGGATATTGCAAGTTCCTTGGCCCTGGAAAACAATATTACTGCCATGTGTGCGCCGCAAGCCACCCCTATGCGATGTTTTCACGAGAGGGGAAGAAGCAACGGACATGTAACGGCGTCAAAGGCCATGTTCGAGTCTGCGAGCACCAGACCATCTCGTGGTCACAAATGAGATCCTTCCTCGGGGAGTGCAAAGCTAAGATACCTCGCACGGCCCGACCAGATTTCGAAGTTGAGATAACCATGAAGGCCTGTGGTCATTCCGATCATCTGAGTCACCGCACGGAATGCCACCCTTTCGAGGTCAATGGGCCTGCCGCCCGACTCTTCTACAAGAAATCAGGAGAGTGGAGGGTGGAGCTTACCTGGGAGCCTCAATCCGGGCCAGGCAAGTTCAAACTATATCAACCAGGGAAGTTCGATGCCGGCGAGATGCGCGAGCGGTTCCTCTCCTATCGTTCGAGTGCCGCACGCTTTATCGTTCCAGCGCTTCTACCGAACCACCTCCCAGAAATGACCTGTTTCCGTCTGAATGAGTGTGACTGTCTCAGCTATGGGACTGACGAGGAGGAAATTCGTACTCTTCTCCACGGGGATGAGGCACCCCTAGCGCAAGAGAACATAAAGAGAACTCACTCAGCTCTGGATAGTGTGCATGGGCAGCCTGGCAGCCACCAACAGCCCTATGAACCTTCTCAGCGAGCTCATGTCCGGGTTCAACTTTGTCCACGAGCATTGAACAACCAGCCGACCAAGAGATCTCCATGTGTAGTGACAATCTACAAGAGGATCATTACAGGATCTTGTCTTGGGGAACCCGAGGAAGCAATGCCCAGCCACGATTGGTTCCACGCTATGGATCGGGCCTCATATAGGGAGTATGGAAATGGAGGAAAGGCAGAGGCGTGCAAGCGTATGGATCCAGCCTGCAGGAACTCGTATCCGCTAGGCGTTCTGGGTTGCTACGATCGCGATGTCACCCTGTGCAAGTCAAATAGGGGAGATTGCTGTCGACTGCACTCGGATAAACGCAAGCATCGTAACTCAAGCGGCAGTTCTACGTTGAACCAAGATATGTTATTGCTAAATGTATGTATGAATGCAGCTATTGCTTGTTCCACAACTCAATAGGTGAGTCGACAAGAAAGCCCAAGTCGACTTGAACAGCTATGAGGAAACATTTCAGCGTTTGTATAATAGAGCTACTCCGATATAGAAAGTTAGACCGAAATAAATAAACAAATAAGAAAAATCAAGCATTGTCTTGAGAGCTTGATAACTAATTCGCACGAGCTCTTTAGCAATGGTTGTAACAGCAGTGTCTCTCCCACGATGTATATATCTTTGCTATTCTAATCTCAGCAACCTAGCTACATTACTTCTGTAGATATTATGATCCTCTCATTGCTACTCTCTTATTTGTAGGAATCGAAGAGCTTCTGAAACTTCTCGCGTTGCTCCTGGTCACCAACCCACACATCCTCAACCCTGTCCACAACTTCGATGTTTGTACCGACGAACATAGCAACAAAGCCATTTCCGGGAGCACTCTTATCGATGAAACGAGCCTCGTCAACGGCTACGACATTGACGTAGTAAGGGTGGGAAAGCATAGCGATCAGAGCCTCGGGCGACTCGTAGAGGAACATTGCAATGCCATCAAACTCAACGAGCTCAGTAGAAGATGGACCGTCAGCCCCGGCTTGTGTCGGCAGGATCTTGCCGCCGACTTGGATCTGAAGCGACCTCCGTATTAGCAACACTTCAAAGGGACGTAAACGATGTGATTTTTTGGGCTGATTCAGCATACCTGCTGGTAGCGGCTAATATTGAAATGGGCGGCTAACGGGGCAACTCTGGGGGCGTGCTCGGTCTGCCAGTACTTCCAGAACTCTTCTCGCGTAAAAGAGGGATGTCGCTTGATGTAGGTGACATGTTGGGTCTGCCCAGTGGCAGACTTGGGCTTCGCGGAGCCGTCTTGAGAGGTCCCAGTCATAGCTGCAAGGTTCAATACAACAGAAACAAAGCGAACCGCTTTGTTGCTGACTTCTTCCTACTATATATCAAAGATCTCCAAGGGCGATAAAAGGTTGATTTAGTTGAAGGAAGACCAGCAGGATCTGAAGCTTGTGAAAGGAAAACCCAAGGACCAAAAGCCATTCAATTGACTGTTGGCTCCAGGAAGAATAGGTATCTTCATATTTATATTAGCAGATAAGCTACTTTGTTACGTACAGCTCGCGTCCTGCTTACATTAGGTGGAATCTATAACCCAGTAGGGCAACGTGTCATCATTACACAACTAACGCCACAACTAATATCTTGATAATTGTCCTCTATTCCTGTTTCAGATGTGCTATTACTTAGTTCTGATCCAAATTTGTGTCCCTTAACCAAGATACTACATTCTTTCAAGTCATCGATGTTCAATGTATCCAGCGTACATCCTACATGATGTACACATTGTGACCCACGATTACACAAGTAAGGGTATACTATATTTCAAATTGATTGGCCATTGGCCATCATGAGGAAGCAACTTTACAGCTACTGTTGTTTTACATTCATGGACAAGATCAGCTTCCAAATATGTGTATGTGAGGTAAGCAAGGAAAAGAGCTAAGTTAACATATATAGCTAAAAGGAAATACTTAAGGCCACATGCTACTTAGCCACCTTGACACAGGCCAAGATGAATGTATATTTTATAATTTATTCAATTGCTCAAGCACAGCTTTGTTACGTGGTGGAAAGAAAGAAGATGTGCAAACCGAATAATCCCATACTTGCGGCCCCTTTCAAAAGCACTCTTTCATAATAACCCGTGTCCTCTCGTACGGCACAGTGGAAGTTTGCCAAGACATTCCTAAGACCACCTAGTTGGTGCCACGAAGTTCTCTAGCTTCAAATCATGCCTCGGGAGTAACTAAGACCACAATATATTTCTTGGCCAATATGATGGTAGGAACTTCGCTAAGGGCTTCCACCAAGCTGAATAGGCATCAGACTAACTGCATAATGAATACCACTAGCCTTCAAAAGGATTCAATATATACCACGGGCCGCATGATGATGAAAGAAGACTGGCATCGTAGCCCACTAGCGTGATTATCAAATTGTTTGATGTTGGTTGTGTAGCAATCTCGGGCAGCAGACAAGAAATCATTTATGTGCTTCTTTTTCAATCCTAGACGGACAAATGTCGCTGATGTAACTTGCATACGCTGAACTCACACCAAGTTGCCTATTTTGATAACGGGGAGATAGCTTGATTCCTTTTTCTGAATTATCACCTCCTCCACATTGTCGGCTGAACAAAGGGTCTTTCACATAATGAAAGAGCTGTAGTGGCTGCTTGTGAGACCAACAAATGCCAATAACACCAACGCGATTCGTAATCCGACGCGCCGGACTGGCTCCCCCTCCCTTTTCTGTTACCGTGAACGCAGCTTCCTCCTAGCATCCCTTATCTGTTGCACAAATCAACAGCACGGCAGAGAAACGGAAACATAGCAGTTCTGTACAGATACAGGGGTAGCCATGCTTTGGAATTCCATTGTGGCCCTCTTTGGGCCCTTTTTGCACGAAAGAACTATCGTCATTCTGTTACAATGCTAGCACTCCTTGGATGGAGGTTTTGGCGGTTCACTGTCCGGCCTTTCCTGCACCCATCAGCGCCTAAAGAGCTGCCTTACTGAATTCCTTGTATGTTGTGATCTCATTGGACTGTGTGGCAATTCAGCAAAACTTACAGATACAGTCATCGGTACTCTGGAACCTAATACATGAATTCTACGTATCCAGCTGGCTGATACTACTTTCCAGGTCACGTTCGTGCATTCTTCATGGATTTCAATGAAGCCATCGACAATGGAAGGTTGGTATCGATCGCAGATCCCTTTTTATTATATTCAATTAACCGTTTAGTACCTTTTAGGAACTATTTCGGAGGGTCGGATACGCCTTTCAGCATCACGGTTGGCGGAGTGCAGATCTACATCTGTTGCGCCCCTGAGGACGTTGCCAGTCTATACCGCAACACCACCACAATATCCTACCAACACGTCGTCGAGGGCATGTACCGCGGCATTGGCTTCACCGGCTTGGCTTTCCATAAGATGTTTCATACTGACCCTTCAGCGAAACACAACATCGGCATGAGTCATCTCCTACCGCCTAGCCACATGATCGTCGAGTATCATCGGTGCCAGCTCAAATCAGGTGAACCCATTGATGAGCTTTTGCAAAACAGGGTACACCCTGGGATTGATCGCCGACTCCAAGGCGTCGTGGAGGGGACCAGCCTTTCCATCATCGGAACCTCGGGCAGTGAGACTACCGTTTCTCTCCTCAAGCTATGCACAGATCTATTCCTCCATTCGACAGCGACTGCATATCTGGGTCAGAAGATCTGTCAGGTCAATCCAAAATTCTTGGATTACTTTGAGGTTTGGGAGCGAGAGAACTGGAAGTATATGTTTAAAATCCCCGCATTCATGGGCAGGGACATGATCTGGGCCCGTGACGGGATCATTAGCACATTTGCCGAGTACCTCTCTATCCCGGCGGAAGAGAGATCTGACTGCAACGATTTCGTGAGGTCCGTTGAAGCCATGTTGCGAGACGTGGGACTTTTTGAGCAAGACATGGCAAAGGTGTTCTTGCTACACTTCTGGGCGTAAGAGGCCTTTCTCTGCTTTCGAGCGTAGGCCACGATAACTAACTCAAATAACGGTAGCATTTTAGGAAATGTTTACAAAGCTGCTTTCTGGACAATAGCGCACATTGTCTACGATGAAACCCTCCCTCGGTTAATCCGTGCTGAGCTTTTGCCTGTGTATCGAGAGGGGAGGGTAGTCACGGCTTGCTTAGACCATTGCCCCCTACTAGAGTCCTTGATAAATGAGGTTCTCCGCCTGACAGTCACAACCGCCCTTCTTCGTGATGTCACTTCACCTACCACTCTTCGAGACGTCACCATTCCATCTGGCAGCAAGGTCTAACTCCTCCTCGTTTTCTGTCTCAACACAGCTACTGACAAGATTTCAGGTCCCTTTAAGCCAGTTGCATCGGAACCAAGATGTCCGGGGCATTGAGCCTCTTGTTCTAGATTCAGCTCGCTTTCGGGATAGCCCAAAGCTACTTAATTCAAAATCATTTCGCCCTTTTGGCGGTGGTCAGACCATTTGTCCGGGTCGTTTTCTAGCTAAGCAAAGTATCAAATACACGATCGCCTCTTTATTTATGAGGTTTGATTTGGGAATAGACGTTGAGATGACTCGGAAGGCAGTTGGGGGAGATGGATCAAAGCTCAATTTTCCTCAGATGGACAGCACCAAGCCAAATCCCGGTGCCAGCTTGCCGGTCCAGGGACAAGATGTATATCTAGTTTTGAAGGAGAGGGGCAACTCTAAGTAGGCAGATCGTTTCAAAAGCAGATGACCTTCCGATCCGTCTCACCTCCCTACCACGACTGCAGAAGCGAACGGATGTATTGGCATGATCATTACCTAGCTAATAGCGAGCACTAACCATTGATCCCGAAGATTTTGATCTGAAGAACTCACGTTATTATGAAATACATTCTCTTAATATCCAAATGGCATTTCTGCCAGTGACGTCCAAGACAAATTGCGGTTTGTTGGCCTTTTGCATGATAGCAGTCATAGAGAAGCCAGTAGAGACGCGCAGCCCTTGAGGCCGGAGAGGTCTGCAATGGAGATCTTGTTCATGCCGGCGCCCATGGTCTATGGGTGGAGGAATGGGTCAAAAGACTGAAATGATCGATCGGGGACATAGGCGGGCGATTACGCCCCTTTTCAGCCGTGCGTTCTTCCACATAGTGTTGAGCCAAAATGGCGCGCGACAGTGCGTGAAAATGGAGATTGCAGAGCCAAAACGCGTATGCCGACCCATGTTATCGTGAATGGGGGTTGATGGTTCCGGTGATGGAATGCTACCCTATACTGTTCCTTAAGTCGAGGGGGTTACATTCACCAAGACAGTATACAAGAGATTTATGTTACTTTAACTTGATGCTAATGTTCAAAAAAAAAAAGTTAGAATATTCTTAGTCTTAATATTATGCGCGACGATATGACAAAAAGCTTCAATCTGGATAATCTGGGACGATGGTTTAGGCGCATTTGGACAATCAAGGCAACGGCATCAGTGATGTGGTTCTAGACTTAGCTTAGGCTACCTAAAGCTTGGAAACAAGGCTCATGGTTAGCATTTAGTGAATTACGTGCAACATGAGCGCAACTATATCGGGGACGGGCATGAATAAACTCCCAACTCGAATCTAAATTAAATTTTAATCTAATGCTCCTCGTTTCCGAAGCTTTCATGCGTGAGCATCATGCTTTGACGAGGCAAGGGCGAAACCGACGCGCTGCCGACGAGCACCAAAACGGTACGTTCTGCCAGGCTTCACCGCCCTTCACCCACAACGCCCACAATTTGGGCGCAAAAAGTTCGATATTTACAACTTCGTTGGACAAGAAATCGCCGTCGGACCGCCCCCCGCAGAACCTCACTTCGCCGCAAACGATCCCTTCCCGAGAGAAGTCGATACCTACGTTTCGACACCCCGAACAGCAGCGAAATTCCCAAGATGAGCGATTCTCAGAAGGAAGCACCTCAGGCGGTGCAGGTCGATGCTCTGGTGAGTCGAATCGAAAACTTGCCCCACCAACCCCCCCTCACCACCAAAATCATCTCGAATGCCCTCATTTCGAGCCAGCTCCGAGGGTTGCGCGCGCCCTGGCAGACAAAAGCTAATGCCATGTGACTGTAGGTGGTCATCAAGATCGCCAAGCACTGCGCCTCGGCCTTTCCCACCACCGCTACCGGCGCCATTGTCGGAATGGACACAGACAGCCTGATCGAGGTCACCAACTCATTCCCTTTCCCTACCGTCGAGGGCTCCTCCACCGACTCCCACCAGAACGATGCCTCCTCCATCGCCGCCCAGGCACCTCGCCAGAAGAGCAGCCTGAGCTACACAAACGAGATGATCCGACACCTGAAGGAGGTCAATGTTGACGCCAACAGCGTTGGCTGGTACACCAGCGCCACGATGGGCAACTTTGTCAACATGCACTTCATCGAGAACCAGGTCCACTACCAGAAGGAGAGCAAGACGACTGTCGCCCTTGTCTACGACGCCAGCAAGAGCTCACTGGGAAACTTGACTCTGAGAGCATTCCGACTTTCCCCGGCATTCATGACCGCCTACAAGGATACCAAGTTCACTACTGAGCAGTGAGTACTTTACCGGCACGCGTCACGAGGATCTCGTACGCTAGCATCATGATATCACGCATAATTTCTAACTCGCTTTATTATAGCCTGCAAAAGTCGAAGCTTACCTTCCGGGACATTCTGACTGAGCTCCCCGTCACCATCCGCAACTCCCACCTCCTCACTTCCTTCCTTCACCAGCTCCCCGCTGCTCCCACGGAAGAGACCATCGAGCCTCCCAGCTCCCTGTCGGACATCCACAACAGCCAGATCAAGCCCGCGCTGAACCCCTCAATCGATACCCTCGATCTCTCCATCGACCCTCTGCTGGAGAAGACCTGCGACCTCCTCCTCGAGAGCATCGAGACGCACTACACCGACCTCAACAACTTCCAGTTCTACCAGCGCCAGCTCGGCCGTGAGCAGGCCAAGATCTCGCAATGGCAGGCCAAGCGCAAGGCCGAGAACGCCCAGCGCGTGCTCGCCAAGCAGGCCCCCCTCCCCGAGGACGAGTGGCAGAGGCTCTTCAAGCTGCCCCAGGAGCCCAGCAGGCTAGAGGGCATGCTGAACGCCAAGCAGGTCGAGCAATACAGCAAGCAGGTGGATGGATTCACAGCAAACATCAGCGCCAAGATGTTCGCCGTCCGCGAGAACCTTGCACCCCAGTAGGGTTCTTCTTCTCAAGGCCGCCGCGGAGAAGGAGGGTTAAGAGAGGAAGGGTTTTTGCGTTCGTGTCTACATCATCTACATATTGCCACCGTGAGAGAAGGGCTGGGCTCACTCTTTATTCATCAAAAAGGGGGGATAGCACTACAAGGCTGGCGGAATGGCTGGATGGTTGCATTGTTGGCGTTCCGGGCAATGTGGAAAAGGTTTAATGAAATATACTTGTTACCGTTACCTGGTCTTTCGTTCCACTAGATTTAGAGCGATCTATAGAGTGAAGAATGTACGAGGAAGCAACACGAATACGTGTGGCAGCTAGACCTATAATCACCGTGCCTATACCAGAAGGGGGTGATGTTTGTCCATCACCGCTACTCAACAATGGAGGTACCTCCGCAACAATCTTATCTCTGGAGGAGGGTCGAGGGGCTCGGGATTTGTTAGTGGGTACAAGTGAGGGGCAGGCAGGCCGGTTGGGAAAAAAAAAAGTTGCCCCGCTAGCAGAAGGACCTCCAGTAAGGGCCTGTGACAGGGTCCACGTGTAAATTGTACTTGCGGACAGCTCCAGTACAGGTACTGTGTGGTGAGCTTTGTGGTGAGAGATACCTGAGGGGGGCGTTGAGCGAGGTACCTGTTCCGGCAGGTTACGCGCCCCGTATCTTCGCCTAAGGCTCCGTCCCTGACAACAAAAAACTTCCAGGGACTGTCGGTGCTGGCTGAGGAGGAATTGAGTTTGGATGCAGCTGGGAATGGGAGGAATTGTCAAGTAATGGGAACGATATGATGTGAAGACAGGTGATAGACTAGAATAGAAGAGCCTCCTCGCCCTTGCAGCCCTTGCAGCAACATGACACCAGGCGTTCGAGTGTCTTATCTGGCCTGCTCGTTGGAGGGGTAAAACGAAATCGCTCAGTCTCTACGGCTACCTGCATGGCTCTGCCCCGCTTCCTGCTAACAAATTTTGCCCCGCCATCCAGAGCAAATCCATGTCCGCTGCGAAGCTGTTCAACAAAACTCTTCTCCTCCTCCCATCCCTCACCTCTTTCTTTCTTCCCCTTCATCCATCCCATCCATCCTCCTCTTCCTCACCCTTCCACCACCCACCAGCCAACACTCACAATGGCCGCTCCCGCCCACAAGTTCAAGGTCGCCGACCTGTCCCTTGCTGCCTTTGGCCGCAAGGAGATTGAGCTCGCTGAGAACGAGATGCCCGGTCTCATGCAGACCCGCGCCAAGTACGCCGCTGACCAGCCCCTCGCTGGTGCTCGCATTGCTGGCTGCCTGCACATGACCATCCAGACCGCCGTCCTGATCGAGACCCTCACTGCTCTCGGTGCCGAGGTCACCTGGACCAGCTGCAACATCTTCAGCACCCAGGACCACGCCGCCGCCGCCATCGCTGCCGCCGGTGTCCCCGTCTTCGCCTGGAAGGGCGAGACCGAGGAGGAGTACAACTGGTGCCTCGAGCAGCAGCTCTCTGCCTTCAAGGACGGCAAGAAGCTCAACCTCATCCTCGACGACGGTGGTGACCTGACCTCCCTCGTCCATTCCAAGTACCCCGAGCAGCTCAAGGACTGCTTCGGTGTCTCCGAGGAGACCACCACTGGTGTCCACCACCTGTACCGCATGCTCAAGGAGGGCAAGCTCCTCGTCCCCGCTATCAACGTCAACGACTCCGTCACCAAGTCCAAGTTCGACAACCTCTACGGCTGCCGCGAGTCCCTCATTGACGGTATCAAGCGTGCTACCGATGTCATGGTTGCTGGCAAGATCGCCGTCGTCGCCGGTTTCGGTGATGTCGGTAAGGGCTGCGCCATGGCCCTCCACACCATGGGTGCCCGTGTCATCGTTACCGAGATCGACCCCATCAACGCCCTCCAGGCCGCCATGGCCGGCTACGAGGTCACCACCATGGAGAAGGCTGCTCCCCGCGGCCAGATCTTCGTCACCACCACCGGTTGCCGTGACATCCTGACTGGCGCCCACTTCGAGGTCATGCCCAACGACGCCATTGTCTGCAACATTGGCCACTTCGACATCGAGATCGACGTCGCCTGGCTCAAGGCCAACGCCAAGGGCGTCCAGAACATCAAGCCCCAGGTTGACCGCTTCGTCATGCCCAGCGGCCGTCACATCATCCTCCTCGCCGAGGGTCGTCTCGTCAACCTTGGCTGTGCCACCGGCCACTCCTCCTTCGTCATGTCCTGCTCCTTCACCAACCAGGTCCTGGCCCAGATCATGCTGTACAAGGCCAGCGACGCTGCCTTTGGCCAGAAGTACGTCGAGTTCGCCAAGGCCGGCAAGCTCGATGTCGGCGTCTACGTCCTCCCCAAGATCCTCGACGAGGAGGTCGCCCGTCTCCACCTCGAGCACGTCAACGTCGAGCTCAGCACCCTCACCCCCGTCCAGGCCGAGTACCTCTCTCTGCCTCAGGAGGGTCCTTTCAAGGCTGACATGTAAGCTGAACCCCCCACACCTCATGGTCACCTCAATGATCCATATACTGACAACTCTTCTTAGCTACCGCTACTAATTTTTTTACTGTAATCATCATACCCATATCCAAGGGTCCTTCAACTGGACTCTACGTGTAACGACGGCTGTGTTTATTGTTTTCCGGTGTTTGTTTCAACTCAACAATTGGCGATGGATGGGCAAAATTTGTGGTTTCAACAGCATAAAACTTGCGTGGCATATGGGATTCGGAAGAAAGGATTTGGTTTCCCCCCCTTCTTAAACAAAAAGCAGAGAGAAGTTTTTGAACTAAAATGAAATGCCATGTAACTCACCCGTCCGAAGGAAAGGGACTGGGGGTGTTGCAAGTTAGATATGAGGTCATCTGGATCTTAAACATGATACCAGAAAATAAAGAAATTGGAGAGGAGATTTATCATCCCTCTCGACCCTCAAACCTGGTCGTTTAAACTACTGTGACTGTTGGTTCCCTTTCATTTTGTCGCTCATACCTAGGTTTCAATGTGATACGATTTCGCTGGCATGGTGGGGACTTGATGGGGAATTGCTCCCACGAGGGATTCCCATGAAGGGAGAATCGGCGGGCCATCCAGGTATATCGTCATGATCATCGGTGGTCTGGAAGGTCTAAAGTCAATCAATGACCGTATTTACATCTATGCCATCTATCTAAAAATCTAAACATCCCTCCCCTCAAGCAGCCTAGCCTCCAAATCCCGCTGCTCAGGCACAATCGTGATCAGCGCCCCCTCCAGCGCGGCCTTCTTCACATTGTTGATGCAAAACGCCTCCATCTTGATCGTCGTCTCGATCGTGTACGTGCCCAGGTGCGGCACGAGGAGCACGCGGTCGTTCCTGAGCAGGCCCTCGTGGACTTTCGGCTCGTCCTCGAAGACGTCGAGCCCGGCGCTGGCGACGCGGCCGGAGTCGAGGGCCTCGACCAGCGCGGCCTCGTCCATGACGGCGCCGCGGGCCGTGTTGACGACGACGATGCCGGGCTTCATGATGGCGAATTGGTCCTTGGAGATGGTGTGGCGGGTGGAGGGCTGTAGCGTCTCGTTAGCAACTAGATCATCAAAATAGCACAATGGGTATGGAATGGAGATCCCATCCTTACATTCAAAGGCAGGTTCAGACTCAGTACATCGCTCTCCTTGAGCAACGTCTCAAAGTCAACATACTCCGCCCCCTCCTCGTGCTCCGGATCCAGCTTCCGCCGGTTGTGGTACCGTATCTGCATCCCAAACGCCCGCGCTTTATCGGCCAGGTTCCTGCCTATGCCGCCCATGCCCAGGATGCCCAGGATCTTGCCGCGCGGGTCGTGCCCGAGCGCCAGGTCGCTGCCGCGCCACTCGCCGCGCCGCAGGGCGGCCATGCCGGCGGGGAAGTTGCGCAGGGCGCCGAGGATGAGGAACATGTTGGTGTCGGCGGTGGCGTCGTTGACGGCCGTGGGGACGTTGGAGACGCAGATCTCGCGGGCGGTGCAGGCGTCGACGTCGATTTGGTCGTAGCCGGCGGCTTACCATCGCTAATCGTTAGCAACCTGTATCTTGATCTTTTGAGAGAATCAAGGGGGGGCTTACCTCTGTGGCAGATGAACTTGATGCTCTTGGGGAGGGCGTCTAGGAAGCCGACGTCGACATTGCCAGTGATGGCGGCCGATTCGCCGGTGCGGTAGATGGCGGACACGCCGTCGAATGCGCCGCTCTTGCACTCGGCGAGGAATTCATCTCTGTTGGTTGCCTTGGGCTCGACAACATCGGCGGCATCGGTGACGGCTTTCCAGGCGTCGTGGGCGCTGATGAGGGAGAACGGGACAGGCCGTTGGTTAGTTTATGGATTTAAAAGTCAATGGGCATATCTGGGTAAACTCACTGCTCTATTTCGCCTAGCAGCAGGATCTTTGGACGGGTCATGATGAGCAAAGGCGTGTTGTGTTTAAGGTTGGCTTGGTGGCTGGCAACAAACGCAATTCAGGTACAGGTAAAACGGAGAGAGGAGAGAGGGAGCCAGACAATGGCAGGAGGCTAAGAGGGCACCATAAATCTGCGCGGTTCCATGACAATTCCACTTCTCGGATGTTTTGCGAGCCAGCGATAACCCCCCTGCCAACCAAGATGGAAGCTCGATGTGAATCTGGCCTGCAATCCATCCAGGCGGGGGCGGGGTTGCATTTGCATTCCGTCATCGGTCCCTGATCAAGATTACACGTGCGTCTCCCGCGGCCGGTGAGCGGTCCTCAACACCACTGCTCGCTCGTCTACTCTCTGTACGAGGCCTTGGACGAATATATCTTGTAAAACTTAGTTGAACTGTATATTGTCTGGAAAAGCAGACCATCCAGCCCAGCTGCCTTGACCTAATGTCTGTAGTAAATATGTATGTCTTCTGCTTAAGCCCTCCGAGGGCATATGTGTCTGTAGTGATTATAATGTAAAGCAACAAATAAAATATCTGGTCATGTCCATGACATCTTCCATCGATCAACGCAAATGCCGAATCAACAATGGTAATTGGAAATACGCCGCCCTCCCCTATTATCCCAATCCCTGTCCGAGTCATCCATATATACACCCCAAACTCTAGCCTGCCTACCAAATCCCTCACATCAGCAGCCTCCAAGCACCAAGAAGCAGAGCCGCAAACCCGGTGCACACGCCCATCAGCCACTGCAGCGTCTGGAACTTGACCTGCTCCAGCTTCTCCCGCAGCGCCGCCACCTCCTGCTCGATCCGCGTCTCCGTCTCCTTGAGCTTCAGCTCCTGCCCCACCGCCTCCTCCCGTATCCGGCCCTTCTCGAGGTTCAGGTCCAGCCGCACGCTGGCCTGCGTCCGCCCGATCTCGTCCCGCAGCCGGCTCGACAGCTTGGCGATCTCGTTGGCCAACCGCTCGTGCGTGATGCGCGTCGTGTTCGACTCGGTGCTGTCCGCCGAGAGGAGCTCGGAACGGAGCTTGGCGAAGTCGACCTTTTGGGTGTAGGTGGCCTTGGCGGCGTCTTCGCGTAGGACCATGGTCCGTGTGAGGTTTTGGATGCTGTGGGTTGGATTTGGGTTGGCTTGAGTTTCGGAGGGGGAAGAAGACGTTTGGGGGAGGCCACTTCTAGCCAACATACCTCTCTTCAATAACGTCGTTTAGAACCTTCATCATCGATGCTGCCTGGTCCTCGGTGAACCCTTCGCTCTGGAGTCGCTGGACGAATTTCAGGGTGTCGAAGTGGTGGTCTCGCTGGCGTCGGGCTGTGGCGTGGAAAGCTGCCGCGCCAATGATCTGGCTGTGCTTTCTTTGGGCCACTTTTGGGCGGTGCTGTGCTTGGAACGGCGGTGGTTGCAGACGCGGTGCCAGTGCAGTGTGTTGATGCCGCCTCTGGCCCGAGGATCGGCTCGAGACCAGCAGGGGCGAAGCGGCTTGCCAGCTCAACCGTGGGAGCAAGAACTTGGGCAGCGCCTCGACTGGCAGAATTCTGGAGGAAGGCATTTTGTTTCGGTTGATGATGAATGAGAGACGAAGAGTTGGACTAAGTAGTGAGAATCAGGAGCAGGAACCGATGGTTCTGGTGGTGATTGTGACGGAGTGTTTCGGTGCGCTTCTTCGAGAGTTGGACCAGGGCCTGGAATGCCGATTATCACTCACGACGCTGATTGGCCACAACACGCACTGACTCCACTAGAGCAAAATGACATAATAACATGAAACAACTCCAACCGCATTAATTAAATTAATTTCCATGAACAACTCCAGATTGTTACTTTATTTTACTTGTCATCATATCGGTACATCAGGGAGCACATGTCAACGCCATCACATACAAATTCTGCAATGTAACAGTGTCGAGGAAACAATGATCATGTAGTGTTCTCGGATTCCGTCTGCAATGAATCGCGCAACAGCACGATGTGAGGTTCTATTAATACGACCGGCTTCTTGAGTATATACGGCGTGTCGTACTTGCGATTGGCTTCAGCAAGACCTAGGAGTGATTGGGAGAAAGTAAAATGTTATTCAGTCGCTTATCAGGCAGAACATGACAGGTGAGACTTTCCCGCCGCTCAAAACCCCATAACAATATCAGAGACCTGGCCCCCTTCCTTTTCTTATCCCCATCGGAACCCCCAGTCTGCGGGACAAGACTCTAGTCCAAGAGTTCCATTGATGCTTCAAAGGTCTCCTTTGCCTCCTCCAGGCCGTTCTTGAGAGACTCGCGCTCCGGCTCGGGGAGGCCTTCCATATGGTCCTCAAACCAGCCCTTGAGGTATTCAAACTTCCTCTCGAACTCCCCTTTGCGCTTTCGCTTCTCATCGCGCGTCATGAAATCTCCCATCTTAGACAAATCAAGTACTTGACCAGTGAGATGCACAATTTGTATGCAGGCTTCGAGGCAACACATGTGGTCATCAACTGTAGGTGCGACAATGTTCGATTCGACGTGTTCCTTCCACAGCTTGAAATCGCTAAGCATCTTTAAGGCTGGTGTTGTGGAAATGATATATTGGGAAAGAGTTGTGTCTTGTTGAGTTGCGATATGGTGCTTTGCAGTGCTTTGAGGTGTGACGATGTTGAACGAAAGAGGAATTTCTCGTGTCAAATTGGGGGATATGGGAAGTATTTAAAACCAAGATTGGCCATGTTTTCACTCTTTGTTTACCCAGCAAGAACTACCCATCTTTGGGTGAGATACTCAAAGATTTCCCCTATGAGTCAAGGATCAAAACTTTACCGATGACGGACAGGGATAAATATAGTTAGAGGAAGAAGTACAAGGGAAACCGCAGGCTACGTCCCTTGCAAGAAGTGCTGTGTTTAGTAAGGTGCGATTTAGCAAGTACAGATGTGTCATTTCACAAGGAAGGAAGAAACCGCGATATTATGAGTATTTACTATAGACACACAGACGAAAGGACCAGGCGTATCAGAAACGACACGACCATTCCTGTGCGCAAACAGATCCAACACAACAAACCTGAATATTCAAGTATGAGGTTTTGTTTCCCGGCTCTCATTGTGTTGAGATATCGGGTCTGGCATCTTCTATTACAGTTTCAAACTTTATACTCGAGCTCTCATCTCCATTTCGCGTCTCATTGATGCGTGAATGTATACAGTGGGTGGTTTTTTGACCAAAGCTAGTAACAGGGCAGACAATTTACGACCTGAGCTAGAATATCGCAAAAGAGCTAAAGTAAGTCTTTTTATACTGGGTGTATTATCATATCATTTACTCAGCCTTCAGTGAAATCTATTGAACATTTCGCCGCTCCAGGGTCTCCGAGGTTGGAGCACAAGGGTGATTCTAGTCCTCAAGCTTCAAGAACAACCTTCGATGAGCTGTGATTAACGGAAAGCGCATAGTTGAGATTGATTTCAAGGGCGGTAGCCGAGTGTCTCCACAAATTGTAGATTGATGACCGTTTGCATACCAGCCAAATGAGTGAGTCGTGGGCATTCCTCGGATTGCTCCCAGATTATTCATCATCCCTAGATGAAGTCCGACACGTGCCACTGCGATGAATTCTTTATGGGCAGTTTCATCACCTGCACATACATATGTATACCATGATACATGACATTCTATGATTTCCCTATGGGTAACAATTGGAGACACACTGATCACCGAGGAAAAGTTGTCGATGACGTCTTCCCCCAATCCGTTGAAATTGACCATGGTTGCCGGCGCTAAAAAGAAAGTTTGAGTGCATCCTGACTAAAGTATCGAAATCAGGTTTAAAAATACTCGAGAACGGATGCATCGCTTGTTCAACTCATGGAAGCGCCGGAACGAGAGGATTTGGACCTTTGGACCCATACATGTACGATAAATGCAGCTCAATTTTCGCGAAGTCGACTGCCATTAAAATCTGTATCAAAAGGAGCCCATGCCCATGCCGAAAGCCCAGATGTCCTGTCTGGGATGGGTAGATATGAAGGTGACGGGGAACTTCCTGTCCCAAACGTTTCGATCTCTTCGCAATCGATCAAATCTACGCATACCTTTCATTCGAAATCGCACTGATGGGAACAGATATCTTGCGCAATGAGAGAGAAGAAAGAGAAATAATGGACTCCGATCAAATCAAAGAGAAGAGAGACTTCTCTCGGCCCTCAGAGCATCTTGTTAACCAGTCCCTCTCCCTTGCCATGGACTATACCTGGGACAAGATGCAACTTGATGAGCACTGGCGAGGTGAAGCTCTTTGCAACGTTACCATAACCGCAGAACAGGTCTTCCTTTTCCAATGTCTTGGAAAATCTCCCATCCCGGATGCAGAGCTCTATAAGCGCTACATACTGTCGGAGCAAAAAGATGATGGTTCTTGGCCTCTTGTTACGAAGTGCCATGGAGATATCTCAGCAAGCTGTGAGGCCTACCTTGCCCTTAAAATACTAGGCATGAGTCCGTCTTGCCAAGAAATGACAAAGGCGCGGCAGTTTATACTAAAGGCTGGAGGTGTTTCTAAGGTCAGGCTGCTCACCCGGATTTCCTTTGCACGGTTTGGCCTTTTCCATTGGGATGCTGTCCCTCACCTGCCTGCTGAATTGATACTACTCCCGCCATCTTTGAAGTTCAATCTCCATCGGCTGTCGCCCTGGGCACGTTCTACATTAATTCCACTCCTGGTCATCACCCACCATCGACCTATTTACGCACTTCCAAACGGGAGGTCGGTCGCCAATGATTTTCTTGATGAGCTGTGGGTTGATCCAACGCATAAGATGACTTCTCACTCCTCACTGTTCACATCCCGTGAGCTCGATCCTACGGAGCTCCTCTTCTCGGGACTGGATACAGCTCTATCTTATATTGGAGGACTCAGACGCTTTCCTCTCCGAAAGAAAGCCCTGAGATACTGCATTCAGTGGATTCTCAACAACCTGGAACAACCTGGTGAATGTCCAGAGATTTCTCTGCCAATCCACAACAACATCCTAGCATTGTTACTGGAAGGATTTTCACAAGATAGCCCTGCGGTAAAGGTGGGCATGGAGGCTATCAAAAGATTCACATGCCAGGACGAGACGGGAAAACGGCTGCAGACTTGCGAGTCTCCGGTCTGGGACACTGCGCTCATGATCCGCGCTATCTGCGACTTAGGGTGGAATACATACGATGACCGTCTTGAGAAGTCGATAGATTGGCTTAGCAAGCTTCATATGCCCAAAATACGTGGAGGCTTGCCCGGCTTCCGTACACAAAAAGTCTTACGAGGGTTGTCTTTCCAGCACGACAAGAATATTACTCCCGGTGTTGACGATACTGTGGCGGTCCTTCTCTCAATGCTACATCAGAATTCTTCGAAGATCAAGTCAGACACGGTATTGAGAGCCGTAATGTGGATTTGCGAGATGCAAAATTCCGATGGCGGCTGGGGGGCGTTTAATACCGATAACAAGCAGTGGCTCAACAAGACTCCGCTGAAAGCTTTGCGCCACAGCTCGACGACTGATCTTACGGGTTATGTTCTTGAGGCGCTCGGCATGGTTCTCAATATAGCCTCGCAGAAGGACTCTGAAGACCTGAGGCTTTGGCTGGCTCAGACAAAAGTACTTGGCGTGATCGCGACTGCATCACAGAGGGCTGTACGCTATTTGGCCCAGGAGCAGGAAGAATCTGGTCGGTGGTATGGCCGCTGGAGTGCTGGCTATCTTCATGGTACCAGTGCTGCAATCTCCGGCTTGGCTTGGTTTGCTGATGGTGATAACTGGGTGAAAGACATGATCACATCCGCTGTCTCCTGGATCAAAGAAGTCCAGAACTTGGATGGCGGATGGGGAGAGGGTTTCGAATCATGCAATGATCGACAGATGGCTGGAAAGGGTTATTCCACACCGTCTCAGACATCATGGGCCATTATGTGCCTGTTGGAAGAACTGGATCCGGATGATGCCTCGATAAGAGCTGGGATAAATTATCTCTTGGCCCAGCAGCAAGATACCTCTCTGAAGAGGCAAGGGGCATCCTGGGAGGAATCAAACTACACATGCACAGCTTCACCAGGGTCTCTATACCTCCGATCCCAGCTTTCCAGTCATTACTTTCCTATCATGGCTCTTGGACGATATAGAAAGGCAATGCTTTGTACCCATGCTGATTAGTTCTCCACCTCTTCTACAGGATCATCGCTTCACGATGCATTGTCAGAATGTGGCCTCCTGCGTGTTTATATTATACCTGATTAGAGAATGGACATATCTGACTGAAGGTTAATATATCATGGTGTCGGTTTATATTCAAACTCATTTCAAATGTCTTATGGAAAACTATGTGCTTTCAACATCTAGTCTCCAACCATAAAAAACTAGCCCCTGAAATATGTTGACTCTTCTAAACCTCCTCTGGCTTCACCGATATGTAAACCTGCTCATCAAAGTCTCACTTATTATATCTCTTGGAAGCACTCGCCATGGCACTCTTCTGAGGTCCACGAGCAGCAACGGAAGCATATGAGGGTGCTGACTCGGCTCTTCTAAGTGTCGCTGTATGCTTTTTGGTGTTGTTGTCGGCAATTGCTGAACTTTCCTGTTCATCTCCAATGTCCAAAGTTGCCGGGCGGTCCATGAAATCATCTGTGAGCGCACCGCCCACGCTTTGTGCCAATACATTTTTGAATCTAGGTTCAGTTGACTTGTGTTCTGCTTGAGCACTCTTCAGAATTCGAGTGAGAGATACACATATTTGACCAATAGATTTTCTGTTACTTGAGTCGACAACAAGCATATGTAATTCGATAATCTGAAGAATCTCCTTTATTACCTCCGGACAGGAGTCGAGACTTCGTAGTTTTCCTATCCACTAGTGATATGTCAGCATTTTCGTCGTTTTATTCAGGGAAGTTTGAATACCTTTGAAATAGATGGCTTAACCACAGCATATGGTCTGCCATTATCGTCAAACATCTTCAGAAAGTATTTATCCTCCTGAACGTTGAGAACTGAGGAGTCGTCTTCCTCCTGCCTTTGTAAAGTGAATCTTAACAAAGATTCACTCCCCTCAAGATACCAAATAAAAAACTCCAAATATACACACCCAAGTGACCATATATCATACTTGGGGGAAATGTGATTCCCAGTATCCATTTCTGGTGGTCTGTAGGCTCCTGTATATCCGTCGATCCGATAATGGGGTATGTTGGACTTGGTGAATATTGAGTGGTATCTGGCCAGCCCCAGGTCTGATAGCACAAGGAGATCATTGTCCTCGCCATACTTTTTAAACCAAAGAATGTTTTGCGGCTTAATATCTCCGTGGCGTCCCCACTCCTTTCCGTCCGCGTCGGCACCTTGTGAGCCCTTTCCAGCTTCTTCTTGTTTAGATGAGAGCCCATGAATTCGTCTGATGGCTGTAGCAATACCTACGCACTGCTCGATTGCCCAGATTGTCTGAAAGCTATCGCCACTAGTCTGATCCCAAAGTTGCTCAAGGTTGCCGTCAGCCCATTCAAACAAGAAGTACTGCTTTTCGCCATGCTGAAAAGCAAGAAGGAGTTTGATGAGATGTTTGTCCTTGTATGTTCGGGCGCAAGTCTTTTCGAGGGCTTTGAATTCTTGGCGATACCCCTCTCGGTCAACGTTGTCAACCTCCTTCAAAGCGAAATAGATAGGACCATCGGATGGCTTCGCTTGGGTATTAGCCTATGTCTGTGTTATTTGGAACTATGATTGCTCAACATACCTGGGACTCTTCGAACGAGAAATGAGCGGAGTGAATTTGAACCTTGTGGATGGTTCCACTACCGCCATGAGCGTCGGATTTAATACTTTCCCACGGAAGGACAGTTTTACTGTTGAAGGGATAGAAGCGTAATTCGCCCCCCTTAATCAGGAAAAATGGTACCCAAAAGAAGTACTGGAATATAAGTAAAGAGTTCATCTCGTAGACATCCCAGCCTTCCAGGAATTTGTGTGGACCGTTTGAATCCGTTGTATCGTTGCCGTTATCTTCGAGAGGGAAGTCAGAGTCGTAAATGCTTTTTTTGATGAAATGTTCAAAACGGTTCAGGGCCTTCATGAACACTAGAAGAGCTAGGATACGCCTCCGACTCTTCTTTGGCTCTTTGGTGTGGGTGGAATCTTCCCTCTTTCTGGATTTTCGTCGCTGATTTCTTGTTGGACTCAGAGTGCTTTCCTTATTTACACCACCTAAGACTTCGTTCACTTTGCAGCCAAGTTGTTCCTTGCTCAGGTGTGGAAACGATTCTTTCAGCAGGGAATATATTATCTGAGGCGTGATAATCTTGTCAAAGGCGTCAAGAGGTAAATACCGGAACTTTTCAGTCGTTCCATAACGTTTTAGACTACTTCCAATTTTTTGAGAAACAACTTGTTGGAGATTGAACGTGCAACCTGTGTCTTGCTGGATATTCAGTTGTCGACACAACTGGTCCGAGGTTAGATCTTCATAGATGATATCGCGCGTCTCGCTATCGAATATCTTTCGGTCGGATAGGCCCAGATCCTTGACGGACTTGACCGTTTCGCTGTCAGCGTAGTCTGACCCGAAAGACTGCCACGGCGCGCTGCCCTCTTCATGAATCGGTTCAACTATGCCGTTTGGATCTTTAAGGAACATTTGGAAAATTGATTCCCCATCAGAAGCATCCTCAACACGCCAAGAAGTAGGTGAATCGATCACGATGTCTTTATCAATCCTAAACCGTGTGCCGAGGAATCCTGGGTTACTCTGCGAGCGTGTGAGGCTGGCTGTGTGGGCCATCGCCCGCCCATTGTCGTCAGAGATATACATTCTTCGGTATGTAATTGATGACAATAGACAATGAGCTGCAATTTAGATGAATTATACAATCAAGTAGTGGCATTTGGTGAAGAAATTTCGTGTTTGAACGTGGGAATCCGGGGAAAACTTTAGGTCTTGCTCTGCACAGCCTCATCTATATTGCTACTAGCAGGAACTGTTCGCTTTTGTGACAACGAGACAATCTAACAAAGCTAACTAATGTATATATTTTAGCACGTCGGTGTGGTCACACACAGCCTTCTGCAGGTCAGGATAGCGGCGTTCGTAGAGGCCACCGAATATGTATGTATTGCTACTCATCTGCCTGCGCCATCTACTTTCAGCGGTGTGCACTCTTTGGTACACCCGCACTTCTATTGGTGGGAATCTATTACTGAATTCACGCCTTGAAACTGAGGGTCCAAAAATAATGCTACTCGCTGCTGACCACTTGTATTGGTGTGCGGCATAATAGGGGGGTGCAGCGTGCACGGAAGTGTACTTCACCCAATCAACGATTAAATATGGGCGTCAGGCTCTGCCTGGGGTAAGACAGGCAATTTTTCTTGACTCACATGCATAAAGGTCGCCTTCTTACGTGGGATCTGCCTTGCCGCTCAATAAGTTGCCGCCACGGTTGAAGGTGGTCAGCAATGCCTCGTTGCCTCCTTTTGGTTCGCATTATCATCCTGCTGCCTTTCAATGTGGGCAGACTGTTCGTGACTCTATTTATCTCTCCTGTCTTATGACACTGCTCATTCCGTGTCCCAAATATATTGCAATTATTCTATTTCTTTTGTCGACAAGAATCCTCGTGCACTTAAATATCAACCCGAAGATGTCAAGGCGTCTAACATTTGTACGCGAAGACTCAGATTGTCGTGTCTTTACGGAACATCCCAAAAACATACATCCTCAGCGCTTGTCGGCAGAACTTTCCTCTCGTTTTGCGCAGGAACAGTTTAGAATCTGTCTCCTCCGGAACGTATATGTCATATACCTTGACCGCAACGCTAACAGCGATTACAACAACGACACGTACTGCCAAGATAATGGACGTAAAGCCCTCTCAACGGACCGACAGTGCTTCGCTGCACCCCGCGGAAGGAAGTGCATACAGACTCCATCGCTCGATCAAAGACTGAAGGACTTGAAGATGGCATCGGACGTCCTCAAGCGACAGAGCATCACTGTTTGATAAAATGGAACACGTGAGGTGGCCACAACACCACATGCACTTGCATTCAGTGAACGAAAGACGCACCTGCATTAAGTAAACGGAAGACGCACTTGCATTAAGTGAAAGAAAGACCCATGTTGTTTGTAAATTTTTCGGTTGGAAGGGGGAGATCTGTGATCTTTTTGTGTTGGGCAGAGCCTTTGTTTTCCTATCAGCATCTCACTTGGCATTGATTTAGAATGAACTCTTTCTTTTTTATACTTTCCTTAAAGAGGGTTCTCAGATTATTGACTTTTTAATTTCATCAATATATCAAATTAAAGCACACGAACTAGCAGACTAGAACCCAGGCACCTCCATCACACACCTGGGCTGAGCGGAATGATGCCGAGCCAATTCTCTCAAATGCCTCCTTGTGCAACCCATGTTCCTCTTTCTTAATAATGATGGCATATACTTTGTCGTCAGATTTGTCACGCCCCACGATAACGCACTTGAGATTATCAAGGGAGAGAGTGGTCCCCAAATCAAATGATATATGAGAATTTGCCTCTTGCTGCGTCAACTTCATGTTTTGGGCATATGCACGGAAAGGTGCACCCATTATGCTCGAGGCTAGCGTCGCCTCTCTGATCTTCTCGTCGGAGGAGAACGGACTCTTGAAGTTTTGAGTCGCCCAATCAACATTGTTAAACTCCAGTTTCATGTATCGGATAGCGCCTAGTTTGGAGAGCCATGACCAGGATGGAACATGCTGGTCAGTGTTGTCAAACGCGATGGACCGCATTCCATCCGGCTCAGCACTCTCCCAGAGTAAGAACCTTGGGAAGTACTTGCTAAACGTCCCGAACATGGCTCTCGTCTGAAACGCGCTAGATAAGCGGCTTTCCAGTCCAAGGATTCCGACTGGGCGGTCTGTGGGGTTTGTAAAAGCCAGCTGCGAGTAAGTTTCGTATAGGTATTGAAGAAGGATCTGTCTTCCGTCTCTGTAGTATTGGAGAGCCAGAGTCGGGAATCTGGGATCTCCCAGGAACGCGACCCGGGAACTAAAAGTCGATCAAGGCATTACTATTAGTTCTATCGAAGTTTGGCCTTGGTGGGTGACTCACTTCTGAAATTTAGCGAGGCTCTCACACTGAACCCCAGCACCACACTCCCAATATACTTGAGTGGATGTGTAGTGTATAAACCGACGTGAAAGCGCTCTTTCTTGTAGAACCCACCCTCTAGTGTGGAGGTTACTCTGGTCTACATCGCGGTGAAAGTCATCGATAGACGGACAGACATAAATGCGCCTTGAATCGCTGATGGGAAGCGGTACGCAGGTTCGAGGTACGCGTGGTGTGAGAAATCCTTCGAGGGACGACCGTGCTGAGTTGACACTTAGCGTGCAATAAGCTCCGCTGAACACATATTGCATCTTTGCAGACTCCTTTTTCCATTCCTCCTTGTCATTCTGGATGATGCAAAGTGAATCGATCCAGAGATAACTGATGCCTATGCCCCTGGTCACAGTGACGGCGTCCTGAAACGTTTTTGGTAGATCGTCAAAAACAATAGATCGCCGGAAAGCTTCAATATTTTCTTGGTAAGTGCAGAATTTTTCTTCTGGTTTCAAAGGGCCCCAGCAATGACTCAGAGCAACATACGGCTGTGACCGAATCAATGAAGCATCGACAAGCCGGATATTGTGTCCAACCTCCAGAAGACGTGTTGGGGCATTGGCCCCTTCATTTTTGGAGGCTGGCGTTTGACAGGTAGCGTGAGAATCACAATCGTGCAACCATCTTTTGATCAACGCGAATTCTTGTTCGCTTCCTGCTTTCGGGAGAATCGGTAGCCCATATTGTGAGTAGTTCGGATCACCAGAGCCTAGGTATGGTCGCTAGATTAGAACAGTATTCTACTGATGTTAATAAGAAGTATTTACCTGGTCTCTCATAAAAAGAGATCAAATCTGGTCCATTTTGGACCCCTATACCCGTCCCAGTTTGGCGAAATTCTATAAGCCCAGACGGCCGGTAGCGAGCACGTTCCACCGTCTCTAAAACCATACTGCACAAATCACATGTCTGTGCTGTAGAGCGCATATTTGATAGATCAGTTAAGCTATCAAAGAGTGGCAGTGAGGAGCTTCTGATTTGGCAGGATGAACAGAGACGAGGTGAGTCGGTATCGAGGTGTCTTGGGATGAGATTCTCACGGCCGATATCATGAATTATCGTCCGTGCAAACTCGTTGTTGCTCAGTCTCTCCCAGCCCTCCTTCAAGGCACTTGATTGCTATTATCTGTTCAGAAATTCATCGTTTATATCATAAAAATATTCGTCCAACTCCACTTACAAACTATAATATTATTAATACCAAAACAAGAATGCCATGAAGTGTCAGCTTACTGTCTAGCAGCTGTTAGTATTGTATGCAAGCGGCCAGTCGTTGAGGTAAGCTTATAGCGAGACTCACATTCTGTGGGTTTGTCAATGCTGTGTTTTGTGTGCTTTACTAGTCCCCTAACTATAACTTACATACTAGCATCACGTACATGACGTTAACTTCTGTATCCACTATCATCAAAGAAAAGGGATCTGAAATTCATACCTGAGTATCATGGGCTGTCATTTGTGACATTTTTGGGACTCTTCTGTTCGTCGCGGAGTCAAATTCCCCAGTCGGCCTACGTACAACGACCCTGCCATTAGCAACTTCATCATGGGGTAGTCCGCCCTGAGGCAAAGGACCCCGCGTTCGCTTCCCAACTCCGTCGTTGGGGACTGCCAAACTCCCGCCTTCCGTCGACGCCGCTGGCAGACGTTTGGGAAGCTTTCCAGCTCGACCGATGCCCACACAGTTGAGATAGTCTGGCTCATATTCACACTTTGCGTATATTTGTTTCAGTTCACCGTGTAGGGTCGATGCATTGATGCGATATCCAGGCAGCTCTGTTTCATATTCATACTCAGTGGGGTAAAGCACACAGAGCAGATTGTCGCGGATGAGTTTGAGGATATCCACGTAGGCGGTGCAGTCATGAGCATGTTCCATCATGGATCCGAGAGTGAAAGTAATAGTATCCGTAAGTTCGAATGCGTTTGTTGAATCACTAGATTCTCGCAACTCCTCCCAAAAGTAGGGACTCGTAACGTCTTGAAATTCCCCCAATGCATCATAGCCATAAACCAGCCACACCATAAGTTCAGTCATTGTACAGCCCATAGACCAGATGTCGTAGTAGCGGGATCGAGCAGCAGGTTGGCGGCGCTCATTTTCCTCCGGTGGCTTATACCGGTTTGTGCCAGAGGGAGTCAGGGTATGGAGGTTTGCCCGCACATTGGTGTTCTTGTCGATGCCATGGCATGTGGAGAGTCCAAAGTCTGAAACTTTCAGATTATCCGGCTCTTTAAACCAGAGAATGTTTTCAGGTTTCAAATCGTTATGCCGAAAATTTTGGGCATGTAACAGCTTAAGAGCCTCACAGAGGCCAGCGAATTCTGCAAGAACCCACATCACTTCCTCCTTTCGTAGATGGCCTCTCCCAAGGCTCTTCCAGTAGTTGTCTAGATGGCCCCCATCTGCCCATGGTAGCATAATGAACTTGCCGCCGTCTTGAACCGTATAGGTTGCGATCGCTTGGGTCAAATGGCTAGACTTGTAAGCCGGAGACTGCAAAGTGTTGGCGTTTGCAACGTCTTTTTCTGCCCAAGCCTCATCTGATTGCGTGAAACGTTTGATCGCAACGATGACATAATTGGTACCTGGGCTCTGATGAAGTCAGACCGATGTATGAGATGTGGCGGGATATGAGAAGTGCTCACTGGTGGATACTCTGGGAGATGATCGCAATGGATCCTTACTTTGTCGACTTCGCTGAAAAATCCCTTTCCTGCTGGCTTTTCACCAGAAATCGCAAATTCGAGATATGGGAGTGGTTGCAATTTCTGCAAGAGCTGCCCAAACTTGCGATCCCCTTCGAAGACCGGCGCAGTAAGCAAGGCTTGGAATGTCCGAAACATTCCCTCATCCTGTATGGGTTCATCAGAGGGAAAGTCGAATCTCTCTCCTGAAGTCGAAATCCCAAACATTTTTTCATCACCATCTTGGTCCAGTTGCAAGTCCAGTTGCAATGGCAGGCAATCATCTTTGAGACCCAATGCTACAAGACTTTCAAGCCAGTCCAGCCTTTTCATCAAGATCAAAATTAAGAAGATGCGGCGATAATGTTTGCTCACAACCTCAGCAAGCTTTTCCTGGTCATTTGCTTTGATAACAGACTTAATGATTGACTTGTCGGCGAATTTCTTAATTTGCTCGTGTGGAATGAAGAAAGATCCTTTGTTCGGCGTCTTCACACGTGTAGCATGTAGCTTGCGGCGAAGATCTGGAAGTTCAACATTATCCATTGTGGTTAGTGATGCCTTAACCTTGCTGAAAATGTATTCTAGGAAATCTTTTACGAATTTCAAAACGAATCTCATTTGGTGGTTAAGGGGGTAGAAGAAAGGCTAAAGGGTTGGCGATGGGCATTTCAGAGGAAATGTCCAACGGCAGAGAATAGAATTTATAGACCCTCCAAAAATACCCAGCATTGTATTGGTACCTAAGATGCAGTTGTCATCCCAATTTGGTACGGACGAGCAGATTGACGGCACATCAATCGCCGAGCCTTGTTGCGCGCTCCCGCTGTGATCACTCAGATCATTGGGTGCTATGCATAATTGTGGCTCCTAATAGAGCTAAAATATGCATAATATTGACACCGGTGAGAACTTGGTGGTCAGCGGATTACATGGTGTGAGAGAGTCGCAGCTATGATCCCAAGGGGGAAATTTATGATGCCGATCCTGCAGTCCACTCCCCAACTGCGGCTGAACAATGTGCAGTGAGACGTGATGAACCTATCACAACTTCGTCTCGGTAAAAGAGAATGGACCTATTTGATCGGGTACATGCAACTCTACTTGACCGTCTTCCAAGGGGTTCCATCGATAGGAAGACGGCTGCAGTGGCGTTCTCGGATGACGTTTTCTTCTTCTTCTCTCTTCAATTTCCCCAACCGATACGAAGATCCGAAAGCGGGCAGTGAACAACTCTCTCGAGCTATTTCACGTGATATTATAGATGCGCAACTCAATCCATATGGACTAGATCAGATCAAATAGTAATGCTGCGACACTTCAAGACAGCCGCCTGGTTTTTGTGTTCGAAATTATAGGGCAAACTTACTATCTCCAGTTTCGGTATAAAAGGAAGGCTTTCGCTAGCAAGTACTCTTGAGAACTTCCAGCTTCTTGACAAGAGCCCTCGCACTAATTCTAATATATCCGTGTCCACTTGCATCATCTCGGTTTCGATGAGATCAAGCATTCGAATCAAGTACCAGCTACAAGCCTCCTCTTCCTTTAAACTCCCAATCCAACGTTTCACCGCAGGCCTAATCACCGCTGTCTTCTGTTTATTTCCCTTGAGTTTGAAGAAGAGATTTTCCGCGTAGAGTTGAACATCCTTCTCAAGTCTCGCATACGCAAACCTATAGAGATCAAGGCCACGGAGAAACCAGGTGATGTGCTCCAGAAAGATACAACCGAGACTAAACACATCGGATTTCGATCCCACCAACCCGTCGGGAAGATCAGACTCCGAAGACCGGAATGTTCGTGATTGACAAAATAGTATGGGGTAGCCCTCGGAGCGGTAGGCGTCTGTGTAATATTTTCCAAGACCAAAGCCCGCCAAGCCAAGAAAAGGCTTCACGCCTCGAGCCTGAAACAAGACAATGTTCCCGAGTTTGATATTTACATGCCGCCCGTAATGACGTTTGGGATTGACGACATCATGGGGCAGTCGCAACCTTCGACAGCCATTATGGATATTTTCAAGTGCCTTGCCGAGCCCAAGAAACTGCTCAGCCATCCAGAGGCAGTGAGAACAGTCTTGGACCAGGGATTCGTTCGAACACCAAAAATTATCCAAGTTCCCTTCGGCGCAATCAAAGATAGTCCACAGGGTTCACCTCCTCAAATGTTGCAAGCACTTGGAAATGTGTTGCCTGCTACTATCATGGTGCCCGGAGACGACCAATGAGGAAAGCTCTAATTCAAAAAGTTTTGGGTTGTGAGACGTCAATTTTTTAAACGCGTAGTATCCTTGAGAGTTCCGTGTCTAGAGTTCGAAGGTGAGAACAGAAGCATCTTGTGAGGGGGAGATCGCACGGGAAAGAAACTTACCCCGTTGTCTTCAAGGCGGCAATGGCAATCGTAGATTTTGACCCTGTAAACTCCGTTGAACATTTCATAACCGCCAAATCCGTTCTCCGCTCCCAATTACTCCTAGGGACATCATTCTCCTCATCCCAACTCTAGCTAGGGATACCGTTCTCGTCGAACTAGATAAGAAGGCAGATTCCATTCTCGAATATGTAATGGCAATATAAGCCTACACCTGGTTACTAATTAATATAAGGAGCTATGAGTTTTCTAGTCCAATCGGCAAGTCTTTCTCGATCAATGGCAACGGCATTGGGATTATTTATCACGGCAGTATGGCCTAGGTCAGAGCACTGGCAGCAAATATAGAACTTATCATCGCCATCTTTTCTTAATGGCAGGCAGCCGTCGGTTAAGCCACTCTGGATATGTCGTGCAAGGTCCCCTACTTGCCTGCTGGCAACCAAGGCACCGTGTATATTAAGCGAAGGGCGTTGGCTACTTGATCCGAAACAGATATCCTGGGCAATTTGTTGCTTTTGCTCATGAGACTTGTCTTGGAAGCATTTTAGGCCCTGAACAAGCTCGAGAGAGAACGACATAAACATCGAAGTGCAAGGCAATGCGACAGGGGGAAGAATGGATTCTAATGTTGTACATACCCGGACTTCACCGAATCGACTATTCCGTTAAAGTCGTCTAGGACATTGCTAGTGTTTTGGTTCGGCGTTGCGTTGATAAGGACTTGTCGAAACACGCTCGTATTGATATATTTGGCAGGCTGGAACATAGTGCTCGGTTTAAATGGCGGCTATTGGTAGGCATCTGGAACACAGTCTTGGATTGGTTTGGTGGTTGGATAAAAGCAGGCTGAAATACAGTGCTGGATTGACTCGGCGGTTGGTTGATGGGAGGTTGGAATACAGTACTAGGTTAACTTGGCGGCGGTCTCCTTGTAGGCACGAACTCAGTACTGTCTTGTGTTTGGGGTCGTTTATCACCTCCAGAAAGATTCAACTTTCGCTAAGCCAGCTGCGACGCTGCTCCATGATGCTGATATGCTTATGCGGAAAGCCAATTCTGTCCTACGACCATACGTAGGGGGGACTCCGCGGTATCGTTGGCTATGAATGTAGTAGCACGCCTCAATTTGTTTGATTTGGATCGTGAGGGTACAAGCTCTGCGTTTAACGCTCAAAACGCCCGGTCCTGCGTCATAGACACACGAACTCGTCACAGAGAGCGTGAGTCTGGATCACGAGAAGGCGGTAGCATGGCATGGCTCAGCTCGGCTTAGCTAAATAGAAGAGGGGATAGCAAAGACGCCTAACCACATACTTCTAAGCTAGGATGGATGGAAAACGCCACAATATTCAACAAAACAGGTTGGGCTGACTTATGAATTTATGCGAATATTGGACCCGAGTGAAGACCCAAGTCTAGAACCACGAGGAACATGGATATGCTACCATACTAACATGCCAATATAGGGATGGGGTTTCAGCATGCTCTCTTGGACCTATATATATCTCAAAGAGTAATACCTTAGACGAGTCATGGACACAAAAACACGGGGGACATTTATAATATTGAAAAGAAATACGCAGTTCTTATTTCTCAGTGATAGGATAGCCACCGGGAACAGACGAGCATCAAGACTCCACACTTCGGCAAAAGTTGCACTATCTTCCAGACAGCTGGAACATACTATGCCATCTGAACCGGCTTGAACCGAACACGAAATTCCGGTTTATCCCAGAACGCAAGAAACTTATAATCCTTCTCAAAGGATAGCTCTCGTTGACCTGCTCCAAGTTCCAGATCAAATTGCCATAGTACCTTGGCCATCAGCAATCGAACAGTGGCTGAAGCAATAGGTCCCCCCGGACAGCCCCTTGGACCCTGACTGAATGGTTTAGAGGCCTTAAGGTTATCGTCTCTATATATAGGATTGAACTTCGGATGATCAGGGGGTAGCCATCGTTCCGGCCGAAATTCGAGTGGCTGTGTGAAGTAGCGCGGGCTCCTAGCCGCTGAAAAGTAGCTGATCTGACAGGTAATCTACCCAAGCCCTCCAGTTAGTATCTAGGCAAATTTGTCGGCTTGGGGATAGAGGATGGACTTACTCCTTTGGGTATATATATTCCATCCACCATGGCACCAGGGCTTATGCGCGGCAAGCCATCAGTTGTTTCCTGGTGCAGCCGAAAGCTTTCATTCGCACAGCCCTGCAAGTACTTGAGACGCTCTATCGAATCCAACTTGATAGCGTGATAATCTGAAAATCCCTCCCTCACTTCCTTGACCAGCGTTGCATAGGCATCGGGTTCCTTGAGGAGGAATAGGATCAAGGTGTAGAACTGATTAGCCAGAGGTTGCCAGCTAGCCAGAAGCAACTGCCATGCTACGTTTTGTAGATGATAGATCTCCTTCTCATCCTGAGGTATTGGTAGATTTACCGGGACCAACTGCTCGAAGTAATCCAAATGCTCTATGTTGTGCCGATTTTTCAGCCGCGTCTGAACATCGTCAGTGTTCAGTTTCAGAAGTTGAAACATGTCGAACCAGACGGTAGGAGGTATTGTCAAGTATGCCAAGGGTGTCAAGAGGCGAAACTTCCGCACGATCTGGCTCATCAGTATGAACATGTTCAACTTGAACGTGGAACGAACAAGCACTGAGTCCTTCACTATTATACGTTAGTTCGACCTTTCAATGCTGCTCATACGCAGTTGTTCCAAACACTCACTGTCTCGCAAATGGCACATGTCGATGCAATAGGTCATGTCCGCGGATAAGTCCAGTCCTAGCCACTCCACCCAACGTCTCATGTCTGCCCCTTTCTCATCACCCCCAAATTCCTTCATCCTATCCATGAAAAGGTCAATGTGCTTGTGAATAGCAACCTCCTTGGCCCTCAGATTCCTTGTGCTGAAAGCAGGGGCAAGCTTCTTAGCGATCTCGCGGTGCCTCACAGGATTCGTTTCTCCTGAAATCCCGCCGTCGCCCGTGTCCAAAGCATCATAGCCAACTTGCACGAAGAGTTCAAGATTTTTCTCCTGTGCGAGATATATGTCTATTCCCACGTAGCTTCGGTCAGTGACGCCCCAGTAGTGTCGAGTGCTAATAAACGGGCCGAACCTTTCGCTGCCTGCGGCGTGATGAATACAAGCTCATTTGGAGCAATGCGCACGACGTCTCCTACCATGCTATTAGATTTGCGCAATACGGGGTGTCACAGACACTGAATGAGGTATATTACCATAAGTCTTCAAGACATCCTCGATTATCCATGGGTATCTGCCCGTTGTACTGGGAGCCGGTACTGTCAGCGCACGGTGAAGCGATTCAATCATCACGGTCAGTTACACACCTCGCATATGCCCACCACAGATCAGTGACGGCGGCAAGCTTCGGCCCTGGGTATTTAGAGAGCGGGTGAAAGCAGAGATTGTAAATGGCTCGGCCGATAAAATAAGCTGTCCCCTAGATGCAGAAAATAAAGGTTGAGGACGGGTTAGAACATAATACTCTGAGAAGCATCTGCGTACAGTTTATAGCATCACTCACCAATGCAGCAGAAGCTGGTAGAAGGCGACTCCAAATCACGCTTCTGCCTACCATGTACCAAGAGAGATCTGTGAGTGCCATGATGGGCCTTTACCTTCAATCCCATGAGGGGATGTCCATCCTTTTATGCGGGTGAGTGAGAAACAGAGTCGCACTACATTTACATTTGCGAATCGGGCTAGTAAGCGTAAGCAATGATGGATTCTGGTCCGTGCTCTTTTCAGCCATAAATTGATGATTGCGCGGCGCCAATGAGCGCGGGGATAATGGTAATATTACACAATTATGGCGATAACTACCTACTTAGCCCCCAACTCACTTTCCGGACATCTGTTTTGTTCATCAATTTTGTTTCCCTGATTGCAAAATTCCACGGAAATATTCAATTGCACAAGTCATTCCTAATCAATCAATTAATGTCCACGTTTCGTTACTCTAAGACCGAGGTTTGCAAATAGCGATGAACGGCGAGGCCACACCAGACAAAAACAGCGTTCCTGACTTTGCATCACGAACTACGGTTGTTGTCGTAGGGAGGATTTTAGCATCTCGATCCTCAATCAGCTTGACAATGTTATACGCTCCAGTACCCTGATCTTGTGACTCAGAATCCAGTCGTTTCTGAAGCATCAGAGCCGTGGCCGGAGCATTAACCGTGTATGGCTTTTCCACTGATTCCGGAACCTTCAACGGGACAGGGAAGGCAGCTACCAGGACATTCCCCTCCTCATCTACCGAAAGATTGTCCACGGTCATTTTCACGTCGATTTGATCAACTTTGGTGAGCGTTTCTCCAGAGAGCTTGTAGACGGCCACGAAGCCGCCTACGGAATGGGCAACATAGTACAGCCCATCGGCGCCTCGAACGATCCCATTAGGGAAATTCATATCTTGGACAGCGGCAAAATTGCATTTCCCAGTGTCAGACTGGCAGTGCACAAGACTCCCGCCGCCCGTGAAGATTTCCAAGTCTCGGAAGCGTCCAACCTTAGAGTTGTGGTCATTCGTTACTGCGAACCCTACCCCATCTTTATCCACGGTCACGCCATTAGGTGCAATGATGGCCGGGTCGAAGACTGTCTTGACATGTTCCAGCTGGTTTGACTTGGGGTTCAGATCGAATATTTCCACGGTTGAGTTGGCCCCCAGGCTTGGGTCGACAATGATCTCCCCAGTGGTTTGATTGACTGGCGGCTTGTGATTGATGATCCAAAACCGGAGACGGCCATTGACTCGTTTTGCATCAAATCCATGCAGATCCAAAGTGCTGGTGAAGCCTGCTGCGACCTCCACCTTTTCCAGGCCATATAAACCATCCGCCCCAGGCTGGTCAATGTTCAGCACGGCGATATGATCAGAACTGGCCCTGCCTGATACGTTGTACTTGTTGCCGCCGGGGCTCCACGCGCTACGCGACTCTGGAGTTGTGCAGGCAGCATACAGCTTTCGCGACTGGTGGTCAAGCCAGAGGTGTTCGCACGCTTGAAGGTCGG